GAGAACAGTGTCTTTAATTTCAGGTAAGGCTTTTTTTTTGCTAATTAAATTGAACTAAGCCTAATTATTATTTTGTGATCTTCAGATTAAGCATTAGTCAATTAAGAAACTATGCAGAAAATATGCAGGCAAATGCGCCTTTGAGACATTAAGAATATACTGTGTTAAAAAAACGTGCTGACTGTGGGCTCTGAGAAGCGTGAGCAAGATTATTGGATCATGTAACCATTTTATGCGTGTCATTGGATGAGATATCTTCGTACAGTGTCAGTCACAGGAGGATTCTTCATGGTGCTGAGAGATGTGCAACGGAGACGTATGTAGGTTACCTGTCAGGAAATTAAGCGTATTAGCGTATTAGTCTCATGGCTTCTTATCCATATTTTATATGTAATTTTTTTTTTGGGTAGGGAGAGACTTTTTAGATTAGATTACTAAGGATTAGGCTCTTACACAACCTAAATAAACTTAAATGTTTAGCCTCTAAAACACTTGCGTTTCCATGTTGAGCCACATGAATTTAGAATATTTAAATAGGAGCAATATCTTATTTATGTTGCTTTTTTTTTACAACTGAACTGTGAAATGCTCACAATGGCATTCATTGAGAAAGGAAATGCAGGAAATGCATTGCCATCTCCTCATTAACAGTCCTTTTTTATGGTTATGATTCCATAAGAAATTGAGCAAAAGCACCCCCAAAGTCTCTGTCTGCTGTGAAAATTTAAGGACATGGGATGACGAAATAAATAAGAGGATCATAGCAGATAAGAGGATTCATCAATCTAGAAACTATGAATGTTGGTTCAAAATCTAATGAAAAAGGCAGTTCAAATATCCCACTTTAAACTGTAGATGTGCATTAACGTAAGAATTTAAACTACCTTCCCTGAATCCATTCCAACTTTAAAAAGATAGTAGGCCAAATGACCAAATCTCTCTTTCACAAGTCTTCGCAAACGCACTCTTTTCATGACTGTGCCAGATTTGTTGTATAAAGCACATTTTGATAACTTAAAAAAGTTGAGATTAAAAAAACAAATGGTGTGATGTTGGGCAGGAGATTTAATTCAGGATCAGTATGTAAAAAATAACTAGCTTTGTGTCAAATATTACAGACACCCAAGGTAACCCCCACCCAGTTTTGACGTAGTAGTATTTAAAAATACACTGGGTTGGAATAACGAATGGTAGAATAGTTCGGTGGGTGCAGGGAGAGTTTTCACACTGAGTTCCACCTCTGTGTCTTCTAATCATACGGCTATTATGGCCATCAGTGCATCTCCATTCTTGGTTTTGGTTCAGCATCCGGGAGCCATTTGTAAAGCAGCAGAGCAAGAAATTAGGTTGGAGCACTGCAGACACCAAAGCCTGGAGGATGAGCCTAAAGGAGCCACACTTAAGTTAGTACGCTGATTACGCACGGCCCCTTCCAGACGGGCAGCGCCGGGGTCACCGCAGAGGATAAAGGGGGCGGGGACAGCAGAGTAGGAGCTGCAAAGTGTCGGTAATGGACAGAGAAATCACTGCCTCTCAGATCTATTTCCGTCAACCACCGATGCCCTGAGGCCGCATACTTTACGAGGCTTTACTGCACAGTTAAGGTGGACAAACAGCCATGTACTTCTTCTGAGAATGAGTTTTCAGCCGTTTATCATTCTTCCAAATGAACTTGTGAACTTGATCAGCCTTTTGTGGCCTGTTTAACGTTTTTAAAAATGTTTTATTTATTTATTTTTTAACCATTCTATACTTTCTACTGTGATGTTAACTAAAGCAAGTGCTTTTTATTTCATTAATCACTTTGTTTTCTGAATTACTATCAGTATTATTATTATTATTGGTTATTATTAGTAGTAGTAGTAGTATTAGTAGTATATTAGTATTCATGAAATTAGACTACAATTTCAACAGAGGCAGCAATTTTGGTTAATAAAGGAATTTACAAAAGTAGCTAACCACTGCTTACATATTACAAAATAGTGTTTACCATAAAGAAAAGCAATAACTTGAACCTAAAAAAAGGGTAGAATAGTTGTATTTTAGTGCTAACATAAGGACATTAAGACCTTGGTATCGGCAAGCAACTGCTTTCTAATATGCTTCCATCAATTTCTTTTTCAAATCTAAGCTCTCTAAATCAGAGCAGCCTTATCTACCTGAAATGTTCAAATATTATGTTACACTTGGCTTAATATATCTATAATATATATATCTTTCCTGATTTGATTGAGATGCTTGGTGCAGGTTTGCCTCAGTGTGTTTAGAAGAAATAATCAACGTGCCATCTGTTATGATAAATGATCAGCTTGACTGCAACAACAATTAGTTTCTGACAGTTAGGGCAGAATCTGTAATTTACAAAGACAAAACCATAGCTGCATCAAATCACTTTTTATGTACACACATAGTGACGGTAACTGGTATTATTATCGTAAGCAAATATGATGACCGAAGAACATCAAGAAATTACTTGTTTTTGATACAATGAGTGCACGTGTTTGCAGTTTTAAGCTTGTTGGTGATTCTCTTCTTATCCAAATTTTTGTTATCTGACTGTCAATGTAACACGAATATAATGATAAATAAGGGAAAATAAGTTGTTTAGATTGGACATATTACAGACACACTCGTACACGCATTTTCCACATTCCAGTCATGGTAAGTTGATATTTGGATAACTCACATCTCATGTTGGAAATGGGTTACTTCTTAAATGTGGCTTTTACTTTTAGAGCCTGCATCTGTTCCTCAGTTTTAGGCTACATTTTTACATTCTTTTTCCAGTGTGAGAGGAGACCTGAAACAGACCAGCTGTTCACGAAATGTTCAAACAATGTTCCTTAAAGCTCATTCTTCTTATCTTTCTTGTCTGGTGCATCCAAACAGTGAATCCGTCTCAACCTATTCATCATTCAGATCGAGTTAACAATCCATCCACATGGTTTTAACAACCTCATAACCATTTAAAGGACAGGTTGTGTGTTAAAGGGGTGAAGTAGCGGAACTGTGAGCTAAACTCTGAGTTCAGCCGTGGCGTGGCCTCTCAGCAGCTCTTTTCCCCAGCGGTGCCGCTGTAATGGGACACTGCTAAATGATGCTGAGAGCGTCCGGGTGCAGTCAAGGCCTGTTACACCTGACTCGCTCCTTGCTGCTGCCCGTGCACTTGGCTGTTGTTAGCTTGTCTTCTGCAGGCTAATTTATGGGCCTATCAGGCTGATCGGCTCCCGGACATGCTAAAACTAATTGCTATAACTAATTACTAAAGGCAGATCTCCTCGTTATGTTCTCCTTAGTCCTGATGTATGATATATAGCAGAGGTGACAGAGCCACATAGGGGAAAAAAGCCTGCTATCATCCAATAGATACCCAGGCATGGTGAATCACTTCAAGACTAGTAAGTATGATGCTGAATTTTGCCATATTTATGTTTAAATGTATTTATATTCTTCTGTGTAAATCTGCTACTATGCTAAGACCTACTTAAAACCTACTTTCTTTAGCTTGCCAAATGTAAACATGGCTGCTTAATTTGGATTTCGTATTTGCAAGTTTTGGGAGTGGCAAAGGACAGGCTGCTATAGTCGTACAGGGTTTGTAAACTAGGCTTTATCCTTGCTTCAGTTTGTCTGTGTTCGATGTATTAAATTATCAACGGAGCCAGTAAAGGTCAGTACAAATTAAGTTGGAATTGGTTTGGTCGTAAATGGTAAATAGTTAAACTTGTATGTTTGTCAGTGTGTGCAGTACAGCCAAGTTTAAGTCCAGCATCTGCAGATGTCATTATACTATTTGCTGCTTTGTAAGATTTTCTCACTTTATTTGCTTGTTTTTTATTTGTTAAATTATACAGTACAAGTAGGAATTTCAAGATCACATGCTTTTCTTCAAGCTGAATCCTGGACAAACTGGACTCGTGTAAAGTTACTAATCGACCGTGCAGATTTGCTTTAACTGTTGTTTTCATGTAAGGAAATACCAACCAGCTTATGTCATCTTATTTAAGATGACATATGGGCATGTTTATGCATTTGGAAAACACTGGGATTTTACCAAATGTGTCAGATGTTGTGTCTTTTCATAGTAGGTGAGACAGATTATTCTGGATTACTTTCCATCAGTCTTATTGTGACAGCTTTAACTGCCGATAAAACCGTTTTCATCACGGCTTTCCTTCTTTCAGTTTCCTTCTTTCTTGTTTTTTTGCTATTTGGAAAGTAATTCATCTGCAAATCACAGCGATGCATCTGCGCATACAGTAAATACACTCAGTCATACATGTGTAGCTCATCGTATGTGCACTTGCACACAGGCTGTGGTTAATGCCACGTCCAGCTAATGAAAAGTGACAGCCAGAGCTGCAGAGGAACCAAGGTTAGATAACATACAGACACACAAACACATAGACAACCTCTAAGGGGTGATTTCCTTGCAGCATGTGCTCCTGTTGGAGGTGTCCAGTGCGAGTCCTTAGGTTTCGCCTTCCTGTCTCATGTGTCACTGTGTGTTGACACATACAGAGCCAGTGATGCATTATTGAAGATGGCTACATATTATCAGGTACTGTACATTAGGCTAACAGCAGCACAATTACCTGCACCAGGATACACGTATGGGAGTCTAATTGCTCTGAATGGGCAATGACTGATAATGTCATAGCAAAATAATGTCTCGGTCGGCCAGTTTTATCTTAATGCAGGCGGTGATCTATTAACAGTTACCCCAAATTATTTTAAATCATCACGATGGTAATTTGCCGACATGAAATAACAGCTGAAGAAGCCATCTAAAATGGCATCTATGCAGTAGCTCCACTGACATTAAAAAAATGACTCACTGCTGATAAAAAAGAGAAACGGCCTTTTGCACCTCTCTGTGCTTAGGGCCTGTAAACAGCTTTCCTTTTCATATGAATGGGAGTCTATATGGGGAAAGGCTCATGCTGCAACGCAGGCTAATTCCAGATAATCCCACTGCAGCGCCTACCACTTACAGATGGTTTCCAATGGCAGCCCCGGAGCAGGGGAATTGCTAGTGAGATTAGCTCGTTCTAGCTCCTCCTCTGTGGTTTACAGTCATGGCCGGGCCAGGCCTGTCAGGGACTACTTCTATGCTAACCTTTTGCAAACAAATGGATTATTATTTTTCTTATTTTTCCAAAATGTCCCACTTCGTTTTGGGAGAATAATGTAAGTTCAATCTGATTTATTCAACTTTTGCCTCAGCTTTGATGGGAGCACGTTATTTTAGAGTTTAGTGGGAAACACAAGAGGAGACAGAACAGGCACTGATGAGCAATATGTGTGTAGAAGAGACACTTATTATGTATAAGAGTCCATATTTTGCTTCATGTGACTGTTAGATTTGCTCATATGAGCAGCCTTTTGTTCATTTCCCTGCAAACACATTTTAAAGTTTGATCTCAAGCATTTGATAGACTTGTGTTTATACTGTTGACCTGTCATTTTGGATCTGTTCTAAAGGGTTACAGCAGCTGATACAATGAAAGAGACTTTCAATTCTGCTTTGCCCTTATCAGACACGGCCGTTTGAGAAACAAGAATCAGGCGATGGAATCTAAAGGTGTATGAATTGCTCATGCTCTTTGTATGGTAGATAGTAGCTGTGTGGACAGAAGTTAGACCCACCCCTCTGAAATAAACTCCCAACTCTCTGGTTACTCTGGATTAACCTCGTTCTTTCACTTTAATTCCCAAACAAAGCGCTCTGAGCTTCAAACAAATCAGTGGCATGGTTGCACGAAAGAATGAAATTAGTAAAAAAGAAAAGTCATGCCTCTGTTTTAAAGAAAACATACCCTGTTTCAGTTATGTCACATGCACACTTTGCTTTGGGGCTCTTCTATATTAGCTTATCATTTGTAGCTCTAGTAAATTGTGGATTATTAGCGGTATAGCAATGACAACATTAAGGTCATACAATTTTATTGTCCATGACACATTTTTTATTCCTTGTCCCCTTTCCTCAGGAGAAATCTCTTGAAGATGTTTCCACAATCAGGAAAATCCATTGTCTTTGACAACTTTCCGGATCCTACTGACACATGGGAAATTATAGAGACCATTGGTAAAGGGACCTACGGAAAGGTTTACAAAGTGCTCAACAAAATCGATGGAAGCAAAGCGGCCGTGAAGATACTGGATCCGATCCATGTAAGTTGTATTAGTCCAGTGCATGAAGTTGACTATCGAAACAAAAGGTCTAGAGTTAGGCTATACTTTTATTTATTTGGTCCAGAGCTCCCACACTTCCCACACAGGGTGAAAGTCAAAGGAGGCCCTTTTGTTCAGGAACAAAAAGGAAATTGACATATCTGAACACCCCAAAAGAAACGGGTGTCTTTTTATCCCCAAAACATGGTAGCCATCTTGGAAGCTGCCATATTTGATCAAGTTTTAGGAAAGAGGTCATGTAGCATATCAGAAAATGCCGGGTGTGTGTCAGAGGTTGATTGCTGCAATCAAATGTATCATATCTGTTGTGTTTCAAAAGTTTTCAACACAGAAAGTGTTGAGAACAGGAAACAATGCCTGTGATACACAGCTGTTTGACATGCTCATCATAAATCTATGGATAAGATGGTCCCCCTCACCCATTACGTGTGTAGGTGTTCAGTAAGCCATTTTGCAGTTTAGTTTCTGAAATAAAAGGGTGTCCTGAGACCTCTGACGCATCTGAAATTACTAGCTGGTATGTTTGATATTATTGGACGTTTGGGAGTAAATCTGTTTTTCACTTAATCAACAGAAAACCGAACCATAGCTGCCACTTCTGTGTCTCTAAATAATTCACTCTGGATTTTATACCAAAAGCTCTATAAGAAATGGGGTGAGAGGACTTGCTAGTGAGATTAGGTTGTTCTGGCACCTCCTTAGTGGTTTGAAGCAATGCTCAGGCCAGACCTGTCTGACACTGCCACCATCCTAAACTTCACACAATTTATTATTATTTTTTTTTAAAGCAAAGAACAAACCCCTGTGTCTTTTCGCATCAACTTGCATCTATAAACAAACAAAGTAGCACTTGAACACAAAACTCTAGTTGGAGACAATATCAGTTGATTTTTGTCATCTTATATGTTTTTCATGATTTTTCAGGATATTGATGAGGAGATTGAGGCAGAATACAACATCCTCAAAGCTCTTTCTGACCACGCAAATGTCGTCAAGTTTTATGGCATGTACTACAAGAAAGACGTGAAGTGTGGAGATCAGCTATGGCTCGTGCTGGAGGTAGGAAAACACACACACACCCCTGTGGCTGTCGCTGTGTGCGGGTGATGATCAAAGCTCCGATTGGACCTCACACAACATGTCTTCCTGCATATGAGCAATGGTGACCCAATCCTGCCGGGGATTATGTACGAGTTTGAGCCACCACCGGCAGGAGTTTATTTACTGGCCACCTGGGGATTTGGTCCCGTGCCAGGAGGGGGTTAGCTTGCGGGCCACCGTTGTGTGAGCAGCCGAGCGGGGATATCTGTTCACAGAGACTGTCTCAGCAAATCAGTTTACAGCTAAAAGGCTGGTCTTTTGTCCACCTGCATGTAAGGAAAGATTCACACTCCAGAGAGAGATTTTTCCACTAACTGTCAAGGAGAATTACTTGCCACAGTTTGCCTCCATTTCTGCAGCTTTCAGTGTGCCTTTCCAAAAGTCAAGCTGCTGACCAAAATGTAATGGAGGTCAGCCTCAGAGGAGAAAATCTGTGTGTTAGGTCAGGGCAGAGTCAGATATCAGCGCTCTTTGCCTTTTGACGTTACGACCGTGGAGTACTTTTATCTTTTTTTCATTTTTGTCTTTTGAAAGAGCTGGAGGGCCTCACAGCTTTGTTCCAAAGTTTTTGATGCAGCATTTTATGCTGTAACTTCTTAGTTTTCTTTTGACTTTAGTTTAATAGGACAGTGTTTGTTTACAATAAATCTAAATTTGGATTAAAACCACAACAAGCCTGTGTACGTGAGACACCGCACATGATGACTACTGAATGTAAATAGCAGAGCTGGAATAGTAATGCGTAGAAAATACAAGAAAAATGCCGTAGTTGTAGACTGTGGTGCTCTGGGCAAAGAATAGGATTCTTTCTTTTAATTCTTTCCCAGTCACTGTGTCCTTTGGTAATACAGTATACTAAACCCTGAGTCAGGGACTTCCAAACTGAATCAGAAGATTTATGTTTGTATGCAGTATTCTGAATGTGCAGTCACTAAAACTGGTGGTACTGTGATTGTTTTAACCTCTTCATAAAATCTAAATAGTCTTGAATGATACCTATGTAAGCAACCAACAAGATCCAACGCAATCTTGAGAGATATTTAATAGATTTGACGGCACCAAGAGAGAACAAACATTCAGCTTCTGCTCTTCTGTTCAGAAATACAACCCCCACCCTGCTTCTTCTAATGTTTTACACCTTCCCACTGATGTCAACACTTATTACTATTGAGTAGAACATTTAAAAAAACACTGTCCAAAGAATGTTTGAGAAGAATGGAAAAAGTTTGGACTTGACCCCAGCTTTGTTCGGAGTTCCTCTCATCCATTTACCATCCATTTAGTGTCATGATGGAGAAAAAATGGGAAGAAAACACAGCATACATTACAAATAATGGCCACAATTATCTGCCGACAGTACAAGAAAATATGAGTCACAATGATCTTTTAAATGAAAAACAAGACTGTTTGTCTTATTACCAGAATATAGCTTTATCTTTAAAAGGCTTTCATTATAAAATGAGGAAAAGATGCTCATCTTTAAAGGAGAATGGCTGTAACTGAAATCATATATCTTCATGGAAAAGAAAAGCTCAAAATAAAACTAAACAAGGAGTTCTTTCCTTGAATAAAGCACGAAGTGAAGACAAAAATTCAGTTTGATGACCTGCAAATGAAAATCTGAAGAGTCCATCCTCTCTTTTGAGAAACTAATCTGATTTGCCCTGGGATAACAGTGGAGCCATTTCGTTTCCTAAAAGCTCACAATCAGCTTTGCCAGAACTATTTTAGTTACAGATAAAAGATTTAATTCTGAGCTGAACTGGAGTTTAATAAGAAATGGATAAATGAATGTTTAAGTCCCCATCACTCATATGTCATTGTTACATATTATTCATTTCCCTTCTTTTAAGTGTAAAAATCACGGCTGGAGCAGTGTCTCTATATTTCTGTAACCCAACCTCAGAGGGATATTTCATTATGAGCAGCAGAGTTACGCAAAACCACCACTTCATCTCTCCATGTTGTGTTTCTCTCTCTTTTTCATCAGTCTTCCTCTGAACCTTTGCAGAAAATCTTGTGGTTTCTCCGCATTTTAACATCAACACGCAATCTTAAGATACTTCTCACTTTGTCTGTTTATGATTAGTAAAACTACTTAAATGTTTTTTGCGAGGGTGAAATGTTTTTCTGTGTGTTTACTCTGTGGCTGCACAGAAAAACCGCAGCCAGCAGTCCAAATCTGTGGGCTAATCCTGAGGCAGAAATCACTGCCTGACAGTTTAGTAAGTGGCTGCTTCGTGTGTGTGTGTGTGTGTGTGTGTGTGTTTGTGTGTGTGGCTCTGAAGGAGATGCACATGTGGTTTGTAGCAGAGAAAAGACAGGAAATCAGGGAGTGAGGTGGTCATTCACCATGGTTACTGTCCCCCCTTTCCACACTGTAATTTTCCATCCTTTTGCAGTGCTGAGAGGAGCCTTTACACTGACAGCCGACCGCTCATTATGAGCAGAATTCATACAAATTGCATCCTTTGCTTTGTTAGCCCTTTATTGAGGTCCGGGAGCTTTTGGCTTCGCCTCTGTTGTGTGCTCCTTTATGATTGCAGATGTAGGCTGAGATGGGCAAGCTTTTCATCTACGAGTACCTAATATTCCTAATTGGGCTTAAAAATACTTCAAAGATAGCAGTGATTGAGTGACTTGTATCCCCTGATTGAAAATAAGAAACTGATTAGGATGTGCATTTCATTTGTGAGACGCCACGTTTCATCCAGGGAGTCGGGAGTCTTTTTTTTTAAAGAAGGTCAGAAGAGCAATGTTCTAAAGCTCCTCTTTTATACATGTGTTTCTTTCATTCTGTCAGAAAGAACAAAATATCAACCTGTATCATCGTGGTCACTTTGTATTTTTCTGTCTGAATTCATTTTGTTGTTGATTGGCTCTAACATTGGACCGTTTATTAGCTCACACAATCATTCCCTGTTATATCACATCACCAACATCCTCACAAATTTCTATTTATTTAACAAATGTGACAAAGTTATGACTCTTTTGTCTGTGTAGTGTAAACATTTGAATTTTGAGTTTTGTGGCAGAATTTGAAATGTCTGTGAATACTTGTTTTCTGCTGTAGCTGGTTAGATTTAGGAAAAAATTTAACATTGTATCACCAGAACGTTCTCCCCCTTTTTTTTGGATTACTGTGGTTATGCGCTGCTATTAAAAGTATTGCCTCCTCAGCAAGGATATATGTAGAGATAGGAGAATGGATGTTCCATTTTGCTCACACATGCTGTCCACTCAATCTGCTGAAATTCAGAACAATAGTTTTTAATCTTGATGAGCCAAAGAGTGCTGATCAGAGTTCTTGCTTTGGTAGACAAATGAAGAATTGATGACGTATTTACTTTTAGTGCATGTGCAAAACTTATCCAGCTGCTTTACTATAATCCTAGTTTAAGCATGGGTGTTGTCTGTGTGATTTACATGATTTGACCAGAGATTTTGTCAGATGGAGATGTACTAATAAAATCAGCATTTCCTCAGAGAAGAGCGACACTTTACATACTCTTAATATGAATACAGTTCACTAAAGTAAGCCAGCTTATCTTGAAATTTAATGTATTACAAGATAAGGACATTGACATAAATGGGTGATAGTACAGGGTAAGTTTTGGGGCAGAAAACCAACCTCTTAAACAGAAGGTAAAAGTGAAAGATTCAATAGTGCTATTTTTCCAAAATGGTTTAAGGAAGAAAACGTTCCCTCTCTTAATAAGCTGAACAATGACATAAGTGTGTGGCTATGATTGGGCTGAAAAGTCTGTCATTAGTTTCTCTTTCACTCTCAGTTCAGAAGATGGAAATAAACCTCCCTTTTGTTTTTATTTCCTGCTTCCTTCTGAACTGTGAAGGTCGACAGAACTGCTGTGTTCTCAGTTCACCCCCATTGGTCTCTGTCCTGATTTGTCCTCTCGGCCTCTGGACTCATTAATGGACAATGAGGTTTAAAATGTTATTCCTTGTCCGGACTTTTCAATAAACGGTGGTCGAAAGCAGACACCTCAGCTATTATGCCTGTGTAAGCGATAAGGCAGCGGTCACAATGGCCGTGCTTTTCTCTGGATGCCGTCCAACAAGTCGCACACATGAACACACACACGTGCACACTTCTTCAGACATTACAACGTCCCGAATGTGACAGCAAATTAGAACAAAACACATCAAAAGGTGACTTAAGTCGGCACCTGTGTTTGTTTCATCTTTACATTTGCTTTATCTGCTTCTTTTGCTCATCTTTGATGGACTACTTTCATTTACATGACTAAATAAGCACCTGACCTCAATTGAAATGGAGACTATGCCACTTAATATTCAGCGGATTCAGTTTAGCCTTTGAAACTGATAGCGCAGAGAAAACTCACCTAAGATTTGGATGGAAATGGGGAGCTTTAAATACATCTTAAAAGACTTGGTGGCTTATCATTCTTTGCAAAAATCTGTGAAATGTTTTTATTTCTACTTTATAACAAAGTAATAAACCCAAAGAATTCGTTAAGCTGGACATAGCAATCTATCCATATTCTTATTCATGACTGGAAAGGCTCAAATGACACCTTGATCCTGTTGCATTTGATAGCTAGCTCAATGGACACGTTGGGAAATGTAATTTAATCCAAATCAAACCAAACCAGGTCTGAAGTTGCATGTATCACTTCCTCCCTGAGGAGGTTTGCACCTCCAATACATCTCTAATAATTAATGTTCATGTCCAGCGTATCTCTGTGGATGTGGGAAGTCTAGCTAAGGTGACGACTCCAACATTTAGCTCCTCTAAATCTAGGACAGCAGGCCTTCTCATTAAAATGGATTTGTCTGTCTGCCATGTGTAATTTAATGATGACAGGTGATATGCCGGCAGTGATGTGGACTGACGTCAGGCAGGGCTCATAGTTAGAGAGCTGTGCTGTCTGTGAAAACTCTCTGTGGTCCCCTCGGCTTGACTGCAGTTTGTCTGCATGTCCAAGAACGAAAAGAAGAAGTGATTAAGCTCCCCGTGTGGCAGCTTAGAGACATGCCATCCATACTACGCACATTCTCTGGGCTGCTGACTGATGGCTAGATTAATTGACAAAAAGAAAGCAGGCATGACACAGGGTTGAAAACTTATGCCAGCGCTCAATCAAGGTCAGACACGCTCTCCTCTCAGCATCCTTTGTATAAAAGGAAAGTTGAACAGGACAGTTAGTCCCCCATTGGGTCGGAGATTCTGTTTGAAGCCACCGCTGGAATTTCTGTTTTTCAATGAAAGTGTCAGGAGAGACACGATGAATTACTAAAAGAGGATTCAACACTAATCGACAAAAAATGTTGCAGACGGATGACAAAACTGGACATATGTGTGGTCATTTTCTGTCTTCCAGAAAAGCTCAGGGTACTTTTAAATCTTTTTAGAGATACTGTATTACTTTTAAAGCTACCCCCCATCCCTCTCATAAAAAAAAATCATATTTCATCTTCACGCATTTTTCATAAGATGTGTTGTTGCATTCAGAGTCATTTCAATGGAAAAACAAGAGGGGAGAGCCCATTTGGATGTGGTCAGAGGTCAGTTTTAGCAAACTAATAAAACAGCCATCAGCCTACATATCCACAACCCAGAATCTACATGGTTTAACAGTGCTGTTGTTAGAAGGTATTTTGGCCCTGTGCCATGAATTGTGATAGGATTACAAAACAAGTCCCTCTATGAAAATTCCGCAATATGACAGTAATTATTGTACTTGTACGAGGACGATGATGATATTTTCCTGATCCTGCAGGGGAAGTTTTTTGTAGAGTGATTATGCAAGAAAACTGCGTAATTGTTCCTTAAAATGCCAAGTGTTGAGTGTAAACCTCCCTTTTCTTTTCCTTCAGACAGATAAATGTTGCTTATGAACCCCATTCTGTGCTTTTATGGAGAGACTTTGAATATGCATTGCTAGTTGTTAGAGTTCTATCAACACTATGCTATATGGAGGTTATTCATTAATAACATTTTCTAACATGTGCTGCACAATCCCATACAATCGCCCCAGGGGACTGATTTTTATCCTCGGCAGCCACACACCACTGCGTGATTATTGGCTAATTAGGCTTTCAGTTTACAAGTGAGGGAAATTAGTGTAATTACATAAAGAGACAAAATGGAAAATTCCACTCTGACGCAAAGTCATTTTAACTTGCTGTTAGAGGTAAATATATACAGTATAAGCATTAGATGGTGAAAAAAATTCAGGGAAAATGCAACCTTAATAATAAATATATATTTTTTAAATCTTACACTCATCATACACAAAATCCACAATATCCAACCCCCAACAACTGAATGGCTTCTTTTCTTTAGGGCTTTCTGTTTTCTGTATACCTCTGGCATCTCCCAAAGAAAGCCCAAATTAAGGGTTGTTATTGTTGCCAAGGCAACCTACAGGGCAATTTTCTATAATCTTCTGAGAGAGATATCTATTGACAATAGAGTCCATGTTGTGATGCAGTGTACCACAAGAAAACACCTACAAATACAGAAATTAAACGTTCTTTTGCTCTTAAAAAGGACGCTTTAGAGTTTGTTTATAATCTGCTGGGAAAATGTTCTATTCATGATATCGACTTTCTAATATAAATCTGGGCTTTGTCTGAAAACCATAAACTGCTGCAGCCTGTGTTTGAGGACAAGTTGTATGTGTTCCCTCCTCAGTCATAAATGCTTAGACTAAACCTTTGCTCACAAATTGCTCATCCTCTCCTGCTGAGCAGCCTTAGAAAGATTAGCCCCTATGGAGGAACATTTTTCTTAGTCTTCAAAATTCTGCATGATCGCCCACATTTCCACTCAGTGTGCAACCTGAGCTGTTTCGTGACTCGTGTCAAATATTTGTTCTTTGTCCTTTGGTCCTTCTGGATTTTTTTGCCGCAGCTTTGCAACGGCGGCTCGGTCACAGATCTGGCCAAAGGCATGCTGAAAAGAGGGGAGAGAATGGATGAAGCCATTATCGCCTACATCCTGCGTGAGGCCCTCATGGTGAGTCCGGTGGTCTCGTTGCACGCCGGTGTCCCATTTAAGACTAAATGAGGTCATTTTCCAGGCAGGTGCCTGTCACAAAAATGCTATTAACCTCTTCTTTTCACAGGGCCTTCAGCACCTGCACATCAACAAGACCATCCACCGTGATGTCAAAGGCAACAACATCCTGTTGACAACCCATGGAGGGATCAAGCTTGTGGACTTTGGTATGTAAAGTGAGCCTTTTTTACGAGGAGATGCTGGAACATTGTCTTTTTCTGGCGCAATATCTAAGCTGTGAAAGTGTTATGGCTCTATTTAGCACAAGAGGGTCAAATCCATTACCTTCAACTGTCTGCCAAACAACTGGAGATGCTATTTTCTTTTTTTTTTCTTGAAAGACCCCAGCTTTTCAGTGACCACAAATGACTTTGCTCTCATTTGTCTTGTGATTTCACTCATTTACTTATGGTTTTCTTAATCAAATGAGGCACCCTAAGCAGCAAGCCCCTGCTCCCCGGGCCGAAGGCTCACAACAGGAAAAGTGAAACTGACTATTTGCAGGAGATGACTCACTCCTGTTTTCTTCAAGCACTGGGAAAAAAAATGCTGCCTGTTTTCATTACAGATAAAATCCCCACTCAACTAGTGTGTGGGTTTGCTATTTGTGGGTTTCTCTTAAAAGCCTTTTCCTAACCACGAAACACAAAGAGCGCAGCTCTTGTTTAAAGAGGAGGAGGAGGAGGGGGGTATTAATGGAATCACTAATATGGAGCAGATCCACCTTTTTCTCATCAGAGCAGCTTCTTCTTCCTTTTTTTATAACTGCTCACTGTTGTACCAGTTTTAAAGAATGGAAGATTTCAGTTCTTGAATTCTTGATTATGTATTAATTGGCAGGATTCCAGGAGGATATACAGTCATACAAATACATAACGTGTTGTTTGGGTTTTCTGAACATGGCCAGAGGCTGTATTTTAAGACTTTATTGACACCTAAAACCTTAAAAACTCAGTATTATTAGGCTCACCAAGTATCCAAACAGCTGTGTCTGTGGACCAAACAACATACCCAATGTTGAGTTTCAGAGTGATGGAAGCTCATCAGAAAGTAATTTACATATATTCTAAAAGAACAAAGAGCACTCAGCAGATTCAACATATCCTTCTTTTGGCTGTCTGACTGTTTGCATGTACAGAATCCAGAGCTTGCTTTGCAGTAATCCTGCTTTGTAATACAGGATGTTGGTCTTAAAAACAGGGAAAGACATCCACGGAAATGCAAATAATCAGGCCATCAAATATGTGAAAGTGTGTAAAAAATCCAGATCCAGAAACATCCAAGATTGACAAGCGTCCTGAATGTTTTACGCTTGTGAATAATCGGTCTCCCAGTAGAATTATAGACTCCAAAGAGTTTTGAAATGGACCGTGGAGATGTTCAAATCTGCTTGTTAATCCAGGCCGTTATTGAGGATTCTCTGATGTCATGATGACGTCTTTCCTCTTTCTTCCACTGCTTATATTGTACATCGTAAAAATTGTTTTTACACACATTAGAATTCTTTACCAAGATGGGATTGTGTGGGAAATATGGTTAAAATACCACTAGTTTGGAAAAAAACTATCTGCAAACAAGACAAGCTTTTTACCACGGATATGTATCCAGATTTAAAAGCAGCTGAGTAGATGCTCAGCATTGCTATGAGGGTCAAGTGAAACCAGAAGCTGAATCTTATACATTGTAGACAATTGTGCTCTGGTGTATTGTAATTGTGAACAAACGCATCATACAAATCTTAATAATTGTGAATGTTATGTAACCCTTGGCCGCTGACCCGGTGGAAACGATCACTGATGTGGAGAAATGGGTTCCTCCCACACACTTTTTTCCTCAACAGGTTTGATATGACAAAAGATGTGATTCAAGGATATTTTACAAAGAAGAAATATTATATATTTTGTTTTTATGGCACAGGTTGTTTATTTACTAATGTCTGATTAATCGTAGACATTAGTCGTTTAGTAAATGTCTAAAAAACATATTTTATAGATCAAATTTAGACCAGAATTGTGTTAGATTTGGTTCAAAAGTCTTACTTTTGTGAAAGTCTGGGTCAGTTTAGATTAGACGGAAACATAGATTCAATCAGCAGCATTACAGCCAAATCCCATATTTTTACTTCAGCGTCACTCAGCATTGCTGTTTTGGTGCTTAAACTCTGACTCCATTCCAGCAACTTTTCCTTGATGAAGTCTCAGCCATGCCGCTGAATCAATGTCACATCATGCTGCTGAAAAAATGTTGTTGGCAGAGCTGAGAAATGCTATCATGGGCCGATAAAAGAGGATTCAGCTGGAAGCCCTGGCGCACAGCGGTCAGTCAGAGCTTGCATCAGGTCTGACGTGGCGAGGTAAAGTGAGGGGGACTGCGTAAAACTTTCAGCGTGATGAAAACGCCTGACTCCAGCCTCCTCCACGTGACGCACCGGCTCTGCGTCGTGCGGGGAGTAATGGTTTTTCATGGGGAGAAGGGGCGCACGCTACACTAAGCAGCTGAAGAGATAAAACCCCCGCTGTGACTCATCGCCAGCCGAGATACAAAACAGCAAAGGGATGGATAAAAAAAAAAAAAAAAAAGAGCAGCTGAGGGATGAGGAGGCCTGTTCGTTCGCGGGTCTCTCATGAATATTCCAATTGACAGCGTTGTCTCTTGTGATGATTATTAAGTGTGGCCCACCAGGCTCCACTCCTGGCTAATGTAGTGGAAAGAGAGTGGGGCTGTGAGACCTTTAAAAGGGGGCTCTTTTGTGTGCCTTCAGTCTCACACATTGACACATCTCACATACATCTCGCTACTGTGGGAAGACTGAGGAAGTTTGGTCTTCATTTTGGAGACGCCCGCATCCATGTTGAAACCATGGGTTCGGCCTCACTGCTGTGGGGAGATGTTAATGTCTCGTGGGTTTTGCGGTGTAATGACAGCATGCGACAGCCCTCGTGTGTGTCAGCCAGTGCGCGCACCCTTTTCCTGCGCATTACTTTAATCCCTTTTGATGTCTGCTACAGAGCAGTTCTCCTCCGCATAGCTCATGGTGCCACTTTTCTTCTGTCTGTGTATGATGGTGCTGCTTCTGTGCAAAATGAGACATATTTCAGCCTTTGGTTTAATTGCAATCGTACGTGTGCGGTGGTCATATTAGAATATTAGAATTAGGATTTTTTTCTTTTAATTCATGGGTCAGTTTTTAGAAGCGTAAAAATAAACATTTTAGGTAATGCTTTCCATTGTTTCGTTGAAGTATAAATCCATGGTCAGATTTATGTTTTCATGAGGATTTACTCAAAATTTTGAGCAGTCGCTAAACAATATTGTAACAAAAATGAGGAAAACTTTTCTTTCTCCTGTATTTTAGTAGTTGTGATTTTGCTATTTATGTAAATGTTTCTAAGATGTAAATGCTAAATAGCAAACTCCAGAAATGTTGGTGATGCTTTTTTCCCCCAGTTTCTCATAAGAACATATACCAGAACAAAGGCGCTGTTTTGTGGAAGCGTTTTGTGTCTGCATCACCTTTAGTTTTATAGGTCTGCTTTTACCTGGCAGGCATGTTTTTGTCCTGGTTGCTTTCTGCCTGGCTGCTTCAGCGGGATCCAGCCCTGGGATACGTCGCCGTGTGGCTCAACACTGATTTGTCTGGACTGGGCCGCGGTCACAATTTTGGGTCAGCATGTTCTGCGTCAGGCTCCAACAGAGAGACACACAAGCTTTTGTAACTCCGCAGCCCTGTTTCTCCACCATGTCTCAGTCCCTGGTGCTTCAGTTTTGAAAGGCTTCCAAAGCATAAGCAAATAAATCACTCAACAACAGGACATCTTGTTCTGGATTTGGGTAAAAAGTCTGATGCAAAGCCTACATACATTTGAGTATTTGTATTCAAATGTTGTTCTTGAAATGTCCAACAAATCTATTTGTAGGCACAAAAGAAGCAATCCATCATTCTGAGAGAAAAACACTCTGCTGGTGTATTTTTCCGTGTGCAACTCCTGAACATTTAGTTTTTCTGCTGTCACTTCAGAGACAGGCCTATCAGTGGAGGACAAGGAGGCTGTGGAATCCATTCCGCCTCACGTCAGCTGAGCTGCATCTTGCTGTTGACTTTCACCTGCCATTTTTTTTTCTCTGTGCAAAATAACAACACGTGAAGGAGGTTCTGGAAACTGCGATTTTGAAGCTGAAATGAGTGAAATGTGTTTTCTCTTCCCTGTAGGTGTTTCAGCCCAGCTGACAAATACTCGTCTGAGGAGGAACACCTCTGTGGGAACTCCCTTCTGGATGGCTCCTGAGGTAAAAAAACTGGCCTGTAAATTCTCCCTCACTCTGCTTTCTTTCCCCTGCATTAGCCTGGAGCGGATCACAGTGGACAGTTCAGTTTGTGTTTAAGACAATAAAAATACTGCATAAACTGTTTCAAATAATAATTTGTCTTCATGCTCAGCATACTAACAGAACATGAAAAGAATCTACTAGAATTCCAAAGAAATCCAGTAAACTGTTTGCTCTTTTTTAATGTCCCACAAGACAATATTTTGTCACCTAAGAGACCAATTTCACTGTTTCATATCGCCGTAAGTCAACTAATGAGACCAGGCACTGAACCTTTGAGGAAGTGGCTCAACAGTCCAGGATTTGTTTTGTCATCATTTTTGTCTTTCTTTTTTTTCTGGCGTATTTCCAACCAGCAAAAGTTCTGAGCTGCATCATGTAGAAAAATATATTTACACAATACCCTCCCCATGTTGCACACTGAGTGTTGGGTTTAATTCCAGGTTAAACCTTTCAGAATTGGCACATGCATGTTTAGACTACCAAGCAGAAACCTGTCATTGAACCGAGCCCAGTGGCAGAGGCATCCGTAACCACCCACCTGCACTCTTCACCTCAGCGCCATGCCAGAGTTTATCAAGAGGAACCATTTGCAAACCTTAGTTGGGCAGAAAAAGGTGCACTTTGTGGCCACGGATCTTAACTCTCTCAGTTCCAAATTTTTACATGAAGTTTGCATGCTGGGCAAACTTAGCATCAGGACTCGGGCAGGTGGGCGTGCTCAGTGATTTGGAGATTTTAATTTGATTTGCATACTGATCCACAGCAAACCTTTAAGAAAGAGTGCTGCATGTGTAGACTTTAAAATCGGATTGAAAGGCAAACTGCACCGGTATTCTGAAAATAAAACCGGCAAATCAAAGCTGATTTTGGGGACACGAAATGGTTCTCTGGTGACTCAGTCAGAGCTACTTCTGAAGAAGATTTGGTTGTGAAACGTTGATTTCTGGGGTAAGTTGCATCATATTTTACATTTCAGGTAAGCTTTGTATGTAATCATGCTGTGTTGCCTGTACACGACTCTTTCCTGGTTAACATGACGATATTTAGCTCCTTGTTAGTTTTTCTTTCATGAAAACAATCTTACAGAAGAACATTAACGTTAAGAACATGCACATGACATGTTAGTCTGCAATGAGTGTGTGTCGCTTATTTAGTAATGATTTGTTCTGCTCATCTTGTCTGTGTGCAAAAATCTACGTGTGTTCAGAACAGGGAACACAAACTCCATTGATTTCTGACATTTTACAATAATGGGAATCTGGCTGGTGTGTTTGTGTGTGAGTTCTGAGTGTATTTGTGCGTGAGGCTATGTGCACACAAGCCTCCCACTCAGATGATTCATGTTGTTGATTGGGTACCATGTTGCCCTCAGGACAATGATGATAGACTTACTGTAAGTGTGTATGTGTGCGCTCAGTTCGCTGTACTGCTGACAGCAAATGATGTTGAAAGTGAGGTTTTGGCTTTGCTGTGACAGTCTTTATTGCATTACCGTGGTACTGCACAGCTATATGATAACATTTAGCTTTGTAACATGGATGTTTACTGTGTAGTTTTGGTGTAGGAGCTGACAGCCTTTATCAAAACAATCTCACAGTTCATAAAAAGTGACATCCTAATGTGAAAGCGGACTCCTGCCGTAGACTTGGGAGCATTTCTAACATCAGTACAATGTCCTGCTCTGTTGTGCAGGTCATAGCATGTGAGCAGCAGCTGGACTCAACCTACGATGCTCGCTGCGACGTGTGGTCCCTGGGCATTACAGCCATAGAGCTGGGAGATGGAGACCCGCCCCTCTCCGACCTCCACCCAATGAGAGCACTCTTTAAAATACCCAGGTAAACCTTAATCAGGAAGTTGGAAGAAGAGCAAGAGAACATTAAAAAAAAAGTATTGTGGTCTGGAGCTGAGTAAATTCACACATGAATTATAGGTCTGACATATTTTCCATATTCCACGTTTTAAGTACTTCGATAAGAATTTGAATGTGCCAGTTGATTTCTGTTTTGCCAAGTGTAAGTGGATTGGCTTATTCGGTTGCTTAAAATAGGGTGCATTCATTAAATGGGAGGAGTTTTCCAAGAAAATCCAAAGGATTTAATGCTTTTATTTGCTCCAAGGCAGAAGCAGCTGGTGACTTTTGTAACTCAGGTGACCGATTACGCAGAACGTGTGTATGTGCATGTGAAAGAGATGCTGATATCAAAGCTAAAGACATTCATTTTAGTGATAGCAGATTGTTTTCAGTCATTTTATTTTTAGTGGCAGCTAAATAAATAGATATACTGAGAGGAAACACAACCAGACCACACTAGGTAAACACGAGCCCCTCTTGTCCTGAATTTTTATAAAAAACTGCTCTCCTCCTTGGCTTCCTTTGCTACATTTGGGCCGCTGCTGTTTCTGAGCATTTTGCTTCAGGATATCCTTTCCTCTTTCAAAATAAATGAACTCCATTCAGCAAGAACTTAATGTTACTTTAGTTCTGGCATCACAAACAACAGACATCCCAACATTAACTCCAAATGAACGCCAATGAAGAAGAGGTAGAATTGCATTTTTCGTATTTAGAATATTTTGAATACATCTGATTCATGGAATAGCCATCTATTCCACATTTTACATTACAGCTGCATCAGCCCCTTCAGAGCCAAGACCTCTGTCAGGCCCAAAGAAAAAAGCCCGAATCAGCAACCAAAGTTAATCACCTCTATGTTTGGAAATGAAAAAAAGTAGATGCTTACCATTTCTTTCATATTGTACACATGTTTTTCCTTAAGTTTGGAACGGTGCTCGCAAGAGCCAAAGCTCAGAGCAAACATAAAGCATGGTATTTTATTCACTGCGCTGATGCCGACCGTCACACGGTAGCAGTTACCTTTTCTTTATGTGCCTCAGGCAGTGAAATAGAAAGACAGGCAAAACATATCTCCGGCTCCAAAATGCTTTGATTTGCTTTTCTTTACACTCTCACAAGACAAATTATAGCCAGCTCATTTCAAATGCTTGAAGGAGCTTATCCGTCTCCCACCCCCATGATCCCGTTCGCCCTGTGGGGGTGACTGAGAGCGCAGCCACCCTTTTTCCTTCTCTTTCTATTGTCAGCTGAAGGTGAAAGCTAATTGTTTACTATCTCCCGATTCCAGTGTGAAACCCGTGTACACTCTTCCTGTCACAGAACAGCACTTTGTCCATCAGTACCTAGGAGTCCGTGCACACACACGCGCACACACACACACACACACACACACACATGCCCGGGCTGCTCCCGGGTCCTGCGAATTTTGCCGAGGAGGTCGTGCTCCACCGGAGCCATCACACAGCTTTCCCTGAATCTGTCTGACTGCTGCAGCCAGAGCTCCAGGCGCTCTGTTCACACTCCTTACTTCCCTCTTTAGACTTCTCTGGGTTCATTCAGCTGGCAGCGTCAGAAAAAGCCACGCTGAGAGCATAAATTAGACCATTCTCTGTTTACTTAATTTAAGTAATAGGGACAAAATCATTTTAAAAAGACTCTCCTTTCCATCTGTGAAAAGTCCGCAACATATTTGGTCTGTTAGGTGTGCGCTGTATCATTTTTACACACAGATGGACAGCCACCAGAACAGTAAAATACACTATGTCTGGAGGTTGTTTTAATTAAAGCTGTTGTCATTTTTTCTGGAGATATCAAGAACGACTTAGATGTCCAGAATGGAAATACCCCCTCCCGAATGGAGCACAGCGCACCGATCAAAGGAGAAAAACACATCAACGGTCAAAGTGTTGAACAGATTTCAACCCTCAATCTAATCAAACAATGTCAGGATCCCCAGGAAGAAGCACGATCCCCCGAAGCTTTCTGGCTGATCCAGAAGACCTAAAGAACTGTGTTGACTGACAAAGTGGGACATCCTACAGACAGGAGAAGATAACAGATTGAAAAAAAACCTAATTAACATACATACAGTATGCACAGTTCATTTTCTGTCCATCTCTCTTTTAGCTGCACTTTTAAAAGCTAATCAAAACTGGGAAGAAAACGTGTGGCTGTGCTCAGAGCGAAGCTCTCATCTCTTTTGACGTGTAACTGAGAGGATTTGCCCTCCGTGAATATTTGGCAGGGCCACGTCAGCACATTGCACCGCTACTGTGTCACGAACACTATTTTTTCATTAGAAACGAGCCTTTACAGGGAGTTGAAACGCCTAAGTGGGTGTATAATTGAGCAGCCAGCACCAGCGTCTTCTCTCTTGTCACCTCCACAAGAGCCTGTTTGTCTTCTGGACAAGAAGAAAACACTAATAGTAGCTGAACAAACTCCAAATGGACGCCTGCTGCCACTGCTGTATGTGATGGGCATGTTGTGTGATAAACAGGAGATGTATGTCCTCTCTTTAGGGTAATTTACTGCCACCAGAGCCTCTGTACAAATAGCCTGGATGCTTTAGCAGCAGACTTTTTTCCAAAGTGTCAGCAACCCTTTTCGTGAGAAAAAAAGAGTAACTTAAAGCACAATGAGGATTTACAGGGAGGCAGTCCATTTCTTAGAAGCAGGTTTGAGAAGTGTCACTCAGGGGAAGAAATCTGGATTAATATTTTCATGTTGTGAGATCAGTTTTGTCAGTACCACCCTGCTACACAGGTGCAGGGTCATAATTTATTGCGCTATGCCTCCACGGAAACGCCTCTGTGTGTCCTCAGTGACGAATTGTTTCACAGCTAAGATTTCACTCCATCGTTCCGGCCTGTGCCTTTGTTCTCCACCCCGCCTGCGTAAATCCAATCTCATCTTATCTTTCTATTTATCTTTTCCATTTCTTCCCTCAACAGAAACCCTCCGCCTACTCTCCACCAGCCAGAGCTCTGGTCAGATGACTTTAATGACTTCATCTGCAAGTGAGTGTGGCAGCTAGTGTCACTCTTGTGTGGATAATAAATATTTTGGGCCGGTGGCATGTGAGCAGATGCTGTGAATGTCAGCGTGAGAAAATTATTTCCCAATTTCTTTCTACAATCTTCTTTGTCCACATCACAGATGTCTGATTAAGGATTTTGAGCTGAGGCCAAATGTGTTGGACCTGCTTCAGCACGTGTTCATCAAAAACACATTCGGCAGAGAGAGAATCCTGCAGAAACAACTGATCGAACTCATTGATCTCAACCAGCAGATGGGAGCGATTGAGAAAACAAGGTATCGTCCCAAAATCATCAACTTTACCTTTCCTGTACTTCACATCACCACCTTAAAGTATGTGATAATTTTTTTTTTAAACCCCATGAAAAAAAATCTAAAGCCCTCTTTGTCCGAGGGTTTTCTGCATGGGTCACCACGTAAATGAACCCCCCCCCCCATACACCCCACACCCGTCACCCTAATACAAACAGCACCAGCTCCACTCATGGAGCAGGCTGTCCATTGTGTGTCAAATGTTGGCCCAGAGTGTCTGAATCCCATTCAATCATGCAACAATAATGTTATTTCTGTCATTTAAGCCATCATGGAAAGACAGACAGAAGCACAGACAGTAATGACAGGTAATGCATATCTGGCCTTTAGTTGGGGCTTTGTAGTTCGGTAAAAGCTCTTGTTTTAGTCGTGGCTGTCAACTTGTATTTGCTGTCATTTACATGGAACGTAGACTGTTTACATGCTGTGATAGAAACATAGTATTAAAATATAGTTTTATGTATTTTTTGTCATTTGAAAAAATCTTTTTACTGCCTTGTAAAAAAATAAGTGGATTTTTTTTTTAAATAAGCTAGCTTTTAGATTCAAATTTGTTTTAGCTGCATCATGATGATGTATTACATTATGAGAAGAAATCTAATGCAACTACAGTAAATCTTTGTAGTCAAACAGCAGGATTTTACGAGTTTCACCAAAACTCAGACTTTGAGTATTCAAATAAATTATGTAGTATCCAGATATCTTTTAGCCAAGAACTGGAAACTATTTCTAGCACTAAACACACATGTAATGAAATTAGGCCTAATTCTCAGAGGTCAGAAGGATGAATGATAACTGTAGTCAAAAGGGGTAAACATCCATAATCCTGGTAAGGAGCTGCTCCCCAGAAATGTGGCTGGGGAGATTTAGTGGGGCTGACATGCAGTTTATTTCAGTCAGCTTTGGGCTCAGCCTACTGTAAAAGCAAACAGAGCAGAGATGGGAGGAATTTATGACAGGAAAGAGGGAGTCAGCGGCTCCATATTTAGGCTGGATAATATTTCTGTTTAATGTAACTGTTTGTTGTCAGTGCACACAGTCATGTAGGAGTGTTTGTTTTGTGCCGAATTTACATGTAGGGGAGTTATACTGGACCATTTGGGATATTGTGTCAAATGTCATCCAGGCTGAGTGTGTTCACGGGCAAGTGATTCATATCCGATGTGTGATATTAACTTGTCAAAAGACAACTTTTCAAATGATAGAACTGAGAAAGTTTTTTATCTTCTTCAGGAGATTAAGATGCTTGACACAGGGTTTGGGTTTTTCACAATTTGTTCCTTTCATTCTTGCTTTAACTTTTCCCCAGTATTTGACAGAAATGTCCTGGAGCCTGTTCTTTTTTGTTCTTGCTGTGAACGAATAGATTCTGACTTTACAACTGTGGGTTGTTAATAAGTCCCTCTGCTCTAAGAGCCCTGTGGCTGCACTGCCCATAATGTTAATACACTGAAACTAGATTTGGGTAATTCAGATCACTCCCATCATTTGATTTTATATCCTTTTGTTTTCTTTTTTTGACGAGCTGAGAAGTAACAGATGCATTAATCAATTATAATCCACTTCACTGTCATCCAATCCTGATCCAATATAATCTAATTAATCAAATGTATAATTTAGCATGTATGAAGAAAATTAAGAAAATGGACAGATGCTTTAAAAACGTTATCTATGTCAATCCAATCATATTGTTACATGAAGGCTAATGTCTTTTCAGCATTATATGTTTTATATTGGTACAGTAGGATTCCTTATAAAAGTTTACTCTTTTTAAGGTTTACAATAAAGAACAAAACAAGGCCCATGCTGAAAGGTATTGATGTCAGAGGCCGCTCCCACCAGCCCTCCAGTCTTCCTATGTATCCACGCAGTTTTCACAGCTGGATGAATAAAACCGAGTGTGGCTTTGAAAATACTAACAGTAAGGAATTCTGGGATGGAGTTATCTGCTTTTCTTCCAGTAAAGATGGTCCTGTGTTTCCTACACTAAAGGGGCTGATAAATGAAGCCCTCAGGCTCATTTTCTAAGCATTTTTCTGCTCATTCTCTCCAGGTCATTTTTCCACATTTGAGAACTGTTCAGAATAGACTTTTAAGACGGACGTCTAATTCATGATGTGTCCTGTAAGGTTTCCTTTTAGCATTTTCAGTCTTTTGTTGGGTCTTTTCCTACTAAAAGATGAAAAATTCAAAAGGAGCACATTTCTAAAATAAAACAAAACATCAAATAGCATCTCTCAGCTCTAGTTCAATATTTGCTTTCCTATTTACTATTTCCAAGTGAAACAGAATGTAAAGTACTGCATCCTGCATTATGGTCAGCATCCCATTCTGTGTGGAAACAGGGTTATGGATGATTCTGTAACAGCTCGTTTGTGCGTCCTGTGAATTTCAGGCATGAGCGCATCCATACTAAAAGAGGAGGCCACATGAAGACACAATCAGACGCAGATGAGGTGGACGACCTCGCTACCCTCGAGGTTCTAGATGAGGTAAAAAGAAGTCTAAACTGGCCATCAAAGGGAGGGAAATAAAGCCCTTTGGCTTTTGGGACAAAATCACATGGAGGCAGCTGACTTTATGAGACTGCATGTTACATTTTATTATAAAATAACTTATTTAGCACTGTCTGTATATGGAGAAACAGCCTGCATAGAAACTATTTAAGGAGCCTATTTGACAGTTCAGTATACATTTTCTTTGTACCTATCCTTGGGAAAGACAATGTAGATATTTTATTATAAAATCAGCTGTTTTGCCAAGGAAATATTCCAATTTCTCAGTCCTAACCAATCAAAACAGAGTAGTGATGTATTACATACACACAGAGTCCAGTACCTTCAGACATATAGTCACCACCACCCCCATCAACTGCTTGTCTGAAATAAAAAAACAAACACAGCAGCATCTTTTACAGAAACAACACTCAAAGCAATTTATCAAACGTGTGCCCCGTGTTGACGTATTGAATGATACAACCGGCCTCCAATGCCTGCGGATATTTCTACCCATCCTTCAAGCTCTGTAACTCGGATGTTGATGATGAGCCTGGCAGCGTGCAGACAGGAGAATTGATCACCGCGTTATGAAAATAATACATCAATATCGCACAGGTCTCTCGGACACAGGCGGGAGTGTTAGGTTTTTTAGTTGTAGTTTTTTTAAGAATGTGGGTCCGACCATCACATGCACAGCCTATTCGTTTAAAGCCAGGGCAGGAGTTTGAATTCTGCTTCTTTTTGTCAGAACACGGTCACGGAGCAGCTTCAGAGTCGCTACGTCAGAGATCAGATCTACACATACGTTGGAGACATCCTCATCGCGGTCAATCCTTTCCATAAAATGGAGATTTACACGCCTCAGGTCAGTGGGGACTGTCCGGGCCTTAGTGAGTCGTCTGGTATATCTAATCAGTACACATGTTCATTCAGTCTCAGGATCCTCATTTAGCTTCTTTCTCACACAAACTGACCCTCTACTACCTCCTGAGCATTGCGCTCATGTTCAATCCTATCCTCACAGAACAGAAATGCTGATACACAAATAAAGCGGACAATCCACTTTTGAAAAGTTTGAATCTTTTCCATGTTTTCCATAAGCTTTTATGCTTTGTAAACTCCTGTTTTCACAGCACACGAAGATGTACATCGGAGCAAAGCGCACTGCAAACCCGCCGCACATCTTCGCTGTGGCTGACATCGCCTACCAGTCCATGGTGTCATACAACACCGACCAGGTAAAGCACCCCTCACAGTCTCACAACCAGCCAGCTCTTCATTTCAGAGGCCTGGATGGACAAAAGTCCCTGGTTGAGTTGTTTGCATTAATATAACATTTTTAAAAAGCAAAGTAAGAAAAATATGAAGCATGAGAATATTTTCAAACACGAAAGGTTAAAAGAATCTTTGGGCTGTACATATGTTTCACTTTGGATTGTGGATATAAAAACTGGAAATAAAAGGAAATACTTTAAACTATGCAATCAACAAAGGGCACATCCCAGAAACTCATGGAGCAGAATGTTGATGTTTTGTGGCTACTTTACATGCATTATCCCACCCTGTGCACCCATTTCAGTGAGTGTGACTTCCTGTGTGCAGTGTGTGGTGATCAGCGGAGAGAGCGGAGCAGGTAAAACAGAGAGTGCTCATCTGTTGGTGCAGCAGCTGACAGTCCTTGGAAAGGTGAGGAAAACAAGATGTCATCAGTCTGTCCATTTTTTAATCATTCTTTATTTTCTTTATCTACTACAGTTTAGTAAACCACACATTCTTCTTCTCTTGAAAACTCCTGCGTATGTAAGCAGATCAGAGGTTAAATAACCTACGGATTATCAAACTTCCGTCAGCTCCTAGACTCAGACTGGTAGTTAGCGTTGCCATGGTGACCTCAATCTGACGCACACAGAAAAAATTGAGTCAAACTTTCTTCGAGCTGCTGCTGCTCTTTTAGGAAAGCTGTAACTGACTGAGCTGGTTTTAGTGCTTTCAATGGGCCTCTGATGTGAAAGAAATGCAAACAAACAATGAAGACAGCACATTCCCCTTCAGGTTTCTCCTAAAAATGCTGCTCTCATTGAAAGTTAGCGTCTGCGTGGAAGTAGAGCACATGTTTATTTTTTTATTTTTGGAGGCTTTCTACTCTTTAAGAGCCTGGGTACACCCTGGACAGACCCCCACAGCTCCACACAGAGATAAAAACCATTCAAAATTCAGTTTAGAGACACTGATTAACTTGACATGCATATTTTTGGAAGGTGAGAGAAAGCCACAGTTCCTAAACCGTGGCCGAGTTGATGTCTGAGTCAGTGGATCAACTTAAATTGTCACATGGCATAATTGCCATTGGTTGCCTTTGCTTCCACTAAACTGAGCTGTTCTACTCAGGCCAACAACCGGACGCTGCAGGAGAAAATCCTGCTGGTCAACAACCTGGTGGAGGCCTTCGGAAACGCCTGCACGGTCATCAATGACAATTCCAGCCGCTTCGGAAAGTACCTGGAGATGAGGTTCACCTGCGGGGGAACGGTGGTCGGAGCAAGGATATCTGAGTATCTGCTGGAAAAATCCAGAGTCATCCATCAGGCGATGTAAATATCACTCCTCTCCAATCATGTTTCTGTTTTCTGAGAGAACGGGGGCACCAAAGTAGTTCTTTTCGTCAGGGACACGAACATAATGGCTTGGCTCTACCTCACTATTCCACCTCTTTTTTCTCCACTTGAAACTGGTGACATTTGCCTTTAGCCTGCACTTCAGTCACTCAATCTTTTCTTTTTATCATGCGTCCTGGGAACGAATCGGGTCAAGAGGAGGCCCCGGCTTATTTCCAGTTTGATCAAAGATTGTGGTCTAACAAGTGCACTTTGTGAAACTTCAAAGGCAGACTCAAATGTTTCATTATGGGACAGACACACAGGTCAGAGGGGCTTGATTTGGCTGTAAGCAGCGTGTGCAGCTACTTTTCTTTGGCTTGTTATCTCGCACTGCTTTTTGCAGGAGCAGCAGAGGTGAATCCACTTTTTTCTTAACTCAAGCCTTCAATGAGTGCTGCAACTTGTTTACTTCCTTCCAAGGAAGATATTCTTTATCTGGAAAAGTTTTTTTTGTTGATATCATATTGAAAAGTTTTGCTTTTTTTTGTTAAAGAGATTGAAATGGCCAGGAGTTTTTGCTTAAAAGTTGAACAAAATTATTTCTGAATCCATGAACGAAATTGTTCATGTAAAAAAAGTGTAATTAAGATTATTAGTTCAAATCAAATTTCTGTGTACACCTTTCACTAAATCAATACTTGTGTGTGCAAATATGTTAGTGTTACTTTATAATGCGTCATATATAGGTATTTGTAATGAAAATAAATCATAACCTTCAACTGATAAGTTAAATCTACCTATCAATCATCTTCGTAGCTCAGTTTTAGACTTAATTGTGCTGATTTCAACTCCTCAAATTCAATTTGTCACTAAAACCGTGTTGTAAATGCTTTTTTAATCTATCAGTAAGGAGGTTCAAAGTCTTGCCTAAGGACACTCAAACAAAGAGAGATGGCAATAGATAATATCTTATTGAAACCAGTGCCGTTAATGAGCACCAATAATGGTACTTATTGATCTTGTTCTTTATCAATTTCCATATTGATACTTGGCTCAGTTTTCTGCTGGGAGGGATCAGCACACCACTCACACACATCATTCTTCTTTGGTTTGGTTCTTAGTCAATTCCATGTTCATAATATTAAAATAATAAGAATGCTGAATACAAGGCTGAAGGACGCACCAGTCAAAACAGCTGTTTCACACGTTTCGAGAATAAGTTTTTATTTGCTGTGATCTAAAACTAATCCAACGGACTCCCAGATTGGAAAAAATATATATCTGAAAACTCTATTAGGTCCGATTTTTCTACATATATGGCAAATTATTCAGCTCTGTTAGTTTTCTTTTACTTTTCTGTGGGTTTTATAACAAAACTGCACTTTAGGAAAAATAATCATAAGACCTTAATTACTTTGCTGTATTTCCACAGAGGAGAGAGGAACTTCCACATCTTCTACTATATTTACGCTGGTCTGGCTGACAGAAAGAAACTCGCGCACTACAAACTCTCCGACACCAAAACACCAAAGTAGGTTTGACATTCCTAAATCGCTTTCTGAAGCTGTGCGATTTGTCTCTCTCACAATGTAGACTCTGTACTCCCTGAGATTCCCGTCCTGACTTCTGTGTTTGCTTCATCTGCAGGTATCTGTGTAACGAACACGTTAAATTAGGGCCTGACATAGTGAGCAACGCCTTCTACAAGGAGCAGTTTGACGCAGTGGAGCAGTGCTTCAAAGTCATCGGATTTACCCTGGAGGTATAAAGCACTCCATTAAAAACGGGACAAAAAGCTGAAAGAGGCCTGCTGACCAGATTTCACAGCTTATTCATGATCACAGCAGTCATACTCAATATAATGCATAGACTTGAGTGGCCATGAAAATAACATTTAAGCAGCCACACAAACAAGAGGCTTTCTCTTCGGTATTGTACACATGACTTCTACGTCAAATACAGGGCACCTTCAGTTTCATGGATTGCCAGCATAAGCCGTGATGGAGCATAAAGCTACGAGCACATGTAGGCCAAAAGCCGTCGGTGTTGTGGGGGCTAATGAGCCTAAAAAAAGTGATTGCTCTTGGGATCGGCACGTCAATAGCACTTATTGTCTAATCGTTCTGCAGTGCTGGAGGAGCAGCACCCTATTCTGCAGAATGACAGGGACTTATGCCGCAGACTTATGTTTTTTCTAAACATTAAACTGCATGCAAAGCTTATTTAGCACACTCTTGTGCTTCAAAATACTTTTTTTTCATGATCTGGAGAATAATGCAAAATTCATGATATACAGTATAGTAATTATGAAAATGTTTTAAGGTACATCCTGTTTTTTTTCCGTTGCAATAGCCATATTCTGATTTTTTTTTATAGGATGCTTGACAGTTACCAAGCCATAATGTAGGTATCCGATGAGTAACATTTTGAAATATTGGATTTTTGAAAAATAATTTATTCAATTTAAAATAAAAAATCCAAGCAGTTTGACTGGTTCCTGTCTTCTGTCTTTAGTAAGACCATTCCCAAATGCTCGTCATGAGAAAAGTCACAAACGTTCATAACTACATAAGTTCCATTTGTCTGTTATTTCCCCTCTCACATCTTCAAAAAACAGAATTCAAACATCAGAATGGAAATAGAGTTTGTTTGACAAGACTGCTTTATCTGTCCTCCCTACAGGAGCTTGGCAGCGTTTACAGCACTCTGGCCGCCATCCTTAACTCTGGTGACATTGAGTTTTCTGCCGTGGCCTCGGAGCACCAAACAGACAAGAGCAACATCTGCAACACTCCTGTTCTGGAGAACGGTGAGTTACGAGACCGGGGCAGGATGTCTGTTTCCTCCGTCACTCTCCTCCCCCCTCCTTTGCTTTTTGTCATTAACTCCACTGCAAGCTCCATTTACAGAAAAACATTGTTGGGAAATAAATTAAACATCACTTGGGACGTGCTATTAACAGAAAGTCATTACCAAACACATATTTTGCATTGGTTAGATTTTACACTGCATAGTTTCCATAATCTTCTCTAAATTATACTGTGTTCCGGTTGGTTCTGGCTGGTAATTTGCAAATCTGTTTTGATGAAATATATTAAATTAGTGCGTTTGAAGAATTTTTTTCCTCGAGTCAAAATGAGGACAGCTCACGATGCGCATTTTTCAGCCTCCATTTCTCGCTCCCGCTTTGGGAATGCTGCGTTTGACCTCCCCTCTCGTATCTTTTTGTTCCATCAGTGGCATCTCTGCTGCGCATCCGCTCAGACGAGCTCCAGGAAGCCCTGACCTCCCACTGTGTCGTGGCCCGGGGTGAGACAATCGTCCGGCCCAACACGGTGGAGAAGGCAGTGGAGGTGAGGGACGCCATGGGCAAAGCTCTCTACGGGCGCCTCTTCAGCTGGATTGTCAACCGGATCAACACACTGCTGCGACCTGACAGCCAGTTAGGGTGAGATCCAGAGCGTGGTCGCGGTGTGAGCTCCACTGTCAGGAATTAGGTCATCTCACAAACATCTTCCTGCTTTTTCATTAACAGGATTAAGTTTTACACACACTTTTCACACATAAAGCTATATACGGCTGTAATTATTGCCAATAGGGGGTCACAAAGTACCTCGAAAAAGATTGTGGCCATGACTGAAAAAGCAAGAAGATGCATATATTTTACTAATAATACTAAACCTTTATGTCACACATGTAATATGTTCATCATGCTAGTTTATGAAAACAGTGAGTGCATTTGAGTTGTTAAAGAGCAGCTAATGCTAAATGTGGTTGCATGTTTAGCTTCAAGGTGCTGCTTGATACTAGTTTTCAAATATTTTTTTGTCCTTCACTGGTGAACGGACAAGCTTGAAGCAGGCTTCTAAAAGTTGACCTGTCAGAGGAAAGGAGTATTTTGGTTGTCTTGAAGAGATAGATGTCAAAAACGGTCTACATGTTGAGAATTACTTGAAGAGGCCAGCATGATCTTAATACAGATTTATATTAATCTGGAAATCGTGCAAAGCTGGTCCAGCAGAGCCTAGATCAATCATCTGAGGCTCACTAAAATCTTTAGAATACATTTTTATTTGGTCTTATTTCTTGTTAAGTTAATTTTTTATAGATGAGATACTAGGAAGCGGGATGTCACGCTGTGAGCACAGCTCAGTCTACGTGCTTCTGCCTCTTGTCACCTCCAGAGAGGACGATAAGGGCCTGAACATTGGCATCCTGGACATCTTTGGTTTTGAGAACTTCAAGAAGAACTCTTTCGAGCAGCTTTGCATCAACATCGCCAACGAGCAGATCCAGTTTTACTTCAACCAGCACATATTTGCTTGGGAACAGGTAGAGTTCAACAGCTAACACCAGAATGCACTGAAATTAAACATTGCTGTCTGTGTGCGGAATCCCTCCTGGAAAGCATTTTACCTTGGATCTCCCTCATTTCCATCTAAATTAGGAGAACATGTCATAGCTTGTCACTCTGTGTCATAAGAGAGATGGTGAGTGTAAAATATATTTGTTGTTATGAAAAAATTTGATTCACCATTCCTCCTTCATGTAGTCTCGTGGGAGTGTTTTTGCCTTTGGGGGGGTCAGAATGGTTTGCTAATGTTAAACGATTTGGACTTACTTGCAGAGAGGTGCCATAAATCATCCCAAACAAGGGTCAATTAGGAGTTGAAGACACTTAATGTCGTACTTAAACTCACTCTTGGGAATTGCTGGAACCAAGCCCAGAAATACATTGGCCTATACTGCTCGCGCTTGTACTCAGAGCATAAGGGAAACGCACTGTGCTATGAGATTAATAGACCTCCCTCACTGCGTTTTACTATGTCTTCAGCACAACTACTGTGTGGCATCAGTTACTCGCGTGTATTTATTCCTTTACCTGTATGTTTCCACATGCAATGTTCTGCCAAATCAGCACCTCTGCCGATATTCTGACACATTTCATTTACTTCACAGTGGCCTTTCAAGCTAGAATAAGCTGATTGATTCGATGCTGTTTGTTCACATTTATGCCATTCTCTGCTCGAGATAGTGGTCTTTTCTGATGTTTTGCTGAGTCACAGCAGCTCTGAGTCAGCCTGGCGAGATCAGGTCAGCTGCATATAAAGTGGCTGGCTAAGCATATTTTGCCCCCTAGTATTATTTGAATAGGGAAACACAGCAAGACAACAAATTCGCGGTCGTGCTGTCATTAAAAGGTTTTCTCAAAAGTCAAGCGTAATAGGATAAAAAATAACACCAACAGTAGGTTGGTTAGAAGGTTAGGATAACCACTTATTGAACATGATAGGCTTATGCCTACCACTAAGTTTCTTCTTTTTATTTTTTTTATTTCTATGGTCTTTCAAATTGCCGCCAACAACATTAAACTCTAGGACAAACTAATAACTAATGAAAGCTGTCAAGGCTTCCTTTTTCTAAACTTACTTCTGTTCCATTAACCAAATGCTCCCTGCTCCCTTTTTAGTGTCTGATGAATCTTACCTTAACAAACTGCTCAATTTGACTTCATTTTGCTGCTCTGATTTTTAACTTTGAAGTTATCCTTTTACATTCTGTTCCAGAAAGCCAGTTATTGAAAAAACAATTCAATGGATGTAAAATGCTTTACAATGATGAACAGTGAATAATTTAGCAGGACAGGGCGCCATAAACAAAGATTGTAAATTTATTTTTATTCATGCAATTTTTTGCACATACAGTGGAATTTAGGTTTGATTTTACCCTGTCTGCCTACTTCCTGTGCAGGATGAGTACCTGAATGAAGAAGTTGATGCTCGAATGATTGAATATGAGGACAACCGACCACTCCTGGACCTGTTCTTGCAGAAGCCAATGGGGATGCTCTCCCTGCTGGATGAAGAGAGTCGTTTTCCACAGGCCACTGACCAGACGCTCGTAGGTTGGTCATCATATTTCTATTTTTCATGTTAGATTTTTAAAAGAAATTTAGAATCATTAAATGCATAAGAAAAATCCCATTTTCAAATATTCACAGAACATGAACTAAGGAAGACACCATTTTGATAATGAGGTGATATAAACCTAATGCATAATCTGGTATATTTTAGAGAAATTTGAAGATAATCTCAAGACAAAAAGCTTCTGGAGACCAAAGAGAGTGGACCTTGGCTTTGGCATTCACCACTATGCTGGGAAGGTAATTGATATTTATGTATTCTAATACGTGCACATTTTAAGGCAAAGCGAGCTGACATGTGTCGGCTCCTTTATTAATGTTTTGCCTTCCTTCAATACACTCACAGGTGATTTACAACGCTGCAGGGTTCTTGGCCAAGAATAGAGAGACGCTACCAGCCGACATCATTCTGCTGCTGAGGTCGTCGGAGAACGAGCTCATTCGCAAGCTTGTCACTCATCCTCTCACCAAAACAGGTGATCACCTTCATTTTCGGGAATGTAACCAATTGCATATTTGAAGCAGCAATATATATATATATATATATATATATATATATATATACTGTACATATATGTTCTCACACTTGTTAGCCTCTGTTGAAAGTCTTTCCTTTCGTGTCTGCCAGGTATTTGCCTTTCTTATTCAGCTTTGGTCCACTCCTCACTGTGTCAAAATTAAGTCGCAAAGCCAAATAAGTCACCAAAGCCAATAATCTCCTAATCGCTCTTTAAAAGTAGTCTCTAAGCTCGTGTATCAACGGATGGTGTTTCGTGACACTATGAGCTTGTTGACATAGAGCTAATCAAAGGTATCAAAGGTGACCCCATCCAATGAGAGCGCTCCCGTTTGGGCCGCATGGGGTGGAGGTTTTTAAATAGTTTCCTTTTACTTTTGCCGTGTGGGAGACTTTGAATCGTGTGAAGCTTCTCATCACACCTCGGGGTGTTACGCTTCCCTCTGTCCAGAAGTAAAACAGGGTAACAGCAGCTGGATTCTGAAGTACTGAAAATTTCACATGTTGATAATGGAATCCCAACCTTTACATTTTGTTTGACAACTGGGAGCTCCACACTATCTCTGAACTGCATCTGGTTTTGAAATACGTTACTAACATTAGACTTTACGTTCAAAATAGAGTTTACATTAGTTCTAGTTAGTGCTCTGTGTTCACCTATTATGATATGACTTCAATAAACTGGGAGGTGTACGATTTTTGCATGTGACAAACTCTTTCCCTCCCTAGGGAAGTTTGTTTTCTGACTCATTCTCTGATTCACTGTTTTTTTTTCACAGGTAACCTTGCCCACACCAAGGGTAAGGGGATAAACACACTGCGAAGCCCGCGGACTCCAACGCGAACCATCACCTTTGCCAAGGTACTTACAGCCCTGCCTGCGCTATTGTTGTCTGATCTCCAGCAGAATGAGCTTCATTTGAAATTTGATTTTTTTTCTTGTCTACCTCCCACAGAGGCAAAAACTCCTCTGAAGTCAGAGCACTACTGTTTGTGTCTCAGCAGTGTTTTTGCTTAATGATTAATATTGATTCAGTCTCTTCCCTTTTCTCTTTTCTTTCCTTCTCTCTTCATTTCCGTCGTAAAAGATGGGAGTGCTAACCTTATACAGTTCTTTTTCTATTAGTGAGGTAAATAGCATATTTCATATACCTCCTAGATTTGATATTTGTATTTATTATTCTAGTCTCCACACACCTTTCCTCACTAGAAATCCCAGACTGGATAAAGTGCTCCAGATTTAACTTCTGTAGATTTAATAGATTTTTTGTCTAAATTGTCGCTGTAAACATGTGTATTTATATATAGTTTTCCCTCCTAATGGTTTGTGTGCTTATTAAGGGGTACATTTCTTAGTCTATGAATTGCTGTCCATCAACACTGTCTCCTTCTGCCTTCTGATGTAGACCCTCTGAGTATACCTGTTGTTTATACCCCTCACTGTTGTGGGTTTTAGTTTATAGCACTATGCCTCATTTTTCAAAAAATGGTTTGATGTAACCCAGTTTTTGATAATGAACCTTGCTTTCTGTCTTCCACATAAAGCTCCCATTTGAGCTTAAATAATATAACCAGTGTAAATTAGTTTGATTGTGGCAGTACTCTGTAAATGTATGCCTGGAGCCGATTTGTTGGCCTCAAAGCAATTGAAAGACTCTACATTTACATGAACTGGATTTGATGGGTTCTTGAATTAATTTCCATTCATCTGCATATTTTCAAAAAGACAAGAAAAGCTCATCAAAGGGGTTTCTCTTGAAGAAGCCACAATTTGCGGTTACATGGTACAAACATTAAACTGATGGCGTGCTGTAACAGTGGTGTCCCACGTTGTGCTAGCACTGAGGATTAGTTGTAGTGTGAAATCCATGATGATGTGTCGTAGTTTAGTGTCTTTTGGTGAGCAACTAATGTAAGTTTTTTTTTTATCGTTGATGTCTTCATTTCTAAAAATTCTGAAATATGTAACACCTTTTTAATTAATAGCTTTAGACTAATTGTATTGAGCTTGAAAGCACTTATGATTTGGCACTTATACATTTATCTCTTTTGCAGCCTTCTTGGAAATTAAAGCACACTCCTGAAAAAAAATGCTTTCTCGATGTGCCTCTTCAAGACACAGTACAATTTCAAACGGTGATTGGTGATTTCTCAAAACAAATTGCACAGGCAAAGGGCATCTTTGCTTTAATCTACTAAACAGTTTTCCTTCACATTTACTTTAGCTGAATAGAGTCAAAGAGTCAAAATGCCCCCTTTTACTTTAAGAACCCACAAAAAATTATTGATAGTGTAGAGTTTAATTAAACTGAGTAATGCAGTTGCTATTTTAGTTTTGTTTACCTGTTGAACATTTTGTTTTTTAGCCTACTGAACCTGGAGAGACGCCTTATCATCCAAGGGAAACCACAAACATGAAAACACAGACGGTGGCCTCCTACTTCAGAGTAAGGCTGTTGTCTCTCACATACTGTGTGAACTGAGCAGAAACTCTTTGTGAAGAAGGCGTTGTGAGTTTGGTTCTTCCGCCATTTTGCTGCAGACTAATGCAGCATGGTCTAAATGACATAACTGTCAACCCCCCAGTGGAAGTGGCCATTTTGGAAAAAGTTACTGGAGTTATAAGTGATTAAAACCAACTTAATATGGTACTTTCTGGGATTGTTTTCCATTCCTGAATTCTCAGCAGCTGTTAAGATGTCTGATGAAGTTCCTGACCGGTCAAATACGGAGAAAAGCAACAATTCCTGGTTTAGAACGCAAATTTAACCCAGACTCTTATGGGAACATTTTACTTTAGTTGGAATATAATCTGAAATATCGTAGATGATTGTAGCTTTGAAGCTTTGTTATGTTTTTCCAGTACTCTCTGATGGACCTGCTGTCTAAGATGGTGACAGGGCAGCCTCACTTTGTGCGTTGCATAAAACCCAACAATGATCGGCAATCCAGCAAGTTTGACCGGGAGAAAGTTTTGATCCAGCTTCGTTATACCGGTGTTCTGGAAACTGCCAAGATCAGACGGCAGGGATATTCTCACCGTGTCCTGTTTGCTAATTTTATAAAGAGGTAAGTTGTTCTTCAGGTCCAAATGAGTTTATTCTATCTGATGGAACCTCAAACTACCATTTGTGCAGATCTGTGTAATTAGTGTCCAACACTGTTTGCTGCAGGTATTACTTTCTGGCTTTCCACGCTCACGAGGAGCCGGCTGTGACTCCAGAGACATGTTCAGCAATACTGGAGAAGGCAAAGCTGGAACACTGGGCAATGGGGAAGACCAAGGTGAAATTGTTAAACAAAAATCACATTTTGGTTAAAGCTTAAAGAAAGAAATATGATTTCAGAGAATGAGTCTAACATCTCAAAGTAACTTGGTTCAAAGTTTGAGAGGTATGACTGCAAAGGACACCCTGAGCTTAATTTAGTTTGTGATCGGCAGGCTGAGGGACTCACAGCAAACATATTACTGAGGCAGGTCAGTGAGGTAATATAGAGATATTTAGACATGTATATACCAGAAGGAGATGTTTCATATCTAGTTAAATGTTCCACAGAGGTGTCAATGAAGAGCAGACTAAGTGTAAGAAATATGTCCTTATCTGAATGCTCTGTATGACTATAGTATAAAGTTCCATCCCACATGTGGACCTTTCAGCAATGAGAGAAGTGAGAATACACCTTAGTAGAATACACAATCGAAGTTCCTTTGCGTTGTGTGTTTCAGGTGTTCCTGAAGTACTACCATGTCGAACATCTGAATCTGATGGTGCAACAGGCCACTCAGCGAATCATCCTGCTCCAAGCTTGTGTCCGGGGTTGGCTGGGGACCAAACGGTACCAGCGGATATTAAAAGAGCGAGAGCAGAGTGCTCTGGTGCTGCAGTCAGGTTGGTAAACTTTATTCTGTTTTAAATGAACAAGCCGTGAGCAGTCACACCGTCAAATTCATAATCTCATCTCCAGCTTATAGAGGTCAAAAAGCCCGGAGAAAAGTGGCTGATGACAGAAGCAAAGCAAAGTTTGAGGCCTTTATCATCCACTTCCAGGCTGGTAAGAACAATCTGATGTTTATTTTTTTATACAACATGAGCTAACCTTAAAGTATGATATAGATTTGGTTTTTAACTGTCACCCTCTTTAGTTTGCAGGGGATATCTTGCAAAAAAGAAGTACAAGGAGTTGGTAGATGAGAAAAACAAAGCAGCAACCAAGATCCAGGCTCGCTACAGAGGGCACAAGGAGAGGAAGAGTTTTAAAAGAAAGCAGTAAGAGGCACTGGAAATTAACACAATATATTACTAGTTACATTCTGTCCTATATCTTCTGTGATAAAAAATACAAATGCCCTGTCTCCAGGGAGGCCAAGGAGAAAGAGAAAGCAGAGAAGGCTCTTCAAGAAGAACAAAGTGCCTCTACTGACGCAAACAACGAGGAGGATGAAACCAAAGCTGCCGTGGTTCTTCAGAGCAACTTCCGGGGTTACAAAGAGAGGAAAAAGTTTAAGGAGAGGAAGAAGACAATGGCTGGTGCCGAGCTGCAAATACCGAACACTGACGAAGAGGAGGCACAGGATGCAGAGCCAAACGGCACAGAGGAGGAAGGGCGAGAGGGAGATACCAAGCAGGAAGCGAATGACGAAGATGATGAGAGCACTTTTGAGGCTGAGGAGAATGATGACAGTGACAATACGCAGGTGCCGGAAGATGAGGACCACACAGATGAAACGGTGATTGAGGATGCAGATGCTAGACAGGAAACGCAAGAGGAGGAGCATGAACAGGCAAAGACTCCAGAGGACACGGGTGTCAACTTAGAAGATGAAACCAAGGCAGCCACTGTTCTCCAGAGTAACTTCAGAGGCCACAAAGAGAGGAGAAAGTTGCAGGAGGAAGGCAAGATCCCCGCTAAAAAACGAGCAAAAAGTCCCACAGGTGGAGAGGAACAAGTCAGGGCGGAGAAAGAGGAGACAGCCCAAGCTGTGGAGTTGGATGACCCAGATGAGGCCAAAGCAGCCGTGGTGCTTCAAAGCAACTTCCGCGGTCACAAGGAGCGCAAGCGCCTGGAGGAGGAGGGAAAGATCCCCAAGAAAAAGAAGGAGCCTGTAAAAGACGAAAATGCGGTGCCAACAGAAGAGTCATCAGAGGGACCAGATGAGGAAAAAGCAGCTACGGTCCTGCAGAGTAATTTCCGAGGTCATCGGGACAGGAAGAAGCTGAAAGCAGAGAAAGAAGCGCGACAGAAAACCAAAGAGGAAACCTTGATTTCCGAGCAGGATAATGAAGGCGAAGAGGAGGTGCTGGATGTAACTGATGTCTCGATTGAGCGCAAAGAAGAGACAGATTATGAAAAAGAGAGACAAGAAGAAGAACAGGCCGCGGTGAAGATCCAGAGTAACTTCAGAGGGTACAAAGACAGGAAGAACCTGAAGGCCAACAAGAAAGCCGCAAACAACGAAGCCACTCAGCTGGAGAGCTTCTCCAAAGAAGTAAGAGCAATAAACTCCCCTCAGCTAGCTATCTTGACAGTTTTTTTTTTTCCAATCATATATTGTTCTTTTCTTATCTTTTCAATAGATCCAAAAGACAGCGGAGGACTATCAGACCCTGCAGCAGAGGCTGAATGAGATCATCCAGGCTCATCAATCAACTCCTGAGAACAATGGCATGTTTGTGAAAGGAAAAACAATAAATGGCTACGCTCCCCAGCATCAGCAATCAGGTGAGATACGGGTGACTGTCCCAGTGAAAAGTGATTATAAAACAATAAGTATCATTCAGAATGTTGACCTTGGGTAATGGGAACTTTTGGCTCTTAGTCTTCTTATAATTAAGAGCATCGCTCTGTGAAGGAAATATTTCCATTCTCACAGTCAAAGACAGCCCATCAGACCATTTCTGAAGATTAGGTCGGATGGAGTCAACCAAAGATGCCAGAGAGCAACTGAGTCACTTCCTGTCACGGAAAACACACACTAATAGAAAAAGAAAGAGAGAAAGATTCCAATGTGGAGATTAAAATGCCGCCGTGTGCCTTCGAAGACAGTGACGTCAGAGACAGATGCTGCTCTCAGTTCTTCATCCTGCAGCCTAATTAGATCAGGAAACTTGAGAAAGTCAAATGCCAAAACAGAAGGAGGGCTCTCTACTTGATGTGTCATCAAAAAATGAAATTTGATTTTCTCAGACGATAGCTGTAATTGCTTTCAGGGTGGTGAGTGGCGCTAAGCAGCTAATTGAAAGTTCAAACTCTGGCTGAAACATGATGGCCGCAGGTGTGTCAGATTATTTGCTCTCCATCAGGATTTCTCTGACATTTTCAATGTTCAATAAACCAAATAAAATAATGAGATACCATTTCAATGACGCCTCCATTAATGTTAAACCCAAGTTACAATAATCTTATTACATTATTTCAAGATTTGAAACATAATTTCTTGAAAAGGGTCAACGTTGATCTGAACATTTTGTGTGAGAAAACTATGGAAAACTATAAACTTGCATGCTTTTAGGTAGTTTAGCCATGTATAGTCTACTTGTTTAGTTCTCTTTGCAAAAGTTTACAAAACTAACACAACCACAACATTTATATTAGGTTTCCTAATGCTAATGCTGCTGGCTTTTTCCATGTATTCACCATTAAAGCTTTAAAGCAGAATAACACAGTGTACTACACAGATTAGAGTACTCTTTAATCTAGGAATGTTTTCCCTTTACAGGTTTTTCTACCGTACACTGCCTGAGGGTAAACAAAATGAATTAAGTGTGTCATTTACAAGAGCCAGCACATCTCTTAAATTAGAGTTTTTGTGCGCACAAAGCCATCTCACCGCAAACAGAGCTAATCTGTCCACATGAATTTCGCCAGCACAATAAATGAAATATGTACCATTTGTGCCTTTAGTGAAAGCAGAGTTCTGTTGTTCTTCATGCAAAAGGTTATCAAATGTTAATCATGTTACAGCAGGAATTAATATAAGGGCGTGTGAAATTAGCTTTATTTATATTAGCAGTACAGAATGACCTTTGAGCGGGGTTGTTCAATAATATTATAAACTTTCCTTCACCTGCACATGATGGATTGTTTTCCTGCAGCGGGAACATTTATAATGAGACAAGAAAAGGTTTCTTTGATAGTTTAAAAATTCCAGGAATATAAATGACAGGTTATGTTCCATTATACCACCACTGACAAGTCAATCGTAATAGATAAATGCATGCTCATAGCTCACTTGATGTCCAGTACATAGTGAGAATACCAGGAACATGGATGGTTACACAGTTATTGGATACTCTGGTGTCAAAGGTTGTTTCAAGTAATCTCTGTGGAAAATTCAAACTGGACCAAGGCCTCAGGGCAGCTCAATAAGCACAAGGCAAAGGTCAGCCAAGTGGCGTTCCGCATTCAGTCACTGGAGTAATTCAGCCAGTCATGTATAAAGATACCACCGGCTCGCAGGTTATCAGACTGTGATATCTGCACGTAAAATCTTCAGAATTATTGCAAAGCTTTAAATGAAACACAGAGCACTCATCTGAGTTATAGAGGTCAGGAGTCACTCCCCTATTTTTCAGTGTCATGCCTCCAAGCAGCCAGACTTTCTCGTAATCTTTCACAGTGATCTTGAGGTATAGTTTAAACTTTATAGGTATCTTATTAAATGTGCTACAAAAATAAATATAAGTCTCTCTTTCTTACTTCTCTTGTTTTAGATCCTTAAAGTATTGTGGGTCAGGTTTATATAAGTTTCAAATGCCCCATACATTTTGAAAAACTCTGATGCTCTAAACATTTTTTATACTTTCCAGCCGACAAGAGGGTGTCGAGAACCCCCCGCAGGACCCAGCAGCCCAAGACCCTGAACACACCGGAGGACTCCACCTATTACACCCTCATTCATGTGAGTCACAGAAAAGGCGGCAATCGATTTCAGATACTTCCTACAACAAAGCGCTGCTTTCCAAGCTATTTTCTTTTTCAATTTACTATTGATTGGAATCCTTTTTTTTCTTTTTACCCTTACCCACATATGTTCCCAAACATCTGACTATTACAAAGGTGTCTGGAAAAGTTTTTCGTTACAGCCTCTGTTTCTGAAGTTTGTCTTCTCCACATTATGCAGCTAATTTTTTAATCGCTGAACTCTTAACTTAATTATTTGTAATTTCCTCATTATTTCAGCATTCAAAAGCTCAGCATGTAGACTGGAATTATGATTTATGTGACCCAGCATATGCTGAGAATACACATTGGATCTGATCAATAAATTTAAACAATTATAAAAGAATGACAAACCAACTGTAAATAGGAAATGGATTTAGTGTCTTTACTTACCTCCAAAAAAAAAGAAGTATAAAAAACTGATTTAGCAATACAAACGAAACGTTGGGATGTAGGCTTAACTACGGCCTCTTTTTTTTTTGTTTCATGGCACTCCTTTATTTTTGCAGTTAACACTTCAACACAGACATGAGTTAGATTTCTTTGACCTCCAGTAATATATTCTCTGTTTCTTTCCTCTCAGCGATCTGTCAAGGATGAAAAACGCAGACCCAGGAAAGAGGAGTAAGTGTCCAGTCCTTTCATTAACTTGCCTCTATTCACCTTCCACTCTCTTTTTAAGAGTTTGACCGGCCACCTGCATTCCTCTCCTGGTCTGGAGTATCGACTACAGCCCATCGCCAACATGAGGACAGAGTCTGTTTCTGAACTTAATTATGTGCGGTATCACACACACCCGCACTTAAATGAATGTCCCTCATCTTTTTCACAAAGACAAAATGTCAAACATCACTTTTTTTTAACAGTATTTTTGTTTGTTTTTATCTTTAAAGAATTTTTGGGGACAAAAACATGACATTAAGTGCTGGTGTGTGTATTTATCACGACGGTTTGAGGGGGGGCGCACACCCACTGTGATGTGTACACACCCCCATTCAGCACGGTCCTAAACATGGGGGTAATAATTTGTCAGCAGATAAATAAATCCAGCAAAAGACAGGAGCAGCTTACATGCATCATTAGGGATGAGAAGGTCAGCGGGAACAATGGCGTCTGTGGGTGAAGCTGACAGAGGGGGACGGGGGATGGCATCGTGTGGGGGGTCAGGAGTGAAGTATGGAGGGGTGAAGAATGCGTAGTGGGGAGGGAAGCTTCATCATCGGTGTCTGCACTTTAATGCTACAAACATATAGTTCATATTTTATTATTTGAAGACGCAACTTGGTGGGATTAAATGTTTTCAAACATTGGGAGCTCAGTGTTGGTTTAATCAAGAACAAATTTTGGCACCAGTTCTGGTTGCTGGCTGAAATGGTCTACTGGTGGTTACCAGCAGATCCATTCTTATGACTGTCTCTGAAATGTTCCTGATGTTAGATCACAGATCTAACACCCGTCTAGATCAGAGATCTAACATCTGACTTTTATCAATAAACGTGTTGTAAAAGTCCTTAAAAGGCAACCTTTGAGAGACAAATGAAAACTAAGAATTGTTTTGTTTTCATTATTTCAAGGAAATTGTTTATGTTCAAAGCTGCAAATGTATTCCTCTTTTTGACAGAATAGCTCTTTTACACTTGAAATCGGTTCTTGACAGATGACACAAACCCCAGTCTTTGTGTAAAGCAATCTTCAATCAGCTCCTTCATACTGGGGTTTCTTGTTCTTTTTTTTATCTGACATGGAGTAACTGGGAATATATCAAATGTAAGAAACATAGATACGGCTGTTTTAGTGAACAGAATGACGGCTGATTCAACATCTGTCTGTGCCCCAGTCCTGGAAAACTGCTGGACATGGACGACCAGTACTACCGCACCCTGTCCACCAGCAGGTCCGCGCCCTCCATGTCCGCGGCGAGCACGTCGCCCCGGAGACAGTCTGTGGAGAGGAGGCGCTCCATGGACAGGAGGCGGTCCATGGACAGGAGGCGCTCCATGGACCGGAGGCACCAGGCCGACAGACGGCAGTCCACGGAGCAGAGGCCGGGGGCGTCCACCCGACAGCTGAGAGAGAGGGCCGTCACCGAGCCGGAGCTGCCCCGACCTGCCAAAGACAGCAGGTACGCCATCGTCACAGCCACAAACCTTAAGATTTGACAGCTTGTGCTGTTATGCTACATCATTTAGCGCAATTGAACCAAAATTGACCTCGTGGTGAGTGAAAAAAGCCAGGTTTCCGAACCTTTCTGACCTCTGTCTGCTGAATTTATCACATTCATGTGACGCACACATGTCTTTTTAGAAAATACTATCACACCATGCCCCTTTCTGTCATTTTAATGTCTCAAAGCAGGAATACACAAAGCAGACATCCTGCAATAGCAGATGAGGCTGTTGCTTATGTTTTGTAACGCACAACTTAACAATCTGAGTTGTGGTTTTAGCACAGCTGGATTCCTTTTTTTCACCTGTTTTCCAAAAATGCCTCAGTCAGTCTAAAGCTTAAATGGACACATTCACAGACATTACACACGTTCAAATACACAAACAGCCTTCTCACATCAAAGCTTTGCTTCTCCTATTGTGCATCTTGCTTTGTTTGCATATAATCACCCTTTTCTATTCATAAAGAACTTCGTTGGAAGTGAATTTAGAGGTGTGTTCTTGTGTGTCTGCGTTGGTCTGCAGGTGTTCTGTTCCCAGAATGTCCTCCACAGAGAGTCGGACAGCGGATAATCCCTACGACTACAGGCACCTCCTGAGGAAGACCTCACAGAGACGAAGGCTCATCAAGCAGTACTGAATCACAACAAGAACCACACAATCCTCATGATACGACAATACCAACATATTCCACGCAACATGCATCCAGCATCCTTTTTGTTTATTGATTGAACACGTTTTCAAAACAGTTTAGTTTTCACGTTGTGTTTTCAGGCTGAATAAGCTGAAGAATCCACTGTAAATAATGGCATGTCTTTTAATTTTCTGTAAATTGAGTAACTACTTGTGAGATCTGTAATCTAGTTGTTGTCAAAGAAACGGTTTTCCCTCTTAAATCCTACGCAAATTTTCAGGTGATCTTCTTAAACGTTGCATTTTGGTGTGTTTGAAATCATTTATATTTGGGATCAGCTTCAGTACCGTAACGTTTTATGAAATGCCATTCCTCGTCTTTATTGCAATGTCTGATTTATTCAAATAAACCTTACACATATCAAATTCTTTATCATGTCTGTTGTGTTTTGCTGCTGGAACACCATCTCTACATCATCTCTAAAGCCAAATAACTTTGAAAGAATCCGCATTTTCTTTGCTTTTTTTTGTCTGTCTGAACCGATTTTAAAATGCATCACGTTGGGATAATTAAACTGAACAGTTTCTTTTTTTGTAGATCTGCTGTGAAAAAAACATCCGGATTATTCTGAACCAGCCCCAGTGAATGCCCGCTGTATTCAGCTGTACCTCTGACCTTTTTGTGACATTTAAAGGAGGAGCTCCCCCACAGGGGTTGTCAGTGTGTCCCAGATGCACACTTGCAGAAAAACATATTTCACTATGAAATGGGTTGAACCCATTTCAGTATGTTTTATATTCCATGGGAAATAGGAGCAGCCATTTATACAAACATGCACAAATATCAATGTAAGAACATTAAAAACAACATAAGCTTTAGAATATTTGAAATGACAGCCAACCTGAACCCTCCTATTAACAGATATCATTCTGAGGGACATCCCAAAGCTCTTCTTTGGATGTTGGCTGCTTTTTGCTCCTCTTCATCTGCTGTAGATAGTTTTTTCAGACCAACTCTTCTTATTTTGTCGTCCACTTTTCCAGTTTCCTGTGTTTGAAGGCCACACTGCTGAGATGTGCCAGGTTTTTTTCAGACAGCGGCTTTTCGGGAAACACTGTGATGCTGCAAAAAATCCTCTTTTGTGTTTTTCAAACCGTGTCCTTTTTTGTCTGTGCAAAAGAAAGTGCTTCAAGAGTTAAAACATTAAGGATTTGGGGAACTCGACTTGGGGAGCACAAAACTGAAATACTGTTAAAATAATAAAACCAATAAAAAATGTGTTTATAGGCAAAGGCCAACTGTACACTTTTGCCAGAGGGTTCACTTTGTTTTAATGAGCCTATTTTGGTTGTGGATCATTGTTGGCATTTGCATTAATAACTAACAACAGATGTGGCTCAGTGGTGTTTTGATGCCTTCAGCTAAAGAAAACAGCGGACTGCCCAATTTGACTCTTTAATGGTGTGTTTTAATGTGTGCGAGGACAACCTATCTGCACTCAGAACCTGTCAGGAGGTCTGATGAAGAGCTCGAAAATTTATTTTTGGGGTGACAAAACAAAGATCCTGCTTGAGAGATCTCTCAATGGTTCGAGTTTTAGTGAGTGACTCTAATGATCGCACGAAAGAAAGTTTGAGTTAAAAAAATGCCATGAGTAATCATTTTTTTGGGGAGCCACGCACCCCCCAAACCTAGGGGGGGGGGGCTGAACCCCCCCCCCCCTTTCCCCACTCCGCAGATCTCTCTTCCTCTCCTCCGGGCAATTAGAGCAGCCGGCAGGGTCTGAGTCTGCTGGGCGGATGAGTTAGTTTGGCATTCAGAGTCTGTATGGAGGGTAAGTTTAGCAAACAGGGGACAAAAATGTGGGGGGGTGGACGGAGTCACGACGCACGACGCAGCGCTGTTCGTCATGACCCTGAAGTGAATCACGACGGGATTTCTTTGGTGACGTTCAATTTAGGCTGGGCGCAATTAGACACGGCTCGCGTGCTGCGCATCCACCGACATCCATAGCTGCGCCAACCTCTCACCGCCTCCTCTTCTCTCTTTCGTTGCTTTTTTTTTCTCTTTTATTTCCATCTCACGTTTAGCAAGGTTTCCGTCCAAAAAAAAAAACGCGCGTCGAACTTCTCCAAAGTGTCTGGTGCTGCTCTGTGTTTTTTTTGTTTTTTTTTTCCTCCCCTCCTCACTGGCTGGAGAACGTGGCTGCGCGCTGCAGCCAGAAGTGCGCACAGTGTTTGCGGATTTCTCCTCGTGCAGTGGGGGACGCCGCTTTTCTAGAGCACCACTGGACACCGAAAAGGGGATAAAAGGAGCCCAGAGGAACGGCTTTTGTTTGCACTTTACGGCACGGTTTTATTTGTAAGGGGGGCTTTCTCGTCGCGTTAAAAAAAAAAAGCGCGTTTCGGATGCACGGCTGGATTTCCAGCAGTCTGCTCAGATTCAGCACCACTCCGGCTGTGAACAGCTCCCGCGTGACGTTTGTGGATGGGCTCCGTTTGTCTCCGGGTCTCGTGCAGCTCCTAACTACCGGCGACGATGGCATCACCAGGCTTCTGGTCACTCGGTGGGGATAACACGGGGGCCAACACCGGGAGTCAGAGCCCCAGTACGCGTGAGTGGCTTCCCCCCCCCCCAAGTGCATTGTCTCAATCGCCAGACAGGCCTACCATTCCAATACTCGACACTCCACTGCTTCTGTAGTTTTCGTTGTATTTTTTGTCTCAGAAAGCTTTTTTCTATGTGTAAATTGTCACATCATTTTTATTTTTGGAGCTCTAATTTCTGTCGTTAAATTGGACAGATAACCGGAGGCATCCTCACATGATTTATCCCCCTTCTCTTTTCCAGCCAGGGCTTGGTGCCAAGCGGCGGCCCAGAAATTATCAGGAGGAATTGGATCGAAATTATGTGGTATGTTGGCTGATGGGAGGATGGATGGAGGATTATTTCTATTCGGTTTTTAGGGTTGTTGCGTTTTTTTTCTCCCTTTTCGGTCTTTGTTGATAGAGAACTAAAAAAAATGACATCGGTGGTGTTTTGTGGCTTTCCCAAAGCGCTGCTAAATGTCGGGGAAGTGGAGAAAGCCGCGGATCCGGCCGCCAAACAGCCGCCGCAGCCCACCGCCGGAACCTGCGGCTGCAACAAATCCTGCAACTGCACCAAAGCTGAAGTGGGCTTCTCCGACCTCTATTCAACAGGTACGAGGGCGTTTTAAAAAAAAAAGAACAATTAAAAAGAAAATTCCAATGCATGCACAGCTCAATCTAACAGTTCCACTGAATCATTTAATCTGTAAAATAAAAAAAACGAACATTTCAACAGCAGGCCTACAGGTGTTATTCGCCTCCAATTTGAGTGTTATATTTGAGTCCTCGGTTTTTGCAGGTTGTGATGCCTTCATTTTCATTTATAATATGCAAAAATAAGTGAAATGCCTGTCCAGATAGTTCTTCTGTTTGTGCAGCGTTTAAATGTTGTGCAGGTTTGACGTGTCTCAGGGGTCACCTTCAGCCAAATCTCCTGTTCCAGTCTCTTTAGCGCACTAAAACTCAGTCAAAATAAATAAATAAATATAGGAATACCGTTACAAAATGTTAATCAATTACTTTACAAAAGGCCGTTGTTTAATATTTCAAAAATCATTTCTAATATACTTCCACTTGTGGGGGAAAAAGCAGGTGAATGCACAGCTTTTTTTTTTATAAATCTTGTTTATATTTTCCTCTTTCCACAGACCTGTTACCCGCCATGGACGGTGACACCAAAACAATGACCTTCCTGCAGGAGGTTGTGGATATTTTAATGGCCTACATCGTGGAGTCTTTCGACCGGGAAACGAAAGTTATCGATTTTCATTATCCAAACGAGCTGCTCCAGCTCAACAACTGGGAGCTGCAGGACGAGCCGGCCACGCTGGATGATATCTTGATCAGCTGTCGCGCCACCCTCAAATACGCCATCAAAACAGGTAATCTGGAAAGATTTTAAAAAGAAAAGGAGGGGGGGGGGAAAAGCAAGTTTTCCCCTTTTTCGTTTCCAGTCTGTTTGGGAAACGCCTTCTTTTTTCCTGCAGGTTGAGATGCAGGTCTGATTTCCGGCCTTAAGTTACGAAGTATAACGAGATTTAAGTGTTGAATACGATTTTTTAAAAGATCCTAGAATATAAAAATGAAAAAAAGGAGTATTAACCATTAAAAAAAAACACAAATTCCAAACCATTATTGGAACGATTAAAAAAATAGATTTCCTTTTTCAAAACGACACAATGAAGAGTAAATAAAAAGAAGAAAATCCCCCCCTGTCTGGAAATATAAAATATAATAATGAAATAGTACAGCATGGAAGACGCCCTCATCCCCCCCCCCCCCCCCCTGCTTGGCCACCAAACCCATAAATGCAGTGACGCAGTAAATCTGGTTCACCAGGCAGCAGATAATAGGCTAATAATCAGGCTTCATGGGCCAAGTCCATTATTCTCTGCTGAGTGACACCAATAGAAGGGGGCGAATTTGTAGTAACAACAGCAGGCATTTCAGCCTCCTAAATAAATACAGATTTGAGCTGTTTTAGAAGATAAACCTTTCATTTTAAGTGCTGTGATGCAGCTGGTGGGGCATTTGTTTACTATGGTGAGATATAGCCTGCATGTCTTTCCTTGTACTGCAGATTTTTTGAGCTGCATTTAAATGCAAAATTTGTGTTCTAAATAAATCAAAACAAATGTTGCTTAAAAGAAAAACTTTGCATCCCTAAAAAACATCAATGATCATTTTACAGTGGTGGAATTAGTTTTTTTTTTTTTGGGTTACCCTTTAATAAATCATCCGAACCACCCGGTGCACCAGCAAATGTTTTCATTATTTCCAAAGCTCATTAACGCATTGCTGCGTCTACATTTCCAACCTGCAATTAAAGCATTTTGAAAATGACAGTTTCTGCTCCTTTCCGAGGAAGCCGGTTTCAGTTCTGGTGACAAAAAAAAAAAAACCCTTCAAATTGCAGCCGCCTCGCTCACTTCCTCTCCTCCTTCTTCTTTTTCTGCTCAGCCCACCCCAGGTACTTCAATCAGCTCTCCACAGGATTAGACATGGTCGGGCTGGCAGCCGATTGGCTGACATCCACCGCCAACACCAACATGTGAGTATGTGGTCTGCTTCAGCCTGATTTTTAAGCGCTGATAATGATGATGACAATGAATTCCATTTCCGGTGCTTTCGTAAGCACTCTGCTGTGCGTCTGCTAGGACTGATAGTACGCCCCCCCCCCCCCCCCCCTCCCCTAACCCCCCTCCTGCAAATGAAAAGGGTGAAATGAAAGACAGACACCCCCCTCTCCACCCCTCTTTACTCCCACACTGCACCATCCAACCTCAACCCTCTTTCCCTCTCCCTCACCTCTGATCCCCTTGGGGATTCAAGGGGGAGAAAATTAGCTCTGAAATTAAATTCAAACTAATCTGAGGGTTAATTTCAGATGTGTGTTTTTAGGCTGATAAACCCCTTCAGCTCTGGCAGCTGGGAGGGAGCTGATGCGGCCACCGATTTACTTTTCTTAACAGAAAATAATATAAAAATCTACCTGTAATGCGGCAGTGTTACACCTCTGGATGAAAGACACACTCAGAAGCTCTGCCTTCTCTCTGAAAATCTAAATTCCTCCAATCTCAGAGACATTTTCCTTCCCTCCCTTTAAACTTACCGTAAATACCAATAATTCTGCTTTTAACTGTGTTGGAACAATGAGACCTATTTCATTTTGAAATGGCCAAACTGCTTATGAAAGTCCTTTTTTTTTGGGTGATGAGTCATTTGTGTAACCAGCACCATGTGATGTGTGTTGTATAACGCAGGTTCACCTATGAGGTGGCGCCCGTCTTTGTGCTGCTGGAGTACGTCACCCTGAAGAAAATGAGGGAGATCATTGGCTGGCAGGACGGGCGAGGAGATGGCATTTTTTCACCTGGTACGTGCGGGGGGGCGCGACAGCCCTCTCCATCTGGAAATGGCAGCCACTGTGTGTGTTGTAATGTGTCAATTTGCATTTTGATGATTTAAAGGGACCTCGTTTCAAGGCCAATTACCATGAAACGATTTTCTTTTTTCAAGCTTAAGCCTCCTCCCCATCAACCCCCCCAATCTTTAATTTCTCCCACGCACTTCTGCTTGACACATGACGGGAGGCAGTCTCTGGAGGGTTTAACACAAAGCCTGTGATTGGCCGTGACATTGCGGGTTGTGATGCCGTACCACCTCTCCATTAGCTCTGATTGCATTCTAAATAAAATGTTTTAGAGTTGTTTTTAGAGCATGCCAGGGACATTTAAAAACTCCATTCTGCTTTGTTTCATCTGGAAATTCTGCACAACCCCCCTGAGACTGTAAACTCACGTCTGTCCTCTAGGTGGTGCTATTTCCAATATGTACGCCATGTTGCTGGCCCGCTTCAAGATGTTCCCTGAGGTGAAAGAGAAAGGCATGTCATCGGTTCCCAGACTGGTGGCCTTCACATCAGAACACGTAAGGCCTCCCTGCATCCTCAGTCTGGATCAAATCAGGGGGAAATTGTCTTTCTTTATCTTCTTAAATGTCAGATATTTTCCTTTTGAGTCCAACATTAAGAAACACTTCCGTCCTGTAGCCGCACATTTGCTGCTGTTTCAGTGACATTATACACATCAGACACAGAGGAACACAAGGTGACAGGTGTCTCTGTCACATTAAATCACCGCCTTCATATTTAAAGGGCACGTGAAAGATGAGATGAAGAGGAAAAAGTTAATGACACATAAACTGAGTTCATCTCCTGTGATCTGGTCGCTCATTCTGTCATCCTTTTCTCATCCCTCAGAGCCATTTTTCAATCAAAAAGGGAGCAGCAGCTCTTGGAATCGGGACTGAAAGCGTGATCTGCATCAAGGCAGACGAATGGTAAAGTGGATCTGCTCAAACATCACATTTACTTTCGATTATGTACATGCATGCTTGACTGGAAGTTTCAAGTCCAAAGACTTTTTTTGCAAAATCAGTACATTTTGCATACATGAAATTGTCACAAAAGCTAAAAAAAATGTCACTTTCACTGTTTTCAAAGCTTCAAATGATGTGTTTTCCTTTGCAAATTGGAGCATGTTTTATCCTGCATTGCAAAACTAGTTCAAGCCCATACCACGTAATATTTTTCAATAACTTTTCACTTTTGTATGTTGTTCTCAGTAGTGTGGAGAATAAACAAAGTTAGGTATAATATTAATGAATGCAACACATTACCTGAACATTTCTGTATCAGGCATTATTATTACAATAGTTTAGAAATATGGATAAATATTGTCAACACACAGATACAGCAAAACATGTCATTGTATATACATTTTAAAAATCCGTAGTTTCTTTTGTCCTGTAGACGCAAGATAGATTTTCTACTGAATAATCTTCATATTTACACAGATGGGAGTTTGTCACACATCCACTAACTCTATCTAATATAATTCCTTGTAAAGTATGAGTCAGCTCCTCAGAGATCTGTTTAGTGAAGGCTGTTAATCGTCGGTTGAAGTTTAGTGTCTGAAGCTAAAAAACGGAGTCACATGCCATCTGTTGATTTTTAGGAACAAACCATCACAGATTTTAAACTTAGACACCTTACTATAAGTTATTCATAAGCATAAATGCCTTCTGTTTTGAGAGAAAATCTGTAGATTTCAGTGGTTGTACAGTTTGTCTACTAATTACACAAAAAAAACTTGACAAAAGGCATCTAAAGCTTCTCTGTTTCCCTTTGCAGTGGGAAGATGATCCCAGCTGACCTTGAGAGGAGAATACTGGAGGCGAAACAGAAGGTAACCCGACACACTTTTATAGCCCCACTATAAATAGAGAGACATTACTTCACAGAGCATTGGTTTTATGGGACCCGGCGCGCCGAAACGACTCAGACGATGAGAGAAATCTGGACACATATTGCAGAGACGAGGTGTTTTACGCCCCGATTGTTGTTTTGTCCTCGTTCAGGGTTTTGTTCCTTTCTTTGTGAGCGCAACAGCCGGGACGACAGTGTACGGAGCCTTCGACCCTCTCATCGCCATCTCTGACGTCTGCAAGAAGTACAACGTCTGGATGCACGTGGATGTGAGTCAAACCCTATGGAATTTTGCATGTTAAAACCTTCCACCGATGGAGAAGAATCGGATTAACCGTTTTCTGCTTCGAGCTGTTTTTATCCAACGTGTGTGATGCAGAGTGTCTGTCGAGAAGAAGGTTTTTTAGTTGAGCCACACACGCATGCTGAGTTTGACAAATCTATTATGTCTGTCTTGCCTCCAACCGCTTTTGGTTGACCTAGATGGAGAGCTAGCCATTTCCTATCTAACCCTGGAGATTAGAAAAACTGGAGCAAAGGCTGTAAATCATCTCCTCCCCTGACTTTGCCATCTCCAGCCCTCTCACTGAAGCAAAGCTATTAGTGAAGGTGATGTTGTCTTGACAGGAGGACACATCTATTAAAACTCGTGAATGATTATGTTTATCATTCTTCAACGAGCTGAGATTTGCAAAAACATGATACAGTCATAAAGTATTCCCTCAGCTGGACAAAATATGACTTTTTTTTTTTAGCATGCTGACCATTTGACCTAATCTGAGTGAACAATCATTCATTCAAAAATATAGCTTTATGTAGAAAAATTATTCATTTATCCTTTTTACAATAAATTGATTAATTTCTTATTGAAAAAAAAATTCTGGATCATTTTAAGTGATTTTGATGCAAATACATTTCAATTTACTTCTTGTATCACTTATGAGATATTGTGATCTGTAACTCAACTACACGGTTTTAAAAAAAATATTTGTAATTTGTCTAATCCTGTCTGACAAAATGCAAGTGTATCTACAGAATGAGATTGTACTTGTTGGTGTAGTTATTAAATCTTAATATTGATAAATAATAAAGCACAGAATAGCCTGTATAAAGTCACAAATAGTCTTATAAACCGACATATGGTTAAACAGTTCTACTGTCACCTCATTTAAAACGTATTTGTGCATATTTTTTTGTAAGTGTCTCTTTTTAAATTATTTTGAACAAAAAATCACATCAATAGCAACTTTTTATACATCTATAAAAGTCCTGTAAACGTCTAAGAAAAATTTATCACAAACAGAATACATGTAAGAGATTAACTGCCTCCTCAAAGCTCAGACCTTTGAGTTTTTGAAAGTGCCAAAAACTCAGAATTTCAGGTTTTAAAGCTTTAGATGATGAAGGATTGCATCCTGGGATGGGTGTTTGGAGGATTGAATGTTTATACATAACGGATATCAGTTCACAATAAACTTTTTGTGTCCTATCAGGGAGCGTGGGGAGGGAGCCTGCTCATGTCCAGAAGACACAGGTGGAAGCTGGACGGAGTGGAAAGGCAAGACTGGTATTGTTGTCATTTATATAACCCAGAATAGAAAAACATCTGAGGCTAACGGGGACTTTTGCCAACAGGGCCAACTCTGTGACATGGAACCCGCACAAAATGATGTCCGTCCCCCTGCAGTGTTCGGCCCTGCTGGTCAGAGAGGAGGTAGGCCGTGTGACCTATCCTGTGTAAAAAAAAACAACTGATGGTCGGGGACTTAAACTGATGCGGTAAACTCATCTCTGTTTGCAGGGTCTGATGCAGAACTGCAACCAGATGCACGCCTGCTACCTGTTCCAGCAGGACAAACACTACGACCTGTCCTACGACACCGGGGACAAAGCGCTGCAGTGTGGACGCCACGTGGACATCTTCAAGCTGTGGCTCATGTGGCGAGCGAAGGTAGGGAGGACTGATCAGGGAATCGATCATTCTTTTGTATTTCAGTTTATACATTTCTTTCTTCAGTTGGATTCTCTTTGATCAAGGAATCAGTAAATTTTTGTATATATTGTTATATCATAAAAATCCATCCAAAATCTTTTCCCTGACAGGGCACCATTGGTTTTGAAGCTCAGATTGACAAGTGTCTGGAGCTGTCAGAGTACCTCTACAACAAGATCAAAGACAGAGAAGGATACGAGATGGTCTTTGATGGGAAGGTATGTTCGTGTTTTGTCCTTCGTTCTTCACAGGAGCAATTTGTCCTCAGCTCATTAATATTAGTCCGCGCCGCACCTTTAACCTCTGTCATTTTGGCATTTGATTGGCACGCGGCGAGCACTGGCTTTGTGTTGGACGGCTGCCATTGTTGCCTCTAGCTGCTGGTATAATGTGCTGCTATTATGTTTAATGAATAGTCTAACAGCCTCTGATTGCTCATATGCATATGAATAGCACGGTGTCTGAAATATCCCGTGCAAAGCCAAACAGCAACACAGGCACACGTGGGTAATTAAGCTCAAACTCCGGCATAAGAGCTGCACTTGGATGTCCAAAGTCATTTATAAAGAGAGCTTGGTAATGTTTTGAGGCCTATTGTATTCCGGCTGAGACTGAAAAAGAGGCCCAGAGTGATGAAAAAAGGCCAGGTCCATTGAACGATGCCCCATGTGTTCACTTGTTCGGGTCTCCTGTTGTGCAATTACATCAATCTGACGTTGAGTACTAAAGCCGAACCGGTCCAGCTGTAGGAAAGAGGCTGGTGTGCATGGTTACTCAGCTGTCGGTAATGGATGTCTTTCCACTCACAGTCAGGCAAAGAGGTGGACTTGGAAGCCAAATCATAGAGCTGTTAGGGGCTTTCAGACATGAAGAGGATGCTATCTGTCTGAAAACTGCATTTCAAATGACAAAGCTGGAGTCCATTCGATGTTCTCAGCTACAATCAGTTTCAGCTTTTACATTTTCCAAGTGTTTTTTTTTAGCGTTTTGCTCAATTTCAGCCAAAGGTCATTGAAAATTCTTCACATATCCACCCTTATTACTGTTTAGTTAAATTATCTCCTGATCAATCCTAAAAGGCAACAGTTAAATGCTAAATGCTAAATTGATTATTATTAAAGATGTGTAGATACTAATAAGGGTTAAAAAAAATTGATATAAAAGTAGAAAGGTGAGATAAAGCTTGATAATTTAACTGACAATAATTCAACCAGATAAAAAGAAAATTCAGTAAAAGAAATTTTGATAAAAATATCAAAAAGATTTTAGAATTAAATGAAACGCAGATGCGGGCTGATTCAGGAGGGCAGAAAGAGGTAAAATGGTTTAATTTTTTCTTTGGAAGTTCAATTTCAATGCAGCTGCTATTTTTAAACCTTTAACAATTGATTAATTTACTTGACTCTGAATGAATTTCAGATATTAACTTTAAATGAAAGGGGGGGAAATACAACATATCTATTGCCTTTCAGGCAAGGTCAAATAGAGGAAAAGTGGTTAGTCTAATAAATGATAGAAATGTATTCAGTGACAGAAACACGGACCGGTAAAAACACCTCGTAAAGGCCTAAGAGCCAAAGATGATAAATGCACATAACAATCCCTTAATAAATTCACCTTTTAAATAGAAACACACAGAAAAATACTTTTATTTATCCCCAATTGGGGAAAATAAAATTGTCAAGTAGCATAGATAGCACTGTTTCCTCTTTTAAATATGTAAATAGGTTGCTTTGCTATATAAAAAAAAAACTTAAAGATTTTTATTGAAAACTGGGCTTTTCTCTGTGCTAATTAAAGGCGTTTCAGAATTTTAATCGGTCATGTGGTCAGTATCTACAGGCTGATGTTACCACTCATAACACCATATATCAACATGCTTAGAAACCTTAAACCCAGCATATATAAAAGACTTTACGTCAACATTATTCCTGACACATGAATCTGTTTTCAGTTTTCTCACTTATCTTTTCTGTGTTCAGTAAAAAAAAAAACACCTCACAGTCAGTTTGTTCTTTGTGTGAGCATGGAGGTGTACACCTCTGCTTTTGTTCCCCTCAGCCTCAGCACACCAACGTCTGCTTCTGGTACCTCCCCCCTGGGATCCGCTACATGGAGGACAAAGAGGAGAGAAAGAAACACTTGCACAAGGTGGGTGAGCCGAGATAAGAGGCCCTGGTTGCCGTATCTGCAAAACACACCCTCCGTGTTCCCTACAAGCCCGTCAGTCATATCCAGCTTGACCATCACACATCCAGCTAATTAGGGACACGTTTAACACAGGATTAAAAGAGGAATGTGCACGGGAAACAGTAAACTGAGAGTTTTAGGACTAGAGGGGTGTCCCAGAAGAAGGGTTAAAAATAAGTGAGCGCTTGTCGCTAATGTGGCGGCCATTCAGAAGCTCCCACGGCAGCAGGGGCCGGCTAATTGACAATTAGGACAAACAGATGGTGTGCGTGCCCGCCGTGCGAAGATCACTCGGCTCTCTCTGCCTCTCAGAAACCGCCGGCCATAAATCCTCGCCATCTTTGTCGTCGCTTTGCGGATGCAGGTGTTTCCTTGTGTTTTCTGAAGCCCCGTTTTACAGTGCGGTGGATACCGTGCGTCACAGAGACTGGACGGACTGTTTGGCCAGCTTGCTCTTTTCCACAGACTGAGTACGACTGTGGGATGATGTCATGCGGCTCAAATGGAGCTTCAAGGTGGAATCTGAACTTAAGGAGCTTTCTTTACTTCCCGCTCCCGGCTTAATGACTCCTCCGAACGAATAAGGACTGGAAAATTGTCAAATGGCTGATTTTTAAGGCGATTACTCTACGACAGGCTTTGCCAACTGTGACAGGACACCTGCAAGAGATTTAGGAAGAATGACTGATTATGTGCATATACTGACTCTAACAGATGGAAATCTGACTCTTAAAACAATTTCCTTTGTTGAGTCAGTTGAGCATTAAGAGTCCAGTCTGATTTTAAACGTAATGCTCCCTCATGTATTCGAATTCTCTCTAAATTATGGAGGTTTTTGGAATTATGAGTCTCAGTTAACATACCCCTAAACCTTTACTCACTTTAACTCACTAAATCCGATAATGTCAGGTCAAAATATAGCAATGTAAATACTTTTTTCTGACCCCACTTTTTTAAGATCCTGCAGTAGTCACAAAACCCTAAAGCATCAAATCTAAAATCCTATTCCAGAGTCGCGTGTGCCGAACCTTCTCCTTCCCACAGGCTGCTGTTGATCAGAGCCACGACTTTGTGTTGTAAACTCGAAATTGAGTGTGGTACAGCCCTCCACAGCACAAAATCCATACCATCCCTCCCCTCAGGACTGTGCTCAGCAGAAAATAAATGACTGTCACTCCTGGAGATAACCTCTCAGCAGACAACAGCAATGGATGCAGGAAAAATCTTCTTGTGAATCGTCTGGAAAAATCACCTCGTTTTTCAAAGTAGTTGAATCACGCAGGTTAAGCGCCCTGGCGAGGTCTGTTCAGATTCCAAAAAATAGCGAATTAGTGTTTCAATTAAAACTTTCGATTAGGAATCGATTTTGAGGAGAAAACAAATCAAAGCTGTTTGAACTCACATCTTACATATATGTTGAATTATTCCAGATATTCTCAGATTGTAAAATCAATCTTAAAGAACAACCCTGTCTCTGTGTTTCTCGCTTGTGAATGTCCACTGCAGTGTTTGTTTGTTTTTATTTCTTGTGAAGACATCTACTTATTTACTGAATAGCAGCCAGAAGCAATAAACCTGCACCACAACGTTACATAGACAAGATCATGTCCTGTAAACATTTAGATAGAAAATATTTCTTTTTGTAGCTTTCTGCAGAAGAAATTAATTCAGATTTCAATTGCTAATGACCCGAAACCAGCAGACTCCTAATGTCCACCCTCGTGTTTCATATCTTTAATCGTCCCATCCCGCGACCACACTAACTCCTGCTGCTCTGTATGTGCTGCTGATGTCAGGTGGCCCCAGTGATAAAAGCCAGGATGATGGAGTACGGAACAACCATGGTCGGCTACCAACCGCAGGGGGACAAGGTCAACTTCTTCCGCATGGTGATCTCAAATCCAGCAGCTACCTTCGAGGACATCGACTTTCTTATCGAGGAGATCGAGCGGCTCGGCCATGATCTATAAGACTCACCTCTCCAGATCCTCCTGTGCTTTTCCCCCTTGACGGATGAAATGTTTGTCGTGAATGTACCGGTAAACATTTGCTTTTTTTCTCTCTTTCCTGCAAAGTCACATATTTAAGAGTATATTTAAGAAAAAAAAAAGGTATACCCATATATTCAGTATTGCAGCTTCGCCATGGACCGACCTGGTCCACAGATATGTAAAAGTGCTTCTGTCCGCTTTTTCTTATAGTGTAGTAGCTCCCAGAGTAGTGTAAGTGCTGTAACTTTATATGTATTTTTTGTGATATGAAATGCTTGTGCAATAAGTGGATTGGGAAGAGTTTATTTTTGGATCATGTCTCATTTGCCGAGTATGTTGTTAAGTGCCAAATGTGGTTGTGTTCTATTGTAACGTTAACATTTTAAACTTCCTGGTTTAAATCTAAAATAGCACTTCACTTTACCTCAGCGCAATCAACTGCCTTTACACCTGCACATAGTACCACAAGCAGCGATCTTGGACAAAACTTCTCTTACCCGGTGCTGTAACGCAGTGCCCATCTATGTTTTAAGACGTATTGCGACCACTACAGGCCGCATTACAGCTGAAGAAATGTGCAAAGATTTCCACCAAAAACACAGCTTCATAGGAAATTCAGAGTTTGTTTACTACCTTGAATACTTTTTGCTCGTTGTCCGTTCCCGTAGGTTAAAGGCGGCTCAGACTAAACTGTAACGCGCATTTTATTTGTCGCTAACTTACTACATGTGCATACCAAATTTCTGGCTGTATATTTAGCTTTGCTGAGCGTCCTCTAAGTTTTGTAATGATCTGGCTATGATCCTTCAGTTTTCGAGGATATATAACCTAGCCTAACCTTTCTCTGACCATGAATTAAGACTGTTGATTACCTCGTTTCATAGTGAATACCAAACGGTAACAATCACAGTCGATCACTGGGTCTTTTTTAAGTCCATTGCATGTACATTAAAGACCATCTACAGTTGAACTAACTGACTTGCTGCTTGCCCGGATTGTACATAATAATTCAACGAAGTACCTTGGAGGGTTCCTGGTGCTCCAAAGCGAAGGTGTTTTTGTCAAGTCAATTGGTTTTTGGTATCAGAAGCATCAATTATTTCTATACCCTGTAGCAGCCATTGTATGATAACTGGAAAGCTTTTCATAATCAAAGAAGCAAAGACACTGCATGTGATTGTTTAATTTAGTCACCTGGCAAGTTTTGACCCTCTGAACAAGTCATCCAAAAGGCTCTTTTATGTAGCTGCCTTTATTGGGGATTTTAGGATTTCCATGACTTGGATAAATCTACACCAACACATCCAATATGTTCTGAGGTTGGGAATCTCCATTTAGAGGCATCAGTGGGGCTCATTTTCTAAGCTAAGCAGTAGGCGGCAATCATTCTCTGAGGAGGTAGAGGCCAACACGACTGGACATTGTCATTATCAGAAATTTTTGGGTTTTTTTTCAGGTCAGGGGGATCAAATTAACTGGGGCACCCTCCGTAGATAATCACCAATCGGTATATTACCCAGAATCTTGGCCATTTTCACCTGTTAATACACAAGACACCTAATAAGCCTAAACTGAAATATTATAGGATTATGACTAAATGTTCAAATCTCTAATCTTTTTCCAATACTGACGGACAGAGGACGGGCATTTAGAAACAGGTGTCATGGCATTTTTGCTGTTTTCTTTGGTTATGGGTACTTGAAATTTGCAGCTAATGTATACCAGACATCACTTGCACTAAATCGTTTTGGGGTGGAGAAGGATCCCTTTTCATTACAACTGAGATTCCCTCCCCGTTCATTCACAAGCAATACCTGAGTAAGGGTCCAATCTATATATCCTGCAAGACAGCAAAAGAAAAGGTGAATTCAAATGCACGTTAGTTAGAGATAATCAGATTTCCAGACTAAGCACACAACAGATTGCAAAAAATTGCATCTAAAACCTGCTTAGTTAGTTTTTGGAATGTGGACTCCAGCTAAACAAGCAGAGGCTCTGTAGCACTGTCCATAGAACAAGTTAGAAAAGCACAATTTGCTCAACATGGTCGGTCAGTGTACAATCACTTTTGATCATAAATTGTAAATAATATTTCAAGATGTCCTAAGTACATATCTTTGTGTATACATACATGTATATAAGACATATAGCCAGAGACTATTTGTGGGGTAAAGTTATTCATATTTTCTCTATCTCGGATATAGATTCCCTGTATTTTCATCTTGTTAGTCCTAAAGGCTTTTTTCCTGTGTGTATGTATGTGTGTATGTATGTCAGATATTTTGTGATTCTTCTTGCTATTTCAAAGAAAACGTGTTTCAGGGACTGGCTTTAAAGAAACTGACAGATTTCGGCTTGAAACTCTAAAGGGTCTTACTCAGAGACTCGAGATTCCAGTGTTTGGATTCTAAATGATTATGCAAAGCCATTTTTGACTCTGAAGCTCTGTGTTTTTTTTGTGCACAAGTGATACTTGACAGTATGTGCCGATGTGTACCTTAGTGTGTTTGTAACTGTGCTGCCTTAGTAGAGGTTTTCGATTATTGTCTAGTTTTCCTCCAAAAGGGGGGGTTGTGCACTTTAGAGTATACACATGACCTAATAACAGTGCAATGTCCAATGGTTGTCCATGAGTCGATGTCTTAAAGAAATCTGCTTAAAAAAACATGTAACTTTAGCTCTTTGGTCTGAATGTGTCACGAACCAAGGGTCTGTTGGAAACGAAAGAATTTAATTCAAGATATTTTTTTCCAGTTTGCCGACATTGTAAAGCTTCTTGTCTCGACATAGAGTTGTCTAAAGTCTTCGGTGTTCACCGAATAGAATTTCTCGTCTTTCCCAAAAACTGAACTGGTGTGCACACTGACACAGACAACATCCGATTTACACAGCGACAACGGAATCTCACTGTGGTAGTCTTGGAAAGCCGGACACTTTGTTTCTCTCGCTGCTGCTGCTAGACTTGCTTCCTTTGCACGTGCATGCACTGCCTTGCCTATCCAGCTTGTTTGATGTACATTCTCCTATCTATCTATATACCTTGATATAAACATATATATATAAATACAGTACGTGTAGCTCCTGTAATTAGCGTTAGTGTCCTATATAGCTTAGCCTGTAGATTAGTGCACTGTCGCTCTGGCCTTTACATGTGATCTCTGTGTCTTGGGCTTCTTGTAAAGTTTCTCTGTGCTGCAAGCATGCTAACCTCGCCTTGCATTGTAATCCTCTTTGCGCTTGATCTGACTTTCTCTATCTTCTGTCTTTCTGCTTGAAGACTGTCGCTGCTCTGAGTGTTATAAATATAAATATATATATACCCGTGTGTGTGCGTGCGTGTGTGTGCGTGTGCGTGTGTGTGAGTGTGTGTCGTCCCTACAGCATGTCTTTCTGATCGCTCTTCTCTGCTCTGCACCTGTATTACCTTTTCTCTCTTTCACTTCTGCTTGGCCTTCTGGTAGCAGTGGAGACGTATCCTGCCGCTTTCCTTTTGACGTGTCCTGGCTGCCCGCTGTTGTTCTGTTTGTGCGTCTGAGACAGAATGTTATCTTGTGTCATGGTGCCGCAGCTTCCCTGTTTGTGGTTTGTTTTACTAGGCCCTCGGCTTTATGGGACAGAGGAGAGATTAAATACTCAAAGAAGGTAAACAGACCCTAGTTTCTTGCTTAGAATATATACTATTTATTAAAAAACAATTGAATTCCCTGCTGTAGTATTCAAACTTTAAATAAATATAGTGCAGTTTCAAATGATATAATCTGTGAACTGCTTCTCAAGCATTCATTTGTCCTGAATCACATGTTATTCCTGGGATGAAAAAGAAATAAATATTGCCAAAACAAAGCAGATGTTGTTGTCTTTTTCTCACATACCTGCACTTTTGTATTTTCTGAGAAACATTTGTATTGTAGATGGCATTGAGGTCCTTACAGCTTCTATTGTTACATAAACAGTTACCAAATCCGTTACATAAGCTTGTGGGACAAGCCCTTGAACAGTAAAGTGGAACTGAAGGTTTAATGTACTATGACTAGAATAAGATTCAGAATAACAACATTTGTCCACATACGATTAAGCAGTTAAATAAGAATGCATTTTAAACTAACAATTCATTTAAAATCAAATGACAAGTATCGAACGATGATAGATAAATATGCCACTATGTTTTGTAGCATCCTTCCTGCCACATCCTCTCTCTAGATGGCACTGTTTCCTCACAGTTTGTTTACACAGGGCTGTTTTCACATCTCATAAATTCTGCAATGAAAGGCATATGTGTCTGGAATTTCTTGTGAATAACTCTCCTTTTTGTTATTTTTTCATTTTTCTCAATCATATCTGATAAAAATATATCAACATCCAAATCAATATCTCAGGGCAGCTTCAACATGATCTACACCATCTCTTGCGTTTGCGCTCAGAAAAAATAAAAAAAATGACACATGACAATAATTGTCATCTCTTTTTGTCTAAGGCTTATCTCACATCCAGACAGAGGGACTTTTTTTTTTATTACGAGTAAAATAAAGACCCTAAAAGACATGTGGGGCGCACACCGTCAGCTGGCTCTAACTTGAGAGATTTGGATGGTTTCATCATTACGAATATGATGTGTAATCATTCAGAAACTTAACTGTTTCTGCACTGTGGTTTGAGTGTGAAGAGGTACAAGATCAAAAAAGCGCCATCAGTCGGGCTGATTTGTTCAGATAAAAAAACACAGATGAGATGCATGAGAGGTGGATTAATTAGTCACTCTCTCACTGTGCAGCTTCTCTAAGGGACAGCTTTTAGAAGAAGCGGCTGACAGCAGGACCTAATGCTCCTCCTCCAGCTGTGCTGCTGGTGGCTGCAACATTACAGTGACTTATTGTCTTAACTCTGCTGCAGCTAAGTGGATGTTTGCACATCTGGAATGTATTTGCTCGGGTGCCAAATGGCTGGCATGTTTCCCTGTCCATTTTGAAAGTTTGTTTTTAAAAAAAGACTGCTTTTAAATGTTTTTATATTCACCACTGCGTACAGGAACAGTCGAAGAAGCATACAGTGCTAAAGATAGTGTTAAACTCCTAGTGGTGTAAAAGGAGATTTTGTGTATGTTTGAAATTTGGAAGCTAAAAAGATAACTGCTTTTGAACTAAAGGAAAATCTTTTTTTTTTATCAACATTTGACAAAGTCATTGCACTTGATAACACAGTATTCTGTCAGCCTGTGTAGAACCAAGCAACAAGGTTTGTAAAACCATCAGACAGGAGTCATTTTTTTTCTAGAGTTTTGATAAAAGACTGAGAGTGGAGGGTTTTCAGACGTTACAGATCAACCAAGCAATTCAAACAAGAATTGGATATGTAAAACAGTCTAATCTATACAATTTCATTTCAGAAAAGGCAAAAATTACGTATAATTTTCAAGCATTACTTTCATTTTGGGAGCCATTCTTTTTTTATGATTAAGCGCACAGTCAGACAGACACTAAATGACCTATAACTCCATTCTGCAGTAACTATTATTAATGGGCTACCTATGAGTATGCTTCAGATGATATCCTGCACTCTTGCGTCATGCGACTTGAATTTAATTTCGGTCAACTTTGATCTGCCGGCTGCCTTTGAAAAGACTCCACGGCTGTCATCTCGGTCTTCCACCCAGCCGATGTTTTCATCACTGCTTTTACAGACCGAAAATTAGCACGGGGAATAATGATTAAATGACCACGTCTGGCATTTCTCACCCTGCAGGGCTTCTTCTGCTCTGCGTTCAGAGATGTTCCCATATGTGCAGTTGATCACACGTGTCCCCTGGATGATCTGCTCAGCCTCCACCATCTGGGGGGCTTCCTGGGCCTCGTAAAGCCCCGACACTCTAATCCTACAGGCAGAGACGCTAAGAAACAAAAGAAAACAGTTTGTTTAAAACGTGCTTCCAGATAGAAGACATGTCCAAAACATGCCATAAAGTTTAAAACGCCCAACTTGCTAGTTTTAAAAAGTTTACCGTGTTTTACGAGCCAGACGGCAGATGGAAACATTATTGGTTAACGCCATGACCAAAGCATTTCCTGAAAACGAAGAAGAGAAGAAGACTTAAAATATCTGGGACTTCTTAAACAACCAAATACTTTCCTAAAATTAACTTTGTGTGTGTATATGCATGTGTCTGGCTACTAAGCCGAGCCAGATGTTGATGAATGTTGGTGGTAATCAGCACTCAGCCGAGCATGAACCTTACCTCTGCCCTGGTGTCAACCCAGAAGCTGTAATGTCATCTGTTAGTGTTTAGTGTCACTCAGAAACTCCTCAGATAACACATGAAACCCGAAAAGGCCCACTGGAGACACCGGCCGTCATACATTTGCCTGTCAGCACGCAGTGCTTTGTGCAGGCAAACCCACCGCTTTCAGATTTGACCTTCTCCATACATGGTACGATTTTCCTCTTCATTCCTCTGCTCTCACAGCTTTGTTTCATGGACCTCTCTTGTATCTCCTGCCGTCTACACACTACCTATTAGGTGGACATTGTTTTATGTATATGAAGGCCTGATGCATAAATGCTAAATATGTGAATAAGCAGGTCACTTTTGCTCATATTGACAATCACCACTATAACTTTTTAAGGCCAGACATCACTATTTAGGTGAGACCACAGGATGAAGTCTGTGTTTCAGACGGAATTGCTTCCTTAAAGGAGTGATGAAAGTTCCAGTCAAAGTCAAAGTCAGTCGGCCATCAGCTCCTTCAGCGCTGTAGCTGCTATTTAACAGAACGCCTCGTCCTGCAGCACACCTCCGAGCACGCGCAAACTTTACGTGGTTTAAAGAGTCATTTGTATGGATGCATTCAGGGAGATAGTTAATCTGTAAGCGCCTGTCGGAGAAAGCAATTAACCCCGGAGACCACTGGGGAGTTGATGTGAATGAGAGAGCATCTCTGCAGCGTTTAAATATACACCAGAGGGACTCCTGTGCTCACATGCTGCCAACCTATTATTCATCATCAGCACTTTAAATGGCCTCTTCATGGAGACAACAAGACAGGCCTTGCTACCTTTACATATATATATTGTAGACGCACACGCATGGCTATTTATTTCCACACCCAGGCTGGCTGCTGAGTTTCAGATTCCCATTAATGTGGAAATGATTACGGTCAGCAAAAGAGTGAGAAATGAAATGCCGCATTTCCGGTGATCAGGATATTTAGCAGACACCAGAATGAACACGCACATCTTCTGGCAATTCCAGAAAAAGGGCGGAGATCTCATCCAGGTGTGGAATGCTGTATATCGATAAATTAAAAAAAGATCTTTTAAAGTTTAACCAAGCTTCTTTTTTTTTGTTTCTCAGACTGGGTGAACAACAAGAACTCTCCACTTTAAGCTTGAAGCAGTCAGACTGGGAAACTTTTCACAGGCTTTTCAATACAAACAATCTGTTCATAGTGACCTGCCAGTTCTTTCCCCCATGCATCAGTAACCTCTCTAATGAGGAGAGGAACACTGGCACAGATGGGCGGAGGAGGGGATGGCCACAGATTAGTGGACGTTCATAAGAAGAGGCTGATGTAGAAATTACTTATCATTATTTATTCAAATCATGATGAGTAAACAACCAGTTCAAGTCATGGAAGCAGGTCTGCTTTTAAAAGCAGACTCTTAAAAAATGCTGACCTGTCTGATTTTTTTCTTCAATAAAGATCCCAGGTTAATAAAAAAGTGTGAGTTTCATGAGGATGGACAATTCTAAAGTCACTCATGGATCCGCGGAGATTCATTTATGTATCACTCAGCACTTTTCCTTCTTTTAGGAACTACAATCACTCTGGTCCACTTATTTTTAATATGATTCTGTCAACAGGTCAAGTTTTACACGTCAATGAAATGTCCTTCAGCAGTGTTTTCCTGATAGCCGACCACAAAGCACTCCACTTTACACTCCACTCATCCAGCTTTTGTTCTCATAAACAGCCCAAGGATACTCCGACATGTGGCCCAGGAAAGCTGTGGAAAAAAAAATCAACAACCCTCTGAATGGTAGATGACCGGCGTAATAGGTGCCCAGCTATATAAAGAGCTTCTAATGAGAGTGTAACGACTTTACAGACATTGCGTCTACTCTGGTCCTATTGGAAATGGCCTCACGTTAAAATTTACTATCTCTCCCAGGGTCTTGGCGGTTGGGTTTAACTGCTGTAAGGTGCACAGAAATGACTTCTTACCAGCAGTTGTGTAGTCAATATACTGCACAGCCGGTGCAAAACTTTATCCCCAAGACAAAGAAAAAGCAAAAACATCCTTGGAAGTGCTCCTCGCTGCCTTTAAATCTTCAGAACAGTACAGTAACAAAATGGTGGAATTTTGCCATATTGAACCTCACCACATGGTCTAAATATTCCCCTGTAGACAAGAGACCTTGGCTCTCACAGCAACATCCGTTTCTGATTAAAGCAAGCCTGTCTCCGGCTTTGTCCTCTTTAAGTCAACATTGGAGCACGCTGGGGCCAGGTTTGGGTTTAGGAGGGTGTTCACCTCTACCACAAATCACCAAGACTGATGTGTTTATCAAAACGACACCAAGCTGTTATTCCTTTAGCAAACACGAAGAAAATGATGCAGACGTGCTTCCAGAGATTGAAGCGAACCGCTTTCTGGATGTAAAAAACATTTGTGTATGACCATATTGGGCTGTGAAGATAGCAAATAAACTCACAACAGTTGCACTCACGGTGATGAAGGATGTGTCTCTGCTGTGCAGCAGAAAATGTGCATGCAAGGCCTCGTTTTGGGCAGCTGAAATAAAACTATTCATCTCCTCAGAATTCCTTTGGTTGAGTATTTCATGGTGACTAATTTTTCTCATTTTCTTTAAAACACCACAGCGCTTTGATCACTCTGCATGTGTTTGAGTTCTCTCTTTTTTCCTTTCTCATCAGAAATATGAATCCGTACTTTGTAGTAAGAAACTGATAAATTTGGAGCAGCTTAAGAGCAGCATATGTCTTTTTGGACATACATGAGAAGAAAAAGTACTTAAAGGAGGTTTACACACACCTGGCTTCAACGATACATCTGCAGGACGGGTATGAAGATACAATTAAGGGGATTATTCTGTTTTTGGTGCAATATTATCAATCTTTTATCCAGCCTTAAAGTAAAACCCTTCAGTTTGAATACTTTCTGAATTAATCATCTTCAGGCGATGCTTATTGTTAATGAGTGAGGCTTAAATTAATCAACACCATATGCTAAGGTGTGCTAAAGAACGAATCTGCTCTGTTATCTTAGGTAATATAAACTAGAATAAATTCACCAGCATGTGAAAAAAGTGACAGGTTAAAGTAGCTGTGCTTCCTTTCTCAGTGATGGATTGATGCTATCATGGATCACCGCTGTGCACCGTCCACAGACAGAAAGAAAAACATCTCTCTGCTTCTTCAGCTCGTCACCAGCCGGCCGCCTTCCATCGCCCGCAGACAGACACCAAACTGTGGGTCTGCTGGATCTTTACTGCTGGAAGCCAGTGCGGTGAGAGTGGAATTTGCCCAAAAACAATGAAACAAACCTAAGGAAAGTAAATAAATGCCTAACCAAAGACATACCAAGGGTGGCAGGAGAGATAAATGATCCTTTTAATTTAAAACACTGGTGAAAGGAGGCTTAAAAGCAAACTTTGGAGCACTCAAACATTCACAGCTTTGTCTTTGGTGTTTGTCTCTTTCCTGTTCTGTCTATCCCGCCAGTCTCTGTGATGTTTCTGAAACTCTTCATGTTGCAGAGGATCTCATTTGATCTACAGCGTCAGACATCTGGAGCAACGCTCCACTGGAACACCTGTTTTCAATTCAGGCGACTGACAGAAACATTTGATTGTGTCTCACAACCAGACTTTTTTCTCTTTGCTCTCTCTCTCTCTCTTTCCTCCTCACTGACTCATAGGCTTTTTGTTATGTTGAGGCTAAGGAACAGCTTTCCTCAGGTTAATAGATGGAAAAGTCATTTGAATTCGATTAAGACCAATTGTGAGGGAAATGCAGTTTATTATTTTCAAGCTTTCGTGTTTGCAATTTTGGCACCCCTGCTTTGCAACGAGTGTGCTTTAATCAGTTGACTAATAAACTTTAACACTTTTTCTTAATGGGAGGTAATGCTGTTTGTGTTGGTGGTCATGATGAGTGAGTCTGGGTAATCAGGGTAATGGAAAAGAGATCACATGTAAGCCATATGATGTGGTTTGGAGGGTTTTCTTCAGGGGCACATAAGATTAAATATCCTATAACACCATTAAAAGGTCTGCAGTGGCTTAACCATAAGAACCTTAAGTCCAGTTTACTACTCTCAAATTGATGTTTCTGGAGTGAATCCAACAGAGGTCTTTTTCCCCAAAGAGTAACTGCTTTTGTGGCAAAATATATTTTATTTGGTGTTGAAGAAGAATACACATGCTGATGTTCCACAAGACAATAGCAAGCAAAAAATGGCTACGTGCAGTCAAGTGAGAATGAACACGAAGAATTTCAGTTGCTGCCAACACTCTGGAACACTTAATTGTGTCTAATTGTTTGGAGGACATAAGACACACAGAGGCAATTAGGAGGGATATGCATGGGCAATCCTTCTCAGGGAAACAGCATTTAGAGTAAAAGATAACAAAGTAGGATGTTTGCACATTCATTAAAGCTACCTTAAACTGTGTCAGTATAAAGAAACACGTTACCGAGGCTACCGCTGCTTGAATTTGAGTTTCAGTGGCATCTCACCTGTTTTTCTGACGTGTTCTTTAGTGAAATACAAAGGTTATGTCTCTTTAAATAAATACAAGAGTTTAAGCTTTTAAATAGGTTTGAAATTCCAGATTTTCCAGCTGGTTTACTTTAGTTTTGCACTGCTAAACTGAAATATATTTTTAGCAAGTCTTTATGGGGTTGTCCCAATCAACGTCCTCTTATCGGTGTGACTATGACAAATTTTTTAAGAAAAGTTTATACGAAGAGGTCATTTTTAAGATTTTTTTTTATTGACATGCCTGTTGGTATATTCAGCTTAGTAGAGATTTATACTAAAGGAATACCTGCACATATTCATGGCTTTTGTTTTTTTCCTTTAATGCCAACTGAGTGATTACTAGAATTGCTTTTTCCATTTGTTACCTTGTTCTAATGTATTAATAATTATATCTATCTTCATCCAATCACATCCCTAAACTACAGTGATATCCAGTGTGAAAGTAGTACCTTTTGTAAAGTCTCTGGTCCAAAACCACAACCTGTCTTTGCTGATGTTTCAATCTGAAACATATTCATCTTCTTCAGTTCTGTTTTTTCTCCTTTTCTGTATAAAGATGGGGAACTGTAGGGTGCTGTGTTTCATGCGATGATGTTAGATACAAATTGCTCTGCTAAGCTAACACTCCTGTAACTCTACTGCTTTAAAGCTTGATCACATAATATAAAACATTTTTTATGTTATAGTTGGCTTTAAGTTTGGATATCTATGAATCTCACGCAGGAAGAAGCGCTCTTTGTGTCTGTGCTGCTGCGTGACCATTCTCACAATGAGTCCAGCGCTGATCTACTCTACTTGTGACCCGAATAAATTACAAATTGCAGCACTAACAACTTCTCTGTTTTGTTCTTAGGTGTCCAATAAAGAACAGGGGATAACAGCTACACACAGTTTATGTTTTAAATACATGATGGGATGGACGAATATACATATGAGAATTCATACAAGTATACATAGATGTTTGTATAAGAGGACATGCCACGTGTGTACAAGCCTAAATACATATTTAAAAACCCTGTATGTACACACACATACAAAAATATTCAGATATTACACTTAGAATTGGTCGCTGCTCAACCAGCCGAAGTACTTCAAGCAAAAGCAGTACTTAAGTGTTCCCAATTATAGAAAATGGAGGTGAAGAAAATACAATGTGAGGGAATATGAGACAATGTTTATCGGTCAGTATTCTGACCTAATTTGGTAAAAGCTGAATCTGCTCTGCAATTCAATATTGTGCAAAACTGTCTTTTAAGTTTTCTCTTCTTGGATCACAAAGCAACCCAGAGGATTGAAATGTTCGTGCCGCCTTCATGAGTTATTTGATTGACTCGCCCTCGGATACAGTCCAGGGTGATGTAGAGAGCTGTGCCATTCTGGACCTGGAATGAAGCTCTCAGGCCAACGCTGGCCCACTCGCTCCCCTCAGGCATAGATCCAGACACCTGCTGGGCCACGGGCCCCGCCTGCTCTCTCTGCCCGCCCGCCCGCTGCAAAGTCACTTTAATTATATTACACGAGTGGATCAGCTTGAGGTCGAGGGCCACGTTGGCCGTGCCCTTCTCTTTGAATATGAAATTCTTCCTGCTGCTCGGCTCCCCGGGGCCCGCCAGGTGAATCTGAGGCGTGTCCGGGCCCACCTGCTGGAAGAGAAGGGGCTTGTTCCTGACGGCTCCGGAGGGGAGGCCGCTCCGCGACACCGTGGCGGTCAGGGCCGACGCCACGGCGGAGGGGATCCAGACCAGGCTCAGCGTGCTGATGCCCGTGCTGTCCCCGAAGTAGCGGACGTTGCACTGGGGCGGCGAGGTGACCTCGAAGCTGAGGACGTCCCCGCCGTGCACGCTCACGGCGCCGGACAGCGTGACGGAGGTGTCCCGGTAGTTGACGCCCGTCTTGAAGGCCCGCGCCGCCTCCAGGCCGCTGCCGTTCCGGGCGGCGTGGGCCACCAGGGAGAAGCCCTCGCGCACGCAGGTGTGGCCGATGGCGTAGAGCGCCTGCTGAAGGACGAACTTCACCACGCCGCCCTCCGCGAAGCGCACCCCGCGGCTGTCGTGGGTCAGGGCCACCACGTAGGGGTCGGAGACGGAGGTGACGCGGAAGGTGGGGCGGTAGCTGGTCTGGTAGTGCGCCGGCAGGGACGTCTGGGCCGTCATGGCCACGGCGCCCGTGTCGTGAGACAGCCAGAGCAGGCTGAGCGCCGGGGCGGCCACGTCGAACACGTGCAGGTCCTTGCTCCGGTTGCAGTGCTGGTTGGGACTCTTCAGCTGGAGCGCGAAGGTGTGGTTGGGCTCCACCTCCGCCCCGCAGCTGACGCTGACCCCCTGGAAGTGCTTCCCGTCGGGTTGCTCGATGCGGACGGCGCTCAGGTCCCGGCCCTCCTCCTCCTCCTCCTGGCTGCCGTTCAGCTTCATCCCCACCTGGAGGAAGTTCCGGCAGCTGTGCTTGACCGCGAAGTTGTGGTCGAACCACACCAGGCCGTGCTGCAGGAAGGTCAGCGTCCCGGCCTCGTTCGACAGCAGGTGGCTGCTCTCCTTGCTCCGCAGGTTGAGCTGCAGGCCGGGGAACACGTGGGCGCCAGGCGCCCGGGCGGGGGGGAGGAGCACGTTAGCGGCCCAGGACTGGGAGAGCGGGCTGTCCGAGTGCTGCCCGCAGACGGAGTCGCTGATGGCGGCGCAGGGGACGGCGACGGGCTCTCCGTCGCAGTCTGAGCACGCCTGGCACTCCTGCAGCTCCTGGTTGTAAAAGTAGTCACGGCCACAGAGGCCCATCACCGCCTCCCTCTCAGACACGCCCAGACACCTAAATCCCCCTGCAGAGTGAGAGACCAAACCAGGCTCAGACAGCTGGAGAGACACACTACCATGATGTTACACTGTTAAACTGCTTGGGAAGAATAATAAGAAATGGAAATTAAGATGGACCCACCAGGAGTGTTGAGGCACTTCACCCGCTCTCCACAAATGCTTGGTAGTTCAAGGCATTCATCTCTGTCCTGTAATGCAGACATATGTAATCATAAAAATGCTGTTAACTTTAAGATTGATTCACTCCTTTAAATCAAATTCAGCTCTTATCATTCAGAGAAATCAAAGAGTATACAATGTTGGTCAGTTCACTGGCGTATGTTTTACTCTATGTAAAACCTCAACTATCCTATCTCTTCTAATGTGAAGAGTTTGTTTGTTCCATGTGCTCCAGTTACTGATCAGTACTGTGAAAACATCTTGAACCACCCTTCATTTCTTCATATATTTCCAGAAAAACATTTCGATTTTCTGTCCTCGTCATGTGCGATTTTACCAATCCAAACCTCTTCTTCGTTGTAAAATCATTTGTAAATGTCTCTTTATAATACTGATCTGGGGATATTGCTTATTGTAAGTGTTAATTCCTTCTTTATATTACTTTATATATAATTTTTTTTTTGCATTGTGGCAACCGTTCGCCAGCTGCTGAGACAAAAGCATTTCACTTATGAGCTCATTAAAGTATCTCTCGAGCTGTACTGGTATTGCTGGTGATGGCTCGTACATTTGTTGAAGTGGTTGATTCCCAATAGTTTGCATCAACACTATAACCGGTATGGAAGACGTTTTTTTTTCATTCCTGACGCTGGATTAAAATCTGACGCCACAGGCCTCGTTTTCCATTTGTGTTCACCAAACATTCTTGTGCTTCCTCTGCATCTTCATCATGGCTGGCAAACAAACTTTAGGCGCAATACTGCCACCTTATATGCCTTTTTTATACAGGAATTATTATTTTGTGTGTTTTTTCAAATAAATAATAGTTTGGTCAACTATTATTGGACTGAAAATGAGAAAAAACATCAATGTCCAAAGACAAATTTTGAAAGATCCTCAGAAGGACTATGGATCAGGACCACTTTAAAGATTGGAAGACATAAGTAACAAGAAATATATAATGGGGAAGACCATTTTTAACTTTTTTTGTCAGTGTTTCATACCTGGCACATTCTGTCTGCCGTCGGGGAGCACTGTGAGATCAAGAAGAAGCCCGGAGGGCACATGGTACACTTCTCGCACTGGGGTGGGTCCCTCTGAAAATCGCAGTACTCCTCTGATCCACACGGTGAAGGGCATCCCAGCAGGGGCTGGGGGAAACGAGCCTCCCCGACGGCGTCCATCACCTTAGCGTCCAGGTCCATTTTGTGGACGGCGTAGGACTTCTGCAGGTGGCTGCGGGCCTGACTCTGCAGTCCCGCCAGGTGGTTCTCGAAGTAGCTCTGCAGCTCACCCTGCAGGCCCTGGAAGGACGCCTGCTTGACGGTGTCCGAGAGCAGGCCGTACTGGGCCTTGACCGCATCCATCTGCTCGTACATGAGCCGCTGCTGGTCCAGGATCTCCCGCTGCTGGGACATCAGCGCCTCCTGTTGGTCCACCAGCTTCCGCTGCAGGTCACGGATGATGACCTGCTGGGCCCTCAGCGCCTCCACCAGCTTCTCCTGACCCTTGGCCAGCTGCAGGTGCAGGATGAGGGCGTCCTCTGAAGGAACCTCGTTCTCTCCTGAGATGAAACGAAGGCAGGATTAAGGATGAAGGCAGCCAAACTCATTTTCGCACTCATTTGCTGAACAATTTGCTGAGTTTCCTATGTGGACTAACATCAAAGCGGTCTATTTCTTCTGGGCAATTAACTCTGAGACATTTTTTTCCCCAGTCCATCTACACTAGTTGGCTCTGCAGGTGGTTCTTTTTCAGCTGAATGTCAACAAAGCAGTCTTTTCCCCTCATCATCAAGATGAGGAGATTAAAAAGTTGCAGCGTTGCTTTCAAGAATTAAACTTTTAGTTGACAGACACAATGGGGGCCATTTGGGAGAAGCTTCTATGAGTTTTATGAAGAGTTATTGGCTCGACTAACCGATTAAATGAGGGAAACAGACCTGGTTTGATGTCACAGGTAAGCTGCACTCCTAACGGCGCTGCGCCAAGTTCTGTCGATGGATGCCCAAACTCTGGAAAATCTGCCAGAAACTGCGCGGCTCTGTCGGACAGGTGGACGGGAGGAGGCGGCTGGCCACCGGCCGTGTCCTCCTCGGCGGGACAGCCCTCTCCAACACAGGACCGTCCCCGCGCTTTGGGCCGTATCCTCAGCGGCAGCCTGCACTCGATCCCCCTGCAGTCCTGCGTGTCGTTGGCGGGCTGAACGTGTCTCACAGCCTCGGCGCAGTCCGGATCGGTGCATCTGATCCGTGCGCCAGCCTCGCCGTGCCGGCCGCGGAGAAACGGCACGGCCGGGTGGCTCTCCGGATAATAGGGCGCTCTCGGAGAGCCCGGGTGCGCGTCGGGCTGGCCGGCAGCCGTCTGCGTCCCTCTCCCCTGCGCCGACGGGTTAAACTGCCGCGGGGTCCTGGAGGATCTGCTCCCCGGACAGTGCGCTCCGACGCACGGCCTCGGATCGCCGGCGTCCCCCCCTGGGCAGTGCGTCCCGCGGCACATATCTCCAACGGCTTGCGCGGCGTGGTAGAGAGACACACAGGAGAGGATCAGCCGCAGCACAGGCGTCCGTGAAACCATTTTTGGCTTCTAATGCGCGTGGCTGAAAAAGAAAGGAAATATTCGGCAAACTTTGGGAAACCTCAGCAAAAAAAAAATCTCACACTTGATAACAAACTTGCTCATTCCCAGCTCCAGGGTTTGGTGAGACTGGCTCTCCCAGCTGTCAGTAAGGAGTAAAAACACTAGAAACAGGCATTGCTGCTCACTCTCTCCACGTCTGGCCCACTCTGAGGGCTCCTGCACTACAATGTCAGAATGTGGCATTCCTAATACTTAATTAGCATCAGGTTTCCCCAGCCACACATTAACCCTTCACCTCCTCTGTTGTCTTGAATTCCCATCTGGCAAGGTGAAAATGTCGATAACACAACACTTTCAGTGCTTACATTCTAACGTAGACACACATTTTCCATCATCAAGACAATAGAAAGGCTTTTTTTTTTTCCTGTTCCTGGATAAATTTGTGTTTTCCAGTCCAGTTAAGACGCGGACAATGGCTTTACTGATGACTGTCACTTTTCATTTTGCTCACTGTTGACTTTTTTTTGACCCCGTGACCATCCCGGGTTGCAGAAAGCAGCGGCACTTTGTGTTAAGCACATCCTGAATGTTGAGACAGCTGCTGCTTCTTTATGAAAACGTCTTTCCACTTTCACTGGCCTTGTCAGCACCAAGTGGCCCCCCCACCACCACTCCACCACCTCCACCCCACCCACCCACCACCCCCTCCTTTTTTTTTTTTATAGACAGCCAAGCAGAGGTCAGACTTTTGTTCAGGAGACCTATGGCTGAAGTCAGGAATGTGAAACCTACACAGCTGCTTTCTGGACCCTCTTTGAAACGTTCCCGTCGGTGCTTCTTCAAAACCAAGAACCAAGAACCAGCCAGTGCAAGGTTATCTGAGGCCGATGCTGTTAAACTGACTGATTATGTCAAGTTCACATGGAAAAGGAAGCTGGGGATAAGCACAACAACAGACACTCGAGTTAGAATTATATGAATAAAAACGTACGGTGTACCAGCTTAAACTACGTGATTCTGACAGGATCTTTGATTTATTTATCACAAACTTTGTGAAAAAAAGATAAAAGTGCATACTATTCTGAATTTATGCAGTTGGATTTAGAGGTAATCTAAAACTGGCATGGGCTTGTGCATGGAAGAACACCAAAATCCCAAATTTAGATGTTGGACGGGCAGTATAAGGATGAAAAACAGGACAAATGAAGCTGACCCCCTTCGTATGTCTAAGAAAAGCTATATTAAGTTGTGGCTACTGAATTTTTTTGGTTTTTTTGTTGTTGATTTTTTACGCTGTTTTGTTCCATTTTACATATTAAAACTACTTGATTAACAAAGGCCCATTTAAAACATCTGTGCTGTGAATTAAGCTTTGGGTCTTTGCCTCTTATTTCCTGGTTTGCAAGTCAATGAAAAACATCTGAGCGTTTTCCAGGTGTAAACTTGTGGCTTGGATTACTGCACCACATAAGAAAAAAACTGTAGGATGGAGGCAGAAAGTGCCGCGCACCACCCACAGAGTTCAACAGCATGTACAGTACAGCAGAGTACAAACAGAGGGCACCACAACACCCCGGTGTGTGTGTGTGACGTCTCACATCAGTGACAGCCCGTCACACTCGCCAAATGTTTCTTTTTGCAAGGTGCCCACTGGTTTAATCATCATCACCCCGTTTTTCTTTCAGGGCCCAGGTCCGTGAATGTCGTTCAGAGGCGCGTCACAGTGCTCAGATGTTATATGAAAGCCCGGCTAATGGTTTTAAAGAATGTCTCGCACCTCATATCTTAACATCTGGGGTCCTGTGGAGCTCTCAAAAGCAACAGAGCTCTCTTTGTGACGGGGGGCTTGCTCTCCTTTTGCAGTTTAACAAGGCTCTATAGCCACACACAGCTGGAACAAACCCCTGGAAAAACAACAATATTCACCGGTTTCTCCACAATGAGCTGTGATGTCCTCCGTCAGAACCATCAGACGGTTGGACCACCCTCACTGTCAGAATTCAGACTTCAGATACACAACAGAGTCCGAAAAAGAATCGCCTCACTCTGCTGCTGGGCTCCACAGCCATTAATCAATGTATTTATTTGAAAAATGTCCTCCAGAGTATTCGGCGTTTAGGAGGCTGCCTTTGGTGTCCATCGGTTTGTCAACCCCACAGAGAAGGGAGGAAATGAGGGTGGTTGGGACACATGCCCTGCCTCCAGAGTAGTTTTTTTTCATACATCACAACTCATGAAAGGCTCCCAGAGGCATTTGGGATTATTTAGTTTCCCCCCACATTGCTCAGCTTTACCCCACGATGATAGGGTTTTACCACAGAGAGGGTGGTCCGTCTTTCCCCACTGATGATGGTCTTTAAGTCAAATAGAACACAAACAAGCTAATAATAGCTAAACAATGCAATTAGTGGAAAACATATTTTTTTAAAAGGGGGAGGTAGTGAAAGAAATTTAATTTCTGGAGCCTTATTTGACATAAATCTCTCTATGTGCTATTTTGCAGATGTGAAATCTCCTTTTTTTAAATTCAACAATGGCTTAAAGCAGTGGAGTTCAGCTCTGAGCTTCTCTTATGTGCTGGATTACCACTCCTGTCCAAAGACCTGCCATAAATCAGCTTCAGGGAGGTGAATTATTAACCGAGGCCCGTCACATTCTTTGCTTTGCTTCCTTCTAAAACTTCATGATCAGCTCTGGTGGTCATCAGTCACCATCTTGACTAGAAGTCTCTAACCCCCCCCCCCCCCCCCCCCCAACAAATTGCAGTATCAGCAGCAGATAAGGAGCTCTGTGGAGGCGGATGGCACAGGGCTGTCCTGGCAGGAGTGTTGCGAAAGTCTGCGGCTCTCGGCAGGAATGCAGTGACAGGTCGAGACCTGAACTTCCGCATTGAGCAGGAAGAAGCCAATAGTCGGAGAGCCAGATGCAATCCACATCAACACACCCAGATCTGCCTGCTCATGACAGTTATTCTCAGTGTCGAGTGCTGTTAGAGACAAACATCTGAGGGGGAACTCGTCTCCATGACGCTTTTTTTATTTTAAAAGCAGCTGGGAAAATAAGACGAGGACCAAGACATTTGGAAAGGTGAGCTCCATCTCTGTTAAGTTAGGGGCTGTGGCTTCGGTTAACGGTGAACACCATGAGCCACACGCTGTTTACAGATGGCTTTTTACAGTAAATGCCTGTGGTGTTAGAGCTTTTTCAATCACATTCAGCTGTCCGATGCTTTCAGAGATGTTACCGACAATCCAAATTTGTTTGAGAGAGAAACTCTTACATCCTGTCTGGTTTAGACAAAGGTTTTCAAGTTCAGGAAAAAAAATAAACCCCCCAAAATTTGCTTGTTTTTTTTTAGATTCTACTATTCTTGAGAAACAAAACTTGCCTAAAAGATAACAGCATTTGAGTGGTTTGCTCATGTGTTTTTTTCCATTCGCCCTGCTCTAATTTCAGAGCGCTGCATGACACAATATGCTCATGAAACTGATAGGGTTGGGCTATTGTCTCAAAGCCGTCAGTGGTTTTAGTTTAATGCTGATGAAAACAACATTTTACACTTGGATTGTGGAGTTTAAACAGCGATAATGAACTAAAACTGACGCAAAGCATTGAAGGCATTCCTTGGAAAACCTGAATAAAATCCTTGTCGTCGGGGATGATTTCTGTTTGTCAAACAGCCCTTTAGTCATCGCACACACTGTGTGCAAGAGGGATTTGGAGCTGAGACAAGCAAACAAATGTGTCTTTGTTACTTAAGAGCTGTAGGTAATTTGTTTCCGCATCCAACTGAACTCACTTCAGCAAACTAATGGAAGGGCTGGTGTTTTGTTTCATGTCAGTTATGATTTGTGGGTTGTTTTTTTTAAATGCCCTATAGCTTTTTGTTTCTCCATAATTTGCTTGCTCTGCAATAAAGCACTTCCAGTTCTGTAAACACATCTGCTCAAGTCCTGAATACAAAAATCTGAACAGAGTGTGAGCGAGTTTCTGTGCTTTTTTTGTAAACATGCTGTGCTTGGAGCACATGTTTGCGTTGCATTTTCTCTCTTGAATCTTTTGTTTTGAGCTTTGTGGCTTAAACAGACTATACACGGTACTTGAAAACGTACACCTGAGGCTGTTATTCATATGGTATCTTACTATAGTACTGGGACATCATAGGATGAAGTCAAATAGAAGAAGCAATGTGTGAAAAACTAAGAGCTCCAACTTTTCCAAATGAGCACAAGAACAGAAAAACTCTGTTTTGATTAAAAAAATAATACTAAAATCCTTTTCTTTTTGTGTGATGTTGTATATCTTGGTTTTGGTCTTCGTCACATAAGTTTGCTGAGGATTGTGGGATATGTAGAGCTGTCTTTAGGTTCCCATAGATTATTTGAATTAGCTTAAGATCTGGACTGACCGTTGTGTCAGGTTGATTCTTTTCATCTCCAGATGTTCTGTTTCAGATATGCTTTTGTGTTTTGGATTTTTGTCCTGTTAGTTGACCAACGTCAGCCAGGCTTTCAGTTTTGGACCAATAGCCTCACATTTCACTCTAGAATACTTTGGTATAAAGATAAGTTTGTGGTGGAGTCACTGGCTTTAAGGTGCTGATGTCCTGTAGCTGCACAACAAGGCCCAAATCATTAGTCCTCCACCACCGTGCTGACGGCTACCATGTGGTAAATACATTAGATTTTGTTGATCTACGATTGCATTTACCTGTCTTTAAATCCCTGAAGTTAAAAAAAAAGGTTGGAGTTACTTTTTTGCATGACTAAAGAAGCTGACGTGTCACTCATTGTTCCCTTTCTTTCGTCTTCTTCTTCTTCTTCCTCTTATCACACGTTGATCAAATGTCACTTCTCATCTTTTTTATCTTTTTTCTGCTGAAAGAAACATGTTTGAATACAGGTGAAACTACTAAAAGATCCCCATGCTTTGATGAAAACTCTCTAAGCCACTTCCAGTGAAGATACAGTATCTAACAGGGATAAGACATTTCACAATAGGTTTTGAGGAGTTAGAAATAGAATAAAAAATAATGACATTTTCCTCCATCTTTTTGAGGATGATATCAAGTTTGAAAAGAGGCTTTGCCTGATTATTGAATTGTTATAGTCATTGAGTTTTCCTTTTCATCTGATTGCCACAACTACATAAATATTGACAAAAGTTGTTTTTCTTTTCTCTCTCTTTCTTAGTTTTTTTTTCTTGTTGATCACAACAATTTTTAGGAAGCAATTTGTGCGGAGAAAATTTATTAAAGATTATGTTTGGCCTTGTCTCCATGCAGTGTTTTCACACCCTGACCACATGTTCTCACTTTTTCTTATTTTTACTGAATTAGACTTCGGAAAGTCCAGCCTCCCAAAAAAAAAAAGCTCTGAGCAATCTGACACAAATTTTCCGACTTTGAAAAGTGGCACAATGTCAGCTCATCCATTCTTGTAATTGTCATAAATATGACGTGACAACAGGTGACATTAACACAAAAGTAGCATTAATAGTTGAGACTCTGTTAAACTGCACACCCTTTAAGTGAACCTACCCAATGGGCCTGAGTTGTAACAAAGTTTTTCTGCAGTACTGTGAAATCTGCAGGTTGTTTCTAACCATTTCCGAAACAGTTTCAGCATCACAAGTGGCAGGAAGTCTACTCTTTACCACTTCCTCCAAGGGGTGTGACATTAAATGGAAGAGGAGTGGGCTCAGACACACATGCATGTCACCTGGAAATGATGTCTTCACTTACAAATTTGTTCCAGGGGAGAGATAAAAAAAAAAACTGATTATGTTCGCCGAAGTTTTGATCTGAACATTATCTCATATTCAGGCGGCATCTGTTAGATGTTGAAGTAGGATTACTTTAGTATGAAATAATTCCTGGAAAATCTTGGGGTTTGAAGAGGGTGTCATATAGTTATATTCCTATAAACGTTTTTTTTTTAACCCAGAGATGACAAACAGATTCCAAACTGTGATGGCTGAAATCAGTGAGTTACACTTTCCTAAGGGTCCTATTTTGTAGTCACCATGGCAACAGAGGAAATGGGAGAGCTACAGAGTAAGTGACTCAGTCACTGAGAGCCAGGTCAGATGATAAACCAATAAGATCAAGAGCTATTATCACACATATACAAAGACAACCAGACTATTTTATTGTGGGTTATTCATCTTGTTAAAAGAAGGCAATACAGAGTCATGTTGGTTAGGGTTGCAAAACAGCCAAAACACCATTACGAAACTTAGCCTGCAGACTTCACAAGTAGTCTAAGTTCCTTTCAGTCTCATCATTTCTGTCACATATATCAACTGAAACACTGGAAATTGTGTTATAGCAGTTTGAGTGTTGATCTCAACACTTACTGCAAAGAGCTGCACGTCTTCAGCTGCAAACTTTTTGCGTTAGTCTGTGTTTTTGTGTTTGACACACTGCAGAAGAAACATTCTCCAGTTCAGCATGTGCACAAGACATGACAAGTTGTGACAAATAAAGGCTGCCTGAAGTTGTGCGCATACCGCTGAGCTTCTGGTTCGGGCTGGGGATGTTATGCAATACTTGTAGCCTCGGGGAAGACTTATTTCTGCAGGCATTTATTTCAAAGCAGTTGTTTTGTATCCCCTCTGGATGGGAAATTAGGGGTGGTGTTTTTCTTTGTTTTCTCCATGCAAATGGATTCACAAACAGACATTACCTGGATTGTTTCACCCTATTAGTCACAACGGTTATATCTAATCAATAAAATGTAGCACAGGACTGTGAAGGCCGTCGTTGATAAGGCGTTTTTAGCCTGACTGGCAGAATCAAAATGTAACACTGACAGCTGAACTTTCAAGGTCTTTGTTTTGTTATTGTTTTTTTCAATTCACTGAGATGTATTCAGATGTATAAGAGATTCTGGCTGTTAAACTGTTCGGTTTCTCTGCTGGTTTTTATAGTAACTAGAATATATTGGCTTTTAATACTAGCTCTTTTGACCATTTACTTTTTATCTTAAATTATTATAGTCAGTCTTCCTATGAGACAACTTTCATACCTGTTTGTGGGTTAAATCAGACCACTGTTCAGTGACCTCATTTGCAGTTTTTCAAACTGTCAAACCATCCACAATCTTTAAAAAGAATTTGAATAACACCATATTGCCATTTAAAGGTACACAAACTCCCATCATTCTTCTGTCTCCAGCAGTTTAAACTCTCAACTGCTTCTTATTGATTAAAATTAAAGTTGGAAAAACAATGTCCTACTTTTGGGATAATGAAGCAACATTTCCCCATTTTACAAGGCCAAACTTTCCCCTTTACTCTCGACTTCTTCTGGTGTACTCACATCTGCAGAACGGCTTTAGCTTGCGATTTAAAAGCACCATGACTGCAAATTAATTTATCTGATTTTTGTTTTTCATTACAAATTTTTCAAACCTTCTTATTATTGTGTTACTGTGACTAAGGTGAGGTCTTTAAAAATGCCTAGAAACAGTCTCCATAATCAAAACTGTATTAAACAAAAAATGTAATATTCAGACTACAGGCCTTTTCAAACTTAGTATAAATATTTGGAATGTTTTTGTCCATGTTTGATCAAATAAATCTCATATCTTGGAAGTGGTAATGGTTGGTAGATCACTGATATTAAGGAAAAAGATATATGATGGGTAAAAAAGAGACAATGGAAACAAAAAATGTGGTCCTATCACTTATCTGAAAAAATGATAGGACACTCCTCACTGCAGGGATAAGTTCTCCATTTTTGCTAGATAACAAACTAAAAAGGCATGGATTTGATCTACAAAGATGTTAATTAATCCAGATAAGCTCCAATCAGAGGCCAAATTACTGCAGATGTATGCTTTCATTCAGACCAGATGTAGCTAAGGATCTCTGCCCAGCACAACACTTCCTGTTGGAGATGGACAGAGAACAGGACTGAAAGTGCCTTAACATGAAATAAAAAATAAGAACAGTATATTGATAAATTGGGTCATAAAAAGGTTTTTGTGATAGTAAAGGTTTCTAAAATAAAAGATCTTTGTTGCTGTTATGCCATTTTAGTTAAATATACCCTTTTAAATGAATGTAAGCTTTCTTTTTACATATCCATTACTAACTATTTCACATTCAATAAAACAATATAACATCAGGCTTCATTATGGTATACTTTTATTTCTATTAATGCATAGTTTGTCATGTTTTTATTCTCCAGATGGATGATATCGATGCCATGTTCAGTGACCTGCTGGGGGAGATGGACCTCCTCACTCAGGTGAGTTTGACACTTATGAGACATCATTTCTACTTCTTGATATGATTTTTTCCTCTTATTGTTGCAGCAAACTTTTATTGAATTCAGGGAAGTGTGACTTTACTAAAGCAAAATAAGTTAAACCATCAACAGTGAGTTGTACAAAGACACAACATTTAATTTTAGATTTTTACATAGTAATTTGGAACATATGAGTGCCTTTCTGTGTCATCTGAGTCACAATTCTGTGACTTGTACTGTGCCAAAAGTCAGAGAATACAGGCTGTTTAAGGAGCATCAGCTTCATAAAAGGGACATGTGACAGTCACTGGACTTTGCCTGAGTCATATAGAGAAATGTGAAATCATCTTTTTGGTACTCATTCTTGACAATCTAAAACTTGGCTCTGAAAGTCCTCAAACTGAACTTAAAGCAAATCATAACAAAAAGATTTGCTAAAGGAAAAACACACACATATGAATAAAGACAATTTAATTGTATCGATAGTATTAGAAAACATTAAATTGTACATGTGCAATACGAATAACAGCAGGAATCGTACAGTTTGCAATGTTAGAGACAGTATATTGTTCTAATAAAGTGGAAAACACACAATATGACCACATCACAGAAACAAGAACTCATTTTCTCCACCCCACCCACATTCCCTGATGATACTTTCAATTGTGACTAAAACCTATTTCTGTTCACTGAGTGGATCTTAGTAATCAGAAACATCAATAGCATAACCAACCGACTTGGTGGGGGGAGTATCATTGGTCATTTAGCAACCACAAGAGAAAGTTTTCTTCTAAGTTCAAATGAGAAAACCAACGATTGTGTTTTGTCTATAATAAATGGGTTGTCTTTCACGGCCAAACTGACATTTCAAATGACTTTGATTCTCCAAACGAGGCTTCATGTTGCACAGAGGATTGGTTAGCTGGAAACAGATGTAAAAATGAACGGTTAAGTTCCACCTTCTCTGCCGAACGAGAACTCAGAGTACACGGCGGATTAGCTGTGCCCTCCAGGCCGCTGGGGGCCTTGTGGCTGGATGCAGGACATGTTGTGACATTTCTATAAACACACTGCCTTGTTCCTTTTCCCCCCGCAGAGTCTCGGGCAGGAAACGGTGCCTCCCGCACCTCTCCCCAACCCCAGAGAGGAAGTCAACTTCTCCATCGGCTTCACTGACCTCAATGGTGAAATTTTGTCTGTCATACATTTTGTGTGGAAAGCCAAAAACAAACCGGGCGTTAAGGTTTTGCACAATGGATTTGCTTGCAACATCCTAGTTTTGTGAAGGCATGATACTCTCTGTGTCACCAATTATACATTTACTAAGGCCGAGGAACCGACTAATGTAAAAAAAAAGTCATCATTCAGTTGCTCTGGCTTTAAAGGGTTTCAGATAAACTCTTCTCAGTGTTTTCCTGGGGTTTAAAAAGGCAGTGAAACACTTCAGGGCAAGGTCACACCCTGTAGCGGTATTAACAATTTCACTTGTGTTTCCCTTCCTCTTTTATGTGTTCACTGTGCCATTAAATTAGCCAGAATGCATTGAGAGCCTGAGCAGCTCGTGTAAATAAATTCACATCTTAAAGAACTTTAAAGATACCAACTCAATGGCCCTGCTTTTTTTTTACGACCACAGCTCTACATCCACCTTTGCAGCTCTGTGAAGCTACTGCCATTAGCTTATTGCGTCGAATCTTGCAAACGCTTTGCTAGTTGAGCCTAAACAAAACATAATTTAGCCTACCAAACATCTGGATGAGAACTTTTGTGAATGAAGAATCACTTTCATGTGTTGCATAAGGGGTCTAAGGCCACTTCCGAAGTTACGAAGTGTGTTTTTCCAGAAACTTTAAGCTAAAGCTCTAATGAAAACATTGTGAAGGACTCTGAGTGGTCAGTTTAGGCTTTACATAGTCCCATCTAACTCACACATTTTATCTGTATACAACATAAAATTAAAAAAATGTAGGACCAGGGGGAAGATCAAATAATCTGGCGGTAAACATGTTGAAATAATTGGTTGCTAATCTTTCAACATCTGCTCCAAGGTGGTTTAATCTGAGTCTAATTTGAGACTAATTTGAGCCATCTTGTATCCACAAGTAACTCTTGGACCCGTTTTGTTGTGACACACCTCTGACAGCATGAACCACATGTATTGAAATAGGTGTTCTGTCAATAGTGACTCGTAAAATGCAAATTTTACAAGGATGAATAATAATAGCCTCACAGTGGTTATTCGAGAAGATTTTAACCGCTGGTCTTTAAGCCATTTGTTCATTATTGTTATTTCTATTTTATTTTATTTCATTTCTTTGCTAAACAATCAGTTCTATTTCCTAAATAAGTTAATTAAAGATGTCTCATTATGAAGTGTCACCATTTATAAGAATTTGTACAGTAAAAACAAAGATAATGAAGCATGTGGGAAGTTTCCGGCGACATGAAAGAAGCTGATTACTTTAAAAATGCCACATTCTGAACGTATCTCGTGATTTCACACAGAGTCTCTTAATGAACTGGAGGACAACGACTTGGATTTGCTCATGGCCGACCTGGTGGCGGACCTCAGTGCAACGGAGGAGAAACTGGCAGCAGAGATACAGAGTCTGAAGGCGCCGTCACCTCCTCCGCCCTCCGACCTGCCCCCCCCGCCTCAGGCCCTCGGCGTCCATTCTGCCTCCACCAGTTCGTTACCACGAAGCAGCAGCGGTGATGTCAGCAGCCCGGCCTCCTCCGCCGCCTCCCCTTTGCCACCTCCGCCCCCCCAGTCAGCAAAACCCACAAAGGTGAGTCAGCTCGTTCTTTATGACGGCGCTGACCTTTGCCCCCTTTACATTAAAGGGAACTGCTCCAAAATGTAGGAAGTGGGAGTTTTAATCAAGGAATATAGAGCATAATGTTCAGGTTAAACCCAAAGCCTCTTACTGAAGAGCAAAGAGCAAAGAGGTGAGAGGCTGTAGGTTTGTCGAAACAGGAAATGGAAGTACAAAATCTTTTTAGTAATATAAGAATTACCCCTCTGAGTTTTTTTCTGACGAGGAACTCAAAAGAGTGGTATTGCTCTTATGGCGTTCGGGCAGTGAGGTCATAGAAAAGCCTTTCCAGGATGGAGGCATCTGTTAGAGTCACAGAGACCCGTGAAGTGAAACAGTCGAGGGTCTGTCTGCGGAGGATCAGACGCGTACAGTCATGAGAAAAGTGTAACGGGATCAATAGGGAGGGAGGGGGTCAAATGTGGCAGCGCTGGAGGTGGAGTGGCCAGACAGGAGCTTATTGCTTTAGCAGAGTTTGTGACCTCATCCTTTCTGAGGTAAAAACACCAGCTGCGCCGAGGCGGGGAATGCGTCAGGGTTAGGTAAACGCGTGCGAGTTAATTAAGGCTGTAGCCAGCGTTTTAATGTACGGATAATTGGGACCGACTTCTTAAGGGTAAGTCCAAAGAAAACAGGGACTCCTGTCTGCCTATTGAAACCGAGGAGGTTTGACGTAACGGCACACACAGCACTCTTATTGGAGACCTCCCCATCCAAAGGTGGAAATCTAATGATTCCATTATGTCTTTATCCATTGTTTACAATGTGATTATGCGATTACAACACTTCTGTCTGCGGATGTGGATCACCTAAAATTACAGATGTTAAGATGATGTTAGCTGGCCACAAGACATTTAATATGCTCCTATAATTTAATTAATAATAATGGAGAATTGTATACAGTATATGACAGAAAGTAAAATCTTTGCAAATCATTTTAGTTAAATTGTTTTTTAGATATCCACTCTATGTAAGTTAAGATAGTGTTTATATAAATGTGCTGCATGCATCCCCCCCAAAAATATAAGTCCAATCCTCCATGAATTGTTAAATGATTGCGCAGAGTTGATCAACACTGGAGTTAATTTTCCGCAGAGTCTGCAGCTTATTGCATTAATATTTTATAACATTTTAACAACAGACGGTGTCTAAGTAAGCATGGGTTATTCCAGCCGTCTCCTCACTGTGTGTTTCATTGTTCATCTCGTTTAGGAGGAACTAGAGGCCCAGATAAAGGCGGAGAAAATTAAACTTGCTCTTGAGAAGCTCAAGGAGGCCAAAGTGAAAAAGGTAAGAGACGAAACCTCAGTGCAATGTCCTCTGATCTGACTTGGCAGCGCTAAAGACTTTAAGACTTACAACTGCGACCTAGATGTCGGCATAAAAGAGTCTCTGTTCAAACAAACAAGGCTCTGTCTTCCTTTCTTTTCTTTCGGAGGAGTCATCAATCACATTAATGGGTGGCTACTTTCATCCAGCCAACATCCTGCAGGACAGTAAGCTTTCCCTTTTGGAGTGACACGCACAAACTTCAAAGCAGAAGGGGAAAAAAAATGTTTTCTGCTGCTTTCTGTTTGTGGTTTTGCATGCAGAGCTGTGCGTCAAGATTAGAATTTTACATAAAATTAAGCTATTTTGCATCATGATGGCAAGCATTTCTTTTTGGGTTAAATCTAAAAAGTCCTCAAAAGTAGTTTTTTAAAGAGGACTTTGTCTGCAAATGGACCTGGAGTAAATAGAGAACATTGTCCCTTTTGCATGAACATCTGTCTCTGCCTTGTGAGACAGAGGTGAACTTTTTTGTGGTTTCGGTAGATCGTTCTGTAGTCAGAGGCCCTCAAGTTTCAGATATGCTCTGAGAATCCAGGGAATGTTTTCAGCAGGGACTGTAGCTCAACTAAGTTTGAAACCACTTAATTCAAGAATGTTTTATCCAAAGAAGGTCGAGACTAAGTTATCAGTCACCGTACATTTCTTTAAAAACCCTCAACTTGTAAAGACTGGGTTTGTCTCTGGACGTCTCATCATTGACTGAAAAATTAATAGAAACAAAAAAAGCCAGAAAGAAGAGACAGAAACGTTGAAGCTCTGGCTTTCGAGTAAAGCTGATATTATCACAGAGAAACAATCATTTAGTGTACAGACCCTGTAATTAGACTCATCAACAAACTTCATGTGCGTAAAGGCTGAATTTTAGGTCTGAATTCGAGTTCAAATGCGTCTTTCTGAAAGTTTGATACTGTGCACATTTTCAACAGCAAATAAGTCAATTCTGCCTTTTCAAACATGCATATCTACATCTTACAAAGTGAAATATGTCAGAATGCCAGTTTAGAGGGAAAAAAATATCCACTTTTGTATTTAATCTAGGCTAAGGGGCTGCAGTCATAGCTAAGAGGCAGCCATGTTTATTCAAAGCCATGAAAAATCATTCATATAATAATATTTTCTGAAAGAATTGCAGATGACTTTGAAACAAAACCCTTCAGACAAAAAACAAAACAAAAAAACAACCTAAATGGGTGATGTTTCAGTTGGTGGTGAAGGTGCTAATGAACGACGGCAGCTCCAAGACTCTGATGGTGGACGAGAGGCAGAGTGTCAGGGAAGTTCTGGAGAACTTGTTTGAGAAGACTCACTGTGACTGCAACGTGGACTGGAGTCTGTGCGAGACCAACTACGAACTGCAACTTGGTGAGTTACCGAAACGCAGTACACATTCGTTTTTTGCTGTTCAGCTTTATTCACACTGAGAGAAGGAAGTAAATCATAGTTAATTACTGGTAAATAATTCAAATGGAGATAATGAGAAGGAGTTTAAAACTGGATAAGCGAGAATGCATGTTGGAACAAATGGTAAATTACACTGTAATTTTAATAATTTAAAGCTTATTCTTGGAAGATCTGTGAATAAATTGAATCAGACATACCTTTACAGTTTACAGTCGAGCTATAGAGATAATGCGGAGTGATAAAAATAGGCTGAATTTCGGCTGATGTCAGGCAGGTTTAAAGTAACCAGCAGCAATAGAATCGTACAGCTATCTCTAATAAATCTCATAATTATTGCCTCCACATATGATTTTCAGCTTTGTCTAACTTAAATTATACGACAAATACAGGCAATATACTGATTTCTGAATTTCTTGTAGATGACAAGTACTTTGGTGGTTTTATCATCTGGCAGCACGGCTATATAAAGCTGTGTGTCATCGGTGTGGAAACAAGCAAGGGTGCAATGTCACATGATGGCACCATGAAGGAACAATATTAATTCAAATGTTACGGAATGGCGGACTGATTTAAAGACTGGGACCACTGAGTCATAAAGAAAACATCTACTGCTTTTCATTCATCCTCCCTAACTAGTAAAACACTTTGATTTAATGGTGTTGTAATAAATGGTGTGGTATAAATAACAGGGGAGCATTCAAGGGAAATAAAAAGTGTTTTGTTGCACAGAATTAGAACAAAAAGAAATGAGATTGAGAATGTTATGGCTGCTACTGAGAATTCTGGGTAATGTAGTGTTGCTACGAGATAGATCTACAGCAAACGTATCAATAGAATTTACTGGTTTTAGATCATGGCTTTGACAACACGAAGCTTCGGTGTGTTGTTATATTAATTGTCAACTAAATACACACTGTATGGTACATTTTTTATCCCAGTACAGATGAGGAAGTGTGTTTTTGTTGGCAGCCGCAGTGCAGAATGCTCAACGAAACATCAATTTTACTCCCATCCATCAAAATCTCTCCATCCTCTTCTTTCCTAAACCCCCTCTTGCCCTTTCCTTGCTCACTCTTGCACATGAGTGTGGACATATGGGTTTAATTTGCCGTATCGGACACTGTCAGTCATCCTCTCTGTCATGCGGAAATAGAAGCCTTATGATCTCAATCCTCTGTCTGAGCTGTCTGAGCTATGTGTGGCTCAGCAGCTGGACTTTGCCCACCACCACATTCTACCCGTTACCATCTCCTTTAGAGGCAATTACAGAGTCGATTACAACAACGTGCACAGAAAAATGCAAAAAACTGTTGTAGTTAGGATCTCCATTGGTCCAGCTGAACCACAAGTGTGAAAACACCCTTCATGACATAGACAATACTACCCCAGACTAGAGGTTAGTCTTGTTTCTTTTAGCATCTAACCGGAAGAATGCATTAGAAACATGTCTTCTCCTTTAACTAAAATGTGAGTACAGTTGTAGTTCATGTTTAGACGCCCAAAGTGAGGATTTTCGATAAATAGCATGCTGGGAATAGCAGTGTTGACTCATAGGCACGGGGTGGCAGGGTTACTGTGTCACCCTCGGCTAAACAACATGACATCATTAAAGTGGAAACTTGTTGAGTAGATTGAATATCTGTAACACGCCCGAGTGTGTTGCATGTGTCGGTACTGCTAACAGCCCAGCCGACCTCGAAATCTCCGTGAGCAAGAAGCCGAGTCGAGTCACGCCCAATAAACACCCGCAGAGCCCAGCAGCAACACATCTTCAAACAAATGTTTACTGCGACATTTGCCCATGTGCGCCCCATGTGCGTGCGCCGTGTGGTTAATGCAGTTCAAAGAAACCCCTTCTCCAGTCTAGTTACACCATCCGGTTGAAGATTGTAATCACCAACTTATAGTCTGTGGCCCTGGCAGCAATTTCTCTAATGCTACCTCTGCCTCTGCCGGCCACCTGTAATTGGAGCCTGTGGCTTAACTGCAGTCAAATGGCCCACTGTGCGATGGGGATCAGAAGCACTAAGAGGGAGGGTGGGCAGAAGCGAGGGAGAGAAAAATCGCTTTTTATGGCTTTTCAAGGTTTGGTGCCATTTTAAAAAGTCTTTCCAGCAAATGGGGAAGCTTGTATTTTATCTTTATTTCAGCCCGTTTAAAACTGAGAATTGAACAGCCGTGAAACTGACTCGGAGTTCAGCTGATTTAAAGATTTTGTGACCGCCGCACAGGTGGGAAAACACTTGTTTTATGGTATGAAGGTCCACTTGTGTGAGTTTTCTGATTTAAATCATAGAGAACTGAGTCAGTATTAGAGGTTTTTAATCTCAAAAGATTTATTCATTATGTAATTTACAGCAACAGTTCGAAGCAAGTTACAATTAACTGATCTAATGTGTTATCGTTTATAACAATACTAATGGATATCCTCTTGGACATTAAATGAACCTAACCTTTAAATTAAGGGTACTACTTTTTTATTTATGTGGCTGCTGGATGAAATATTGGTCAGACCATTCAGTTGTAGCTTGTTCACAAGTTTATAGGTCTTTGGGGACAGGTGTACATGAGATCCATATATGGGATTTCTACATAAACGTACAATTTATCTGTGAAACCACTAAGTAAATGCACCCTTTTCTTGGTTCCTCTTTTCCTCCCTCTCTGGCTTTGTCTTATGCTTATCTTTTGTTCCGTCTTCTTAACTTCCATTTCTCTAAACCTCTTTCAAAATGCTGCTATTTATATCACATATTTATAAGAAAAATTAATAGTAGGTTGTATGACATCCCTAAATTTAAATCAACCAAAATCACAATATTTAATTTGGGAATAGACAGAATTAACCTCCTGAGACCCTGTGTCCTCATAAGAGGACGTTGCATTTTTGTCTCTCTTTACCATGATACTTCTTTTTTTCTTTCAGCTTTGACCTCTTGACCTCATAGCAGATGCTATCAGACACTGTTTGAAATCTAAAGTAAAATGGTTTTATACATTTCCATCCAATCATGTTCTTATTGTGTAATAGAAAAACTGTAAATGAGTCAATGGGACTGTCAGAACCAAATTGTAAAAACATTTAATTAAATATGTATCTCATATATCTTTAAAAAAAAAAGCTAAAATGCATGCCAAATAAAAGCTCGGGTCTCAGGAGGTTAAACCAACAGTGGAGACAAATGCACACAAATTTATCCAAACAAGTCTCCTGAAAGATCTTTTGTTGAATGCTTTCATTTGAACGCCCCTGCTGTCCAGTTTCTAAGAGGTTACAAAGAAATTAAAAAATAATGATCTGAGGGGTGATTTCCTTTTGCAGAACGGACATTTGAAGACCACGAGAACCTCGTGGAGCCGCTCTTGGCCTGGACCCGGGACAGCGAGAATCAAGTTCTCTTTAAGGAGAAGGGAGAAAAATTTGAGGTTTTCAAAAACCCGCAGGTTGGTCCCATCTCAGCGTCCACACGGGCCGGCTTAACCTCTGTGAATACAGCAGCTTATACGCTGAGTGATCAGAGCTGTGATCCTATGCAAGTCCAGAACCTGGGCCTCAGCTTGTGCAAATCTATCTCCACATAGTTTATGCTCAGAGCCAAATGGCTCTTTTCATCGTTGAGTTATGGAGATATCATTCCTCCATGCGGACCGACCCCTCACATTAATGTCCTCACTGCAATATATCAGACAAAACGGCTTCAGGCCAAAGACAGACAGCGAGATCTTGGCATGTTTGTTGTTATAATGAGACCCTTTCCAATCTCAGAGTATTTAATGGATTCGGTCTGTTGGCAGAGACAAATAGCCCCGTTTTGAAAGGCAAGAGGAATATGCTCGTTTTTTTAGAGTAATCCGTCATTTAGTCCAACAAAAGACCGATCTGTTTTTTACAGGATGTCTCTGTTCATTTAAATTTTGACAAGAGCATCCAATTACGTTTCCCCCTTGCTTTTGCCCCTGTGATGAGAATATAAGGCTTGGGTTATGAAGTCAAGTCAAATTGTTTTGGTCACACAGAGACTAAAAGGATTCAGATCGAGGGGCCACATTTTCCACTCTTGAAGCTGAAAGCTAAGGTTTTATAATCATCTCTATTTTTCACTAAAAAGAGGCTTTATTTATCACTACACAGAGTTAAAATATCTGCTTGATGAATGTTTTACATAACCATGTTTGCATGTCAGGACTTTATTTGGCATTAATGGGCTTTGTTTCATTCTTTAAGAACTTTTACCTCTGGAAAAAGGACAAGAAAGCTCTCAAAGAAATAAAAGACAAAGACAAGGAGCTGCTAATAAAGGTAAATAAACTTGTTTGTGTCAACAGGCACATCTTTACGGGAAATATCATCTTTTAGGTGACTTTTTTTTCCATTCCCTCCTAAGGAAAATTTCTGTGGGACTTCCACCATCGTCCCAGATCTGGAGGCCGTGCTGCATCTCAAAGAGGATGGCAAGAAATCCTGGAAGCAGCGACTCTTCCAGCTCAGAGCTTCTGGAATTTATTACGTTCCCAAAGGGAAAACCAAGGTCAGGATGGGAGAAGGGGTCAGACAACAGCTAAACTTCCACACGACTACTCGTGTTCTGTGTCAGGATACACAGACTGTTAGAGGGGGGGTGCACAGTCGTGATGCTGTTTCATACACTGTGTGGTAAAACTTTGAACACCAAGCCTCAAGGAACAAAAAAAAAACAACAACTCATCAATATGACTGTAAAATATCCTTGTTTGTTCCGTTTCAGTCCTCCCGTGACCTCATCTGCTTTGTCCAGTTTGACAACGTCAACGTCTACTACGGCGGAGACTTTAAGAGCAAATACAAGGCCCCGACCGACTTCTGCTTTGTTCTGAAAGTAAGTCGGTCCGTCTGCCCCCACAGCCCAAACACTCTTTCATTGTGGTGTGATAAAGAAAAGCCTTAACATCCCCAGAGAGGCTGAGGAACACACTGACTTTGAGAGTACTGATTGCAGAAGTTCCTGAGCGTGTGGTGGATTATGCAGCTGCTTAGTTGGACATTTGCAATAAATAGTTCCTTTTAAAGAAGTGAAAGGAGACCGTTTCATCCAATTTGTGGAGAGAAAGAAGAAAGGGACGGCTTTTTCAAACCACTTTCTGCTTTTTTCATTAGAATAGTTTATAACACATATTTAAATATGACCGATTGCACTGAAAATAGTGACTGTGAGGAAGCACTTACTGTACGCGGGTAAGTTTGAGAAGTGCTGACACAATAAAAGCAGAAATTACACGGGTTAGCAGTCAGCGTTAACGGGAAAGAAAAGAAGCAGACTTTCACATCCCTTTGTCTTATCTTGGAAATTCTGGAATCAGCACAGGCCATCAGACTGGGTGTTCAGCAGCAAGGCAGAAAGAGCAGAAGGAGCCAAAGAAACTGGATTATCTCCAGGTGAAAGACGAAACCCCTCAAGGTTGGCCTTGAAGAGAGGAAGGCGCTGTTGCAAGGGCAAAAAGAAAATGACCTGCCACTTCAGAAGGCCGGCCAGCTCAGACTGTTCGGAAACTTTAGGGTTTCTCAGTCACTCTAAATGACATAAGGCTGATAAGAAGACGTGCAGTGTATTTCGACAGATTAGAGGGGCGGCGTTTATGAGCTGCCAGAAACTTCAACAACTCAAACGCGCTGGCAAAACAATTTAGCCTCATCACAGCTGTTAAATATTCAGAGAAGCTGCCGGAGGTGATCTCTAATACCATCCCCATTATGAATCGCTGATGTGTCATTAAATGGAAATTCGGCTTCCTCTTCGGGGGCAGACTACTCACAGACGAATGCACCGAGGGGCTTTTGCGCTCAGACTGTTGGCACAAGAGCAGATCTTCTGTATTGGGATCAGGAGCTAAAGCAAAGTGGGCATCCGTCTTTCATTCAGCGTGGAGTCTTTTAGGATTAAAGGCTCCATATGTGAGCACACATACAACTTCAAGGTCTTACTTCTCTTGATATAAGCAAATACAGACAGATTTGTCAAGCAGGAAATGGATTCAAAATGTAAAGTTTCTCTTATGATCTACTAAAGGCACTCTGCCCAGTTGTAGTCCCCCCCCTGATGGCGAAACAATCCTTTAATGATGGTAGAGTGGACTTTGGCTACCTCTGAATATATCAGATGCGTTTGGTCAACAGAGAGATCTAGCAACGGAAATGGTTTATGGTACATTAACATTAAGTTAAGGGGGAATTTAGGTCCCTGCTGATCGTTCAGATGATTCTTTTTACCAAAAAGATTAATTAAGAAGAGAAAAAATACTTTTTAAAACCCAGAACCACTTCTCTTTTGTACATTTTTCCCATCGAAAACCCAAATATCTTCCGTTTGTGAACTGATTAGATGACCGAAAAGCAGCAAGTCTTAACAAGGGAGAGGCTTGATGAAGAGATTTTGGAGGATGTTGTGAGAAAACAAAAGTTAAAAATGAAAGTGATCATCTAAGAGTTTAAAATATCTGCCGTCTAATATAACAAAACGATTCTAAAACAAACCGTTTGTCTCTACAGCATCCTCAGATCCAGAAAGACTCTCAGTACATAAAGTATCTTTGCTGCGACGATGCTTTGACCATGAACCTGTGGGTGACTGGAATACGGATCGCAAAGGTACATTTGAGCAACTCTGCTTTAAATAACATCGTTTAACGTTCACAAAATCAGATGATTTTAAGCTAAGCTCTGCGCTCCATCCGTTTCCAGTACGGCGCCTTGCTGTATGAAAACTTTAAGATGGCAGAGAAGAGGGCTGCTGCCAGCTCTGTCTGGACCAACCGCAGCACCCCCTCCAGCTCCAGTGAGTCCACGCCCTCACCCACCATCAAAGGTAGCCGGGCTCACACAGGCCGCTTCACTGAGATTCTCAGCACAGCTAAAAACCTTTTCCTTGTTCTGAAACTCTGCTCAATCGCTTCTGTGTTTGTCTTCCTCCTCTCAGCTAAAACGCCAAACCAGGCTAACGGTCATGCTCCAAAGCCCCAGCCGGGACCTGCTCTCCAGGTAAATAAATCCCCAACAATGAGGAGCAGAAGCGATCAGACTGTTATAAAGAAACATATCACAGCTCCTTTGTTATAATTGAAATACTGTATCGGCTATCCATATTAAGGGGTAAGTAATTTAGATCCGTCTGCCAGAGGGGAGCTGATGAATGTGAAAGAGTCCATAATGATCCTGGCTTTGGCCCAAACTGCACACAATGTTAAAAAAGTGAAGACAGACTGATTTAGAACGGACCCTAGGGAGCTAGTTTTCGTTTCCAGTTAACACATAAGCTCGTGAATGAAAAACATGTCTCTGTCTTGTCAGGACGTTGGCAGTCTCCCACCTCCACCTCCACCTTTACAGCAGGGCCTCCCGCCTCCGCCTCCCGACCCGCTCTTCCCTCCCCCGCCTCCTCCAGTGTCGGCCAAGAGCTCCCCGAAGCGGGCGGGCTCTCGGCGACACATCCCCGGCAACCTCCCTCCGCCTCCGATGGACGACCTCCCTCCCCCGCCGCCGGCCCCGCCCGCCGACGACTCGTCGGACGCCCCGCCGGACTTCCTCCCGCCTCCGCCTCTCCCCGCCGGCTTCGGCTCCCTGCCGCCACCTCCGCCTGTCAACTCTCTACCGCCGCCCCCTCCACCAGCGAGTTTCGGGGTCACCGACCTGCCTCCGCCTCCACCAGATCCAGAGTTTCTACCACCGCCCCCACCTGAGCCGATGTCATCGGTGGGAGGTGGACCCCCTCCACCTCCGCCTCCCCCTCCACCTCCTAGCGCCACCCCACGGGCACCTGTGCAGCCAAATAGGTCTGTGAGGAAGAGGCCTCCCGCCCCGCCAAAGAGGACTACACCTTCGCTGCAGGGAGGAGGTGGAGAAGGAGGAGGTGGGGACCTCATGTCGGAGCTGATGATGGCCATGCAGAAGAAGCGTAGCAATAACTGAGCACCGTCAATATGCCATGAATAAACTTTGAAATCGAGACCAGCACTTGAAAACGCAGGTTGTTTTAAGTCAACATGTAAAGAATGATGTCATGATACGCAGGATTTTACCATGATTGTACATATGTTTGCATGGAGGGGCTGTAAATAATGTATAAAACTCGTCCCATGGGTGTCATGGCCGGTTCTACTCTGTTTTCAAATGACTGTTACCTTAATGAATCCTCCCAAATAAATGCAGAGATTCCTGGCTATGAAACATTTGAGCAGAACTTACTTACAAACTGCATTGAAATGTGAGCGGCTTCCTCTCTGGATTAAACTGAAAGATCGATATCAAAAGAAATCGATAAACTCCTCAAAGACGGTAAATATATTTACACTTACTTCTTTAAATGAACAGAAACATGATAAAAATGCCAATTGTTAAAAACATGTCTGTGACAGTAGAATTCACTGAGATGTTTATTCGAGATCAAACATCTTTTTTATTTCCAATATGAAACTAGAAGTTGTGGAACAGAAATTCTACATGGTGGATCCTTTAATGCTTACAAAAATGAATAAATCATGCAGCCGGATAGCTGCTGTGAGGGAAATAGTCTCACAGCCTGAGGACAAAAGCTGTTGTGAGCAGATCAGCACATATCCACACAGCACAGGAAAAAGAGCAGCCATGACCTTCACGGAAATCCCCTCAAACATGGACACAATACCTCAGAATCTGCTACAGGTTCGTTCTGATCTGTGAAGGTTGAACTATTTTTCTGTTTCACTCATGAAGAACAGCTGACCTTTAAGCTGTCAGCCCACCGTGGAGGTCTGGCTGCATAGCCCGCCTCCTCTGCGGCGACTTGTGTAACAAAGGGAGAGGACAGGACGCGGAGCAGCTGCTCCACCTAGTGAGAGGCAGCCGAACAGCAGCAGGTTACGCAAACCAAAGCCGCTTTTTGATGTTTCACATCATTCAGGAGAAGAAGTGAGTTTGTTTACCTCTGAAAAATCATTCATTTCAGCTTTCCTTATAGCCGACTCTGCCATCCAGTTCCTCAGCACGTATCTTGGATTTACACCTGTAACGTAAGTGTAACAATCAGGTCTTTTGTCGTTGTTTGGTCGACTTCAAATACTGGGAGACTTACTTTTCATCCGGTTTTGACGATCCAAATCACTCTGTTGCCTGAAGAGAAACAGCAACAATTTACTCCCTAATTCAGAATGCGTCACAAAACTGGAAGCACTCTCAATCAAAACGTCACCCTGCTCTGCCTACCTGCTGATCCGCATCAGGTACGTGTTGATCCAATCAGAAAAAAGCTTGTGTGATGACAAGTCAGCAATAGCCCATATCTACAAGAGCACACAAAGAAAAGCACAACATTTTTAACAAATTCTACTTTTGATGTTATTTTTAGACTGTTAGAGCTGCTTTTTTCTCTATGCGAACAGAACACTTCGGCTGTCAACAATGTGACACATTTAAGTGTACTTCTAGATCGGTTTAACACCTTAAGTTATCTTTCAGCAGTTAACTTCAATAAGAAGAAACCGGCAGTGCACATACACACTATAAAACGATAGCTGGTAAGATAAAATAAAATAAAAGTAAGAGACATATAAGAAGTAAAAAAATAAAATAAAATAAAAAAGGCCCAGAAAGCTTTACATCTGAGAAGTCCCTGCTGCGAAGCTGATTGGCTGACACTTCGCTGAGCTGCCTGAATGTCATGGTGAAGTCTGACCCTGTGTCCTCCATCATCTACACAAACAAACCAAACACCAAAGTGGAAGGAAAGAATTCAGTTTTGGATTCGCATTAGGAGAAAAGTTCAACTCAAAAAGTGACTTCCCTTAAGCAGAAAGGCAATGAGGTAGTTATCGTCCTCCTCTTCACCAAGAAGCCCCAGTTTTGCTTTAAATAACTGGTGAATTCTGAAATGATCAAAGAAAAGCATCAGAAAGCCCGCTGCCGCTATGATGGCTTAGCATATAGCATGAATATGAGTGAAACCTGCAGCTCACCTCATCTGGTAAATGTCAACGAACCCTTTTAGAGCAATTTTAGCCCTGAAAATAAGGAAAAGGATGTTAAGTTTACTTTGCTAACTAGCATTTGTAATAGCTAAATTAAAAAGCTAAAAAAAGAAGAGAGAAAAGAAAGACTACCACATCAACATTTTCTCAGTGAACAGATGTTAGTTAACCATTCTGTAACCCTCCATAACCTCTGCTTTATTCCCCTTTAACGTCAACTTTCTGGCATAAAACCCCAAATTATTTCACAAATAAATCTGTGAGATGAGGCAGATAAGTGGCCCAGACTACACCTCAAATCCTACTTCTTCATGCCTTTAATCAAGCTGTTCAGGTCACAAAATTTCTTCTCTCAGAAGAAAAAAAACGTATTGCTGTCACACCTCTCAAAAACAACCTTTTTCGATTGAAGATGTAACATTCGCCGTCCATGAAACACTGGGGCTTGTAGGGTCACGTCCATGAAAGTGTGCCGTTTGGGTGTGTTAGTTTGGACTGAACATAATGGAGACCGTAGCAGAAATTGGAAATCTCTTGACTGTCAATGATTTACTGCTGATTGTAAAGATCAAATGATCTTTAAAGGAGTGGTTTGTTTCTAATCATTTACCAGAAACAATTATTTTGGATAAAGCTTTAGAGAGGGCGCTTTAACCCTTTAATTCTCAGATGATGACACCACACTTTAACAGACCGGATTTAAATCTGACTTTATAGGTAGAAAGTTCAACAAAGAGCTTTAATCACATTAAAAGCATACATTCCTTTGTAGAACACGATATAACTGATTTCTTACTGTTTCTGCTGTTGTTGTGTGAGCACAGGGCTCAGAGCCACCAAGAGCTTCTCCAGGTTGAACAGGCCGACCTCAGCCTGATTTCCTATTCTGTATCTGCCCTCATCATCAGACGTGTTGGGAACAAAATCTGCAAAAAAACAACAACAACAATCTGCTTTTATAATTGGCCAGGGCAGGACATCTGAAAATCTAAAAAAAGAGTGGCCGTATAACTTTGTACGCACTAGGATCGTATGACTCCATGAAGCCAAACGGTCCGTAGTCAATGGTGATGGAAAGTAGGCTGAAGTTGTCTGTGTTGCACACACCTGTTGGGATAACAAAAGCACTTAGCACAGTGCTAATGACCTAATGTGAGTAAGTTCAAGTAGTTTCTCACCATGTGCAAACCCCACTGAAATCCACTGTGCAATCAGATGGGCTGTCTCATTTACAACCCTGGAATAAAACACCTACAAATGCAGAGGTACAGTTTTCAAAGACTTTAACATTCCAAGAACAATTACGTTTTGTTTTTTTTGGTCAGCAAAACTCACCAAATATTTTTCTGGGTCATCTGGTCCAATAAATGAAAAGTGTTCTTTGATTATGAAATTCAGCAGCTTCCTACAATCCAAAGAGATATAAAATGAGGTTACACACTGCTCTGTACAGTGCAGAATAGGAGACCTCGTCTTTGTACCAGAATCACCTCAGAAGATCTATTTCTCCACTTTCAGCCAGGATTTCTAAAGATCCGATCCGAAACCAGGACTTGGCCAGCCGGAGCACAACAGCTCCTGTGGCGAGAAGAAAACACCTTAACAGAGGGGCATGATTTCAATCATAAAAATCACATGAGAATAGCTTTTAGCATAGTTACTGTGTTTGTTGTACCTCGCTCTGTTTTTAGCTTTCCGTTGTAGAACGGATCCCTCAAAACTGGCTCCTCACTTACAATCAGACTAAAACAAAGACATTTTTCAGATAAATATTAGTAGTCACTTGCTGTGAAATTACAAAAATTTGAAGATAAACAAGCTCCTTTTTAAGAAAATATAAGGTCCATCCCATTTTTAGAATCGGCCTGTGATGCCAATTTATTCAAAAGGAAACCATTGTCTTCCAGATTTGTATTGTATTCAGATGGGTTGTTTGGTCAAATGTATAGAAAAATCTGTTGTAGTAAAACGTTATTTACAATAGAACATATAAAATGTTGAAAGTCGTCTATCATTTCATGACAAATATGAGCTCGTTTTTTATTTGATGCCAGCAAAAGGTTAGAGAGTGTTGAAAACTCTATCTGCTGATTTCATGAGGGATTATTCTATTTGAACCTGACAGCTCTGCTGGTGGGAACACCGAGGAAATACATCGCCTCACTGCACAGGAACTCCCTGACAGAGGAGCGGATTACAGCCCGGCCATCACCGGACCTGTGGACAGATGACACAGCTATCTATCTCACATTTGGCAGCAAAGCTTTTATTTACTAACAAAAGATTTTAAAAACTATTATTTTTATTTTTAAATACATTTTTAAAAAAGGGAAATAAACACACCTTGAATATGGAGTTTTCCCAGAGCCTTTGAGCTGCAGTTCCCATGTTTCTCCTTTTCTGTTAAATTGTAAAATTAGTATTCAATACTAATGAGTCTTTAGCCTGCAATTAATCTTAAACAAAAACATGAGCCACGTTTTCAAAAAGACTCACCTGTTTAAATATTGGCCAAGTAAATGTGCTCGGCCATCACCCAGCTGACCTGCCCAGTAACCAAACTGAGGCAAAGGAAAAAAGCAGATGAAGTAGACCAATTCAGCTTCAAATTGTACAAAACTGACAAACAATTAGTTGAACATTAATGACCTGATGACCTCCATATCTGTGAGCAATGGGCACGGACCCAGGCAGCACTTTGGTGCCGCTTGCATAAAGCAGAAAATCCTCTGACTGTGTTACAGCCACATCTAAATTTAGGATCTTCTCTATGGCATCCTGTTGAGGCACATTCAATATGTTATTTTTACATAACGTAATATATTTTTATTCCTTTCTTAATGCAGGAAGATGGAATAATCATAATTTTAATCAAAATCACCTTAGACACTGCCGCGAGCCGTAATGGGCCTTTCAGGGGGGTTGGAATGGATTTGGAAAATATGCAGTTCCTCACAGAGCGAACAAAGTTGCCATCAATCTCATCAATAGGGAATGATTCTAGAGAAAAGGAAAGGACAGCGTGGGCACACTGTGGCAGTTTTAGCTGTATTAAGGTGACCCATAAACACAATAATCAATTTTACCTATTAGTTTATTGCAACTGACTCTGAACTGTCCCAGGCTGTGCGTGAGGTCTGTCATATTCTTATTCCATTGAGGCTTGACAGAGTTTGTGAACAGCCGGCTGTCATGGCTGTGACAGTCAGGATCTGTTCTTTGGCAGAACAACTGATCCTGACCCAAGACATGCCCAGGCGTGAGGTGTGATGCAGTTACCAAAGCAAAGACGAGCGCCCTATCAGGACTCCACATTTCCACTCAGAGCAGATGCCAACATCTGCAAGCAGCTCTGTCCAAAAATAAGAAAGGACAGAGTGAACAAAAGTGACCCGCTTGTTAAAAAGGGAAATCATATTCACCTAATATCATATAAAATATGAAACGGTTGTATGTGTATTAGTAATAACAGCATTACTAATCAATGAGCAAATAAAGGGAGCTTCAAACATTACAAGTGGAACCTAATATAATTTTAGTATTGTTTAGTAGTTTAAAATTATACACATTTTGCACATGATGAACTGTTTTTTCATTTTATGGTATGTCTACATTTTTCACACCAATGTAGGGTGAAAAGGGGGCTCATTTCTATTCCTTTTTCATTAAGTTTGGCATGAATTTAAATGCAAGAAAATAAAAAAAACACACACACAAAGAAAGCCCTAGATTAAACAAATGTACATTTTTGTTTTATTTACATCCACCCTTTTTGAATTTTTCATGGTCTTTTAGATCTTGGGTCCACTGAATGGAAATGCAAATAAGTACACGTTCAGATATATGATGTAGTGTTTGCATGATCCAACATATTTTAGAAATAAGGTTAATAAAACAGTTATTGTAATTACGTATGTAACTTAACTTTGAGGTTTCATTAAGCTTTTCTTTTACCTTTAGTAATTGTATTCAAAGCGGTACATCCTGCAATATCTTACAGAGAGACTTAGTTCAATACACGTAAATGCATATTTATGGATAACCCTCTTTCTAAACCATTGCTTTGGTTTATTTCCCTAGATTTTGGCATGATTTCTCTCATTTGTGGAGTAATAAAAAGTGATCCATTTATGTTTTGTTCATGCAAATTTAGTTAAAAGTACGTTTACATCTCCTGAAAAAAAAAAAAACAATTGGAAAAAGTATTTTGTCCTCGTAAAGTAGAGGGTATTTTAATGGTTTTATTTTACCCGTTGTGTATCATCATCAACAAACAATGTCACTTTGCTTAGTTTATTCTTGCTTGCAGCTAGCTTATCTGTTAGCTTTCCAGATACTAGCCTCACCCCAGACACTACAATAGTGGAAATACAAAGGAAAATATTTTTTATAGCTTCAGTTTGACTAAAAATGTTATCTATAACGTCATATTTATAATAAAACGTAGCAATAAAATAAGTTCTCCCTCCTTCTTTCACGTCCTCTTCCTTGCGGCTTACCTTACTATGAAACGTCATCAACTGACGCCGGGTGACCAATTTCCGGTTCCGAAATACATAACCTGTGAGCTCAATGCATGGTAAATGGGAACATGGCGGGCTCCTGGTGGAGGCATTGCCGGAGGTGGAGTACAGGCTGTTCTAATGCGAGTTTATTTGAAACCTTGGGGTATTTTAGCAGCAAAACCGTGTCCTCGTCGGCTTCGTCTTTTACACGGGCTTCCCTTTGCTCTGGCCCGCGAAACGAGGTGAGTATGAGCTGAACGGGTAGCGCTGTCAAACCCAGAGGAAGGTCATTCACACCATCGAGCCGGTCCCCCTCACCGCTGGACCAAATCCTAGCTGATTTTACTCGGGGTCAGGGTTCAACGTTTCCTGGCTGTGTTATTGACATTTTGTCCGTAGCAATATTCTCTTGGGTTTGGCTACACTCTCAAGGGAATAGAGACTTGTTGTTTCCTATATCAAATCACACTTCGCCCTGTGGTCATAAAAGGTTAAGACATTACTGGGAAGTTACGTTAATCTGCCTTCAACTGTACCATCTGTCTGCATGTGTAATCCTTGAGCTGTCAACTTGCTGCTCGTTCAGATTTCTTTCGTACCCTTCATTTATTCATGTGACATTGAGACTCTGCAGACCTCTAACAGCAAAGCAGTCATTTTTAAAGGACCAAGAAAAAAACTACTGATGACTTATTGAGAGAACACAAGTCTTAAAGTAGAGATAAACTTGTTTGATAACAAATGAAGGCCATAACTGTTTTTTATTGTGTCTTCGTCCAGTATCAAAGGAGGCTGCTTGAAATGGAGCCATTACTTGAAATTATACGCCTAAGACTTATGTTGTTTCTAAGTCAAATCCAACATCCAGAAAGGATATTGTTGCTTTGAAAAAATGAAACACACTCTTACAGGTATATAAAGGTATATTTGCCAAAAACTGATTTGTGTATTTGTTTTTTCTTCCAACTTTCAGCCACCTTCCACACAGAACCACCCAAATCGTCCAACCTTACATTTCTCTCTGTTCAGGTGAGCTACGCTGTGGGAATTGTAGTCTTCTTCTTGTTCTCAATGATGAAGTCTTTTGGTTGCAAAATCAGGCCGCCACTGTTAAAGTCTGTTTGCCTCCGATCTTTGCAGGCACAAGTCTGGGTTTCAGTACCCCACGCTGCAGCCCTGCTGCTGCCGAGCCACACACAGCGATGCCAAGCTGAAGGACCCTTTCACGTTAGCCCAGAAGGACTTAACAAGCTTATATGACGATATTAAAAAGGTGAGCTTCTGTTTGTATCTGAATATGGACTGATGGGGAAGCGGTTTGTGTCGGACGTTCACTGTTTGTCACGCTGTGCTTTACAGGAGCTGTTTGTTTCTAAAAAAGAGCTGAAGTATTTATGCGACTACTACTTTGACGGCAGGGGCAAGGCCATCCGGCCCATCATCGTCGTCCTGATGGCTCGCGCCCTTAATATCCACAGCAACAGAGCTGGGTAAACGCAAGTCATATCTGAAATAAAGTTGATTTGTCCAAATAAAGGCAGGAAATGAGCTGATTTATTAGAATAGTGTGACCCGGGGCTCGCAAGATTTTCCAGAGAAGAACCATAAAGTTTTATGTAATCTGACTCTCTGGAATCTGCTGTCTGCCTATAGAGATCTGCTTCCGGGGCAGAGAGCAGTGGCCATGATCACAGAGATGATTCATACTGCCAGCCTAGTGCACGACGACGTGATAGATGGATCGGATGAGAGGAGAGGAAAGAGGTCCATCAATGAAGTTTGGGGAGAAAGAAAGGTACCCACCGCCTCCTTATCTCCTGACTGTCTGTTTTGTTTTGTTTTGCCTCTCTTCAATGCCGTCCCTCTTTGGTTTTGTCTCTTCCAGGCAATCCTGGCGGGAGATTTCATCCTGTCCGCGGCCTCGATGGCTCTGGCCCGTATCGGAAACATCACAGTGGTGAAAGTGCTGTCGCAAGTGATAGAGGACCTGGTCCGAGGTGCGGCGCCCCGCCCAAACCGGGGCCCCATATTCGGCTGCCAAAACTTTTGCGGACGCCGTTTATGTTAACATGTGGGCCTGTCCTTCCAGGAGAATTCATGCAGCTGGGCTCCAAAGAGAATGAGAACGAGCGATTCAAACACTACCTCGAGAAAACCTTCAAGAAGACGGCGAGTCTCATTGCAAACAGTTGTAAAGCAGTATGTACGTTCTGTCTCCACATTAATAAGACTCGGGTGGAGAGAGGCCTCGCTCTCTGCACACGATGCCTTTTGTTGACTGCCTGCTCTGATTCATCGAAGGTGTCCATTCTGGTAAACTCTGATCCCGAAGTTCACGAGATAGCCTACCAGTACGGGAAGAACGTCGGCATCGCGTTCCAGGTACTTTCTGATCCACAAATCTCACACGCTTTGCTTAAAATGGTCAAAACTCCAAGCTTGGTTAGAGATTAATAAAAGGATGGGCGGGTGGGGATTTGCTGGTTCTCGTTGTGTAGTTAGTGGACGACGTGTTGGACTTCACATCAGGAGCCGCACAGCTGGGCAAGCCGTCGGCGGCGGACCTGAAACTGGGTTTGGCCACCGGGCCGGTCCTGTTCGCCTGCCAACAGGTGAGACCCTCATCAGTGTCACACAGCCATGTCCCAAACTGCACCCCCGTATGCTAAACCGGTTTGTGTTGGCAGTTCCCTGAGCTCCATGCCATGATCATGAGACGCTTCAGCTCCAAAGGAGACGTAGATCGAGCCTGGCAGTACGTCCTTCAGGTATGTGGAGAACAAAAAAAAAGAATAAAACGCACCTAAAACACCAAAGAGTTTAAACTCACAGACATTTGTGTATATTCTGATAAATCTGTTCTCTAAAATCAGAAGGTTAGAAAGAAAAGTTGTAGATATGTAAATATCCCAGAAATGGTGAATTTAGTTACTTTATTACTTAGGTTTGGGTTTTTGGATGTTTAATAATGAGCGCCACAGGAGAAAATCACAGGCATAGCTACGTTTTCTTTCTATTTATTTCAGTGTCTGACTTCTGAAGGCACTTTAGAGGCAGGTGAAGGTTCAGGCTGATGCCTGCAGAGGGCTCTCACAGCTTTCAATCTGCATGTTAGAGGAACTTATGCAGAATTTTGAATAATCTCTGGGCTACAAACTAAGACATAAAGGATGGAAAGCATCAGGCTGTTATTTCACTTCATCAGCACCTAATCCAACCACAACCCTCCTGAGCAGACCGTCCTTTTGTTCCAGAGTGACGGCGTGCAGCAGACCACTTTTCTGGCCCGGCGCTACTGTCAAGAAGCCATCCGACACATCAGCATGCTCCGGCCGTCCCCAGAGAGGGACGCCCTGATCAGGCTCACCGAGATCGTGCTGAGCAGAGACAAGTGAAGCTCCACTGCTGGCCTTCTGTTCTGGCAGCTATCTGCTGAAGGGAGACTCAACCCCGGCTCAGGTGGAGCACAACCGGCGAGACAAAGGAGTGGGACTCTGGTTCAGAGCCACTCCCAAAAAACGTTCTCATGACTGAGTCACTTCACCGCGTGTCGACATAGAAATACGAATGATTTATTCTGTGTTTTCCACTCCCGAGGTGGAGTCACAGCGAGGATTTGGGATTAAATTATATTGTAAAATGAACAAATGGCACTGAAAGGCACCCTTAACCTTCTCTTTATTCAGTACTGTAAATGTGACAACCTCCGTGCGTCGGACTGGCCGGCTGCGACTGGGCAGCTTTGTTACAGGCTAGTCTCGAGCCGGGGAGTTGTTACCACAACGTGTAATTCCAAATGTGGTGGGAGTGCAAACATGTTGTCATTGTGTTTGTCTGGATGCGATCCGTCCACACCTCAAAGGCCAAACAGTCACGTGTCTTCTGTAATGCAAAGTGTCCTGTAACAACCAAGGCCTTAACATCTGCATTGACTGTGTGCTCAATAAACCAACTGTTTCATTTTTCCTCCTTTTGTTTCTCATTTCCCCCGAAAATCACCACACACATCGTGTAGATAGAATCGTTTATTATAAAAGACTGTACATAAACTTTTCAATCGTCATATTATATGTACAAATGATGGGCAGAGAGGGGTGGATTTCAATACTTCTACCCATGAAAACGCTTTTAAAATGAATGAAAGTGAGGGGGGGGGAGAAAAAAAAAAGGCATTAGCTACATATCCTGAAATGAGACCACTGCAGGCAACGCAAGTCAAATGTCCAAGAGCCAACACGAGGAGAGAGAACAATGTGATGAGTATGATTCCTGAGTGATGGCTGACTTTACTCGTCTTTTTCTGGATCAATATGTACACCTGTGCAGCCTGGAGCAGGTCCTTGTTGCTTTAAGACTGAGGAGGTATTAGTTGTTGGTCGCTCTGCATTGTGGCATGGCAGTGTCGGGCAGTAGGGCTCCATCACTGCACCGCTCAGAGCCGCTTTTCATAAATTTAGTGTGTGTGTGGGTTAGTTTGAAGCAGCGGCAGTTAGCCGACGCCTCAGGCTCGTCTGGCCTTTAATGCTTATTCCTGTTTGATCTGATGACACTTCGGCCTAAAGTTTCCAAACTCACCATCTTGCAAATGGTGTCTAAGAAATGACAGCAGTTGTAAAGAACCGCATGAAAATTGTCAATCTTTTTAAAAATGGAGGGGGGACATATAATAGCTGATACGGTTTTACAACCACACCGTTTTTTGAAGAATCTTTACATTCAAATGAGCAGAATAGGTTTAATATGTTGTGTGTGATGTGAAGGCATTCGGCCCTGTGTGTCACAGTGTTCAGGCGCCAGCTCATGTTCAAATAAAACCGCTGAAGTTCTCAAATAGCGTTTATCTCATTTCTCCTGTGTGTTCGGCGGCTAATGTTTTAGTGGGCAGTTTTTAAAAGCTCTCCAGAAATCCGGCTGACTTGAGACAGCTGTAAATTAACTTCTGGGTAAAAAGTTCAGTGATTTCTTGTCAACAGTGTGATAAAAAAAAACAAAAGGGTAAATACATTTACAACAAAATGGAAGCATAATGGCAACAAACTAAGATTACAGAAGAATTGCATGCTTTCCCCCCCCCCGCCAAACCGATTCCATTTACAGTATTTAAACAGATCAACTGCATTTATTTTTCCGTATGGAGTCCGGGGAGCTGCCACGAAAGCTCTCATGATCAACATTCACTGGATTTACATCGCAGAACCCCAGAAGGCTTTTCTATACAAACGCTTCCACTGAAGCTGCTTCAGGTGGCCGTTTATTTGTTCCATTAATGCTTACGCTGTTCGTCACAAAAGAGCTCAATTCTGAAAAAACAAAACAACTTTGTTCAGGCAACATGTCGCCACTGACCCCCCCATCCCCCCCACCCATCTCTATCACACCAAAATAAACAAAATATTCATTATTTTTCATTTTATTTACCATCAGTAAAGAAAAAAAAAAGCACATTCTGCCATGTAAAAAGGGTCATACAGTTCTATCTATGTGTCAGGAGTCAGATGGCTTCGGTCAGTCTCTCAGTGGATTAGGATATGACTGAATAAATAGACTTTACTTTTTCCTGCCGGGACCCCCCCTCAGTCGGCATAGTGCATGATGGACTCCACGTAGTTGCCGGGGAACAGGCCGGTGACCCCGCTGCACACCCCCTCGAACCAGCCGTCGTCGTTCTTCTTGACCACGTAGATGATGGCGCCCTCCATGAAGGACAGCTCGTCGTCTTTGTCCTTTGAGTAGTCGTAGATGGCCACCACTGCAAACAGGA